TCATTCAGATATATCCAGTTAAAATATTCCATAAACCCATAACACAGGAGATGAAAGCAAGATATTGTGCATTAAATAGCCATTACTGCATCACAAGAATATTTCAGTTACCAAAACATACAATACCCGCGAATATGTTGGCACTCACATAAAGGCCAAGATATGTAAACATGCCACGAATATTTCATATTTGTCGTATTCGTCTTAAGTAAGTATAGGCAGAGATAAAAATCTAAGTGTAGTTACCATACCTTTGTATAAAAAAAGGATACTGTATCTCCAGGGTGCTTCTTGAAACCAATCTCAATGTCAATGCAATTTCTAACCAATATGATCTCAATAATTATTCAATGTCGTCTATATAACACATACAATATATACAACCATAATCGTAGCTGTTAAAATTGCATTCAGAGTACGGAATATAAAGAAAAACTCAATACCATTTAGTTCAATTAATATGCACGCAATACGGATGCAATGGGCGCTAGTGTTGAAACTCAAAAGTACGAAAATTTACAATATCAATGTCGATCGATCGGAATTGGATTCAAGAGTAACCACCCAGGTGAGACAATCTTACCTACCATAAAATTGCGTATAAATATTTTTTAAACGTTGCCCCACATCAGGATTTTCTCCTGTGCTGTGGGTGCGTTTACAAACATACAAGTTCACATACACATCACACCCAGACCTAGAACAACAATCTGTGGATCACACAAAGTGTTGTTCCGTGCGGGAATCGAAACCGCGACACGTTGCACGGCAGCCAGTTGCCCAGTCACCGCGCCAACCGCGCAGTCAATATACATCCACAGATCAAACTGGAAACCTCCTTTTTATAATTAACCAATCCAGATATTAAACTCAGAATCCCTTGTTCAGCAGTCGTGTTTGCAACCACTCGAGTAAGGAGGAAGTTATTTGATTTAACTCGTCGAGTACCGGTTTTATAGACACAATTAAAGAACAATAGGTCGCGGTCACCGGTGACCGCTTGGTATTTGACAGTTTAAAAAATTGAAATGTTTTTAAAAACCAGGTTTTATGCAACTTATTATTTATGACCATGAAACTAAACATGTACGCGATCGGTTGAAGACCATCTGATTCATTTAGTTTCAAAATTCCACTTCACACACATACATACATTCATACATAGGGAAAATCATCGAATGACTTCTCCCGCCTGGGTGGGGCGGGAGGGAGAGTCAGTCTCTTACTGACTAAAAACCACTACGTTCGTACTCCTTCCCTTCGAGCCGGAGCCCCGGTTACCCGTCAAGTCGTCCGCGGCTCCGTATCGGCATCAGCCCTATTAGGATTACGGATCCCCATCCGTAGTTGTCTGACGGCTCTTTGAGTCGCGCGCGGAACGCGACGCGCCGTTTGCTAGAATCTGGTGCTGGTCGGGCGACGAGCCACCCATGCTCGCCGTCCCGCGATTACGGTCCATAGATACATTGCAAGTTATATCAAAGCGTGTAAAAACACCTTATAATCTCTTTACATACCCCAGAAATTGAATCCAGTTACTCATTTTCACCATTTATCCAAATAAAGAAGAGTAATAAAATGAAAAACAAAACAAGATACAACTATAATGTGTTTATTATATATCTGCACATAAATATAGCTCAGCACTTATATATGTACGTATCTTTATAACATTTAGGAATGATCAACAATAAACATTTTTAATATTTCAAGAAAATACAATTCATTAATCACCAATTGGTATCCGGCAGCATTGAGCATAGTACGACTTCGGCGCTCTGATTGGCCGACTTCAAAGAACCAACCAATCAGAGCCGTCAGAGCGCCGGACGTGGTCTCATTTCGATTTACTTTAAACGTGAAACAAACTCTACTAAGCTCTCAAGATTGGTTGTTTTATTAGAGCTGGCCAATCAGGGTGCTTACATCAATGCCATTCCAATCCAATAAAATCTCAATACTTATCCAATATCAAAACTATACAAGCCCAATCGTAGCTGTCAAAGTAGCATTTAAAATACGGAATATAAAACCAAACTCAATACCATTAAAATTTAGTTCATTCTAAATCCACGCAATACGAATGCAATGGGCGCTAGTGTTGCAACTCAAGAGTACGAAATTTCACAATACGAACGTCGATCGATCGGAATTGGATTCAAGAGTAAGCCCACAGAACACCGAATGCGGTATGTGGCTGCTGCAATGAACCAACTAGAGTCGTATTATCTCTAAGACAAACTAGACAAGTGTCTAGGGCTCCAGGGCATAGATGGGCGCTGCGAGACCCACGAAACGAAAGAAAGAGGGGCCGCGGCGCCAATAAAAAAAAATTAGGAGTGCCAATGAAGTACTTGCCTACGACACTCTCTAGGTTTTTGAATCACAGAGTTAAACACGATAAAGTATTGATCTCGTTAAACGTAAAACAGACTTGTACGAGTTTAATTTACGTTTAAAGTATTCGAAGCGAGTACACGTTCGGCAATCTGATTGGCCGGCGCTAATGAACCAACCAATCAGAGCGCCGAATGCGTACTCGTTACGATTACTTTAAACGTAAAATAAACTCGTACTAACGCCTCAAAGTGCCAAGCACGAATAACTATAGCATTCGTAACGTAAAGGTATCCAGCGCGTTCGGCGCTCTGATTGGCCGGCTCCAGTGAATCAACCAATCCAAACGCCGCACACACTCGATATTATTACGATACGAATGCGATAGTTATTCGTGCTTGGGACTCTGAATCAACCATATTTCTTCAATCGATTCTAGACTTTATTACAAAACGGTAAAGTCCTATGTGTAGACAAACCTATAGACGGGAAATCGAAAGACTGGCACTTAATACATTATCACCATATTTTTTTGAACTACAATAAGAAAGAATAGTACTAATTAAATGTGAAAAACGTTAAAAGAAATTAGGTAATAGAAAAACTATGAACTTTTAACATTAATAGAATTTATTGAAACTATGTGGTTGACATTCAGTAGGACAGTAGGTATATTTAGTTATATATTTAGTTATGTTATATTTTTTCTTAAATGGCTATAGTTAGACAATCACAAGGTCTCAATTATCGCACTGTGTCTATTCCGGACGAAAATTGGTAATTTAAAAACAACGACATTTGAAAAGAGACAATATTGTGTGATAATAATTATATGACACACCAATTTATGGAACCAAATTATTGTATTTCCAATCGACGTCAAAGGTTGTTTTGCAAACTCTTTCGATAATAAAATAAAATAATACTTTAGCCAAGTCGAGAACCCAGAGTTTCTGGCTGACAATTGCATTTGCTACTTCCAACCATTCTAGGTTTCAAATTTTCCATTTTGGACTTACACTTTAAACTCCAGAAAGCAATATTATGTTTAAAAGTAAGATTATAATACGACAATATGTACATACAACAAATGACTTATAATTAAACATTTATTACCTATATAATATAGGTATTTTCCAATACAGTTACTATCATATTTGCGGCTTACTCACGTAATTATTAGACGAGGAACTCGACTAGTTTCAAGCCATGCCAGAGGCTCATATTCATAAGCAGAATTCCGCGACAATCGCCGTGTCGCGAGTCGCGTGCTTATGAACATGAGCCTAATCGAGTTCCTAGTCAAACAGTTACGTGAGTAAGCCGAAAACATTATAATTAATTCACGAATATTTTAATACAAACAATAACTATCACACTTACTCAGAAAAATAAAAATTCAGTCTTCTATTTGTTATTATTTGATACTTTTTTCTTCTGCTGCCGTTCATAAACCTATTTTAGTTGAAGTTATTAACGTAATATTATATAAACATAATGTGAAGGCAGTACTCATGCATGAGGGTGCGAGTTCAAAATGTGACATTTTCCGAGATATATGTACTTTCTAAGATTGTTTAGACACTACTGACAAACGATGAAGGACATCATGAGGAAACCTGAGTTTACCTGAGCTTATAATTTCTAATTGTAAGTTTGAGATCGGCAACCCGCAAACCTTTTCCGTGTGAGAAGAGGCCGCCACTAAAGCCCCCTTCTGACACAGAGAAGGATTGAGCAATAATCACTACGCTTGCTCATGTGGGTTGCAGATTTTAAACTTGTAATTAGAAATTATAAAGTCTTTCACCGTTGTTCAGGTCTAGATAATTTTAGAAATTGCATTTAACTTGAAAAAAGTCACATTGGTACTTGCCGTTGGTAGGTTTCAAACCGGCACTCTCATGCATGAGAAGCAGGCGTCTTAAACCTCCGGCCGGCCGATATTAGATTATATAGCCTTGTAAAAACCCATATTATTTCGTAATAAACAAAAAACCAAACCCAAAATGGCGTTGTTTAATCAAAACACATCATTATTAATGCTTAATAATTACTACAAATTATTAATTAAGGAGTAAATAATTTTCAAATCGAACTAATAGAGATCAGTGCGTTTAAACTAACACATATTTTACCTACTAGGTACAGGTTAGTAGGTGCCATTTCTAAATGGTTTTATTTAGATTGACCAGTTTGTTTGTTTGGGTCTAGTAATTGGAATTTCTCCTCCTTCCTGACCACGTATCAATTAGATTTTTGGTACACACTCTTATTCTTTGATAACCATACACATTAAACATAAAAAAAGTATTACTTGTTCTATTTGACACAAAAACCTAACCTAAACAAATAATACTATCTGGTTGAATCACTTGTTTGGAACCTCACTTCATCAATCTGTACAGCAGTTGTAGCCAAATGCCATTTAGCGTTTGTCTACATGTAGAATAGAAAACCAAATTATATGGAGTTAACGTAAATTTTGACACTTGTCAAGGTCATCCCCATACATTTTAATTTCTACTCTCTCTGTAGACAAGCGCTAAAGTTGCGTTTGGCTAAAGGCCCAGGTGACTAATAACATAAAGTTAAAACCAGATTTTATTTTTAAAACAAAACCTTTTTTAAAAATTGCCATTACAATAACATCCCGCATCATACAAATGTGACCACGGTTTTGTCGAAATCGTGAGTAACATTTTTTTTAATCATCTGTTTCGAAAAATATTATTTTTCTGAATAAGTGTCTCCGTTCCCAAACTAAGTTTCATTGTAGACGGTATTGTAAACCATCTCTTGTATCTTCATTCTTAACATGAGTTTTTTAGCGGGTCCTAATTTCTTTACATGAGGGAGTAGGCTGTTGAAGAACCCTATGTCTTCATCCTTCGTCACCGGCTCACTTGGCTCAGTAGTAGCACTTTTTTGGGCGTCATCATCATCGTCGTAGAAGTCCGTTTCCATTATAATTGGTTTTGTATCAAATTCATCGAAATCATCTTCTTTAACACTGACATCATTAGTTGGTTCTATGTTGAAGTAGCTCGTTCCTTGGTCAGCATCATAATCTTGGGTGTACGAATCATCAGCTAATTCATTGCCTTCGTAATCATTAAACTGATTTGTGAGGAACTGAAGTTTTGGAAGGTACTCCCAGTCCGATCCTGTTTGTTTCCTTACCTCCTTCCTTGCTTGATCTCTTAGGTACTTCCATTTGAGTCTTGCTTCGTCACCTGGAATTTTTTATATGTAAAGTTAGTAGCATTCTTATTTTAATCATGATAGAATGTAGATCTGACCTATGCCTAGATTTAAAATTTGATAGATCTAAATACAATTATAGTTGTTTCTAAACTATAATAGAGTAACATAATAATAATAATACCTATTCGTCTATTATGCATGTTTGAGGTCCCGATTCATCCATTTACGTAAAATTTTCGTTAGTTTAACTGCCAGATTATTTTATAGCAAATTTGCATCATTTCATAATATTGTTTAGCAAAGTACAACCATCAATGAATTACTATTTAGTATAACGATTTAAGTTAAAGTATGAACAAACTTATCAAATAAATTAGCTAAAAGACCAGCAGCCGTTTAACCCTTTCGAATTTCAAATTGTAATGGAATTATTGTAATCATTTTACTGTACAATAAGTCCCTATTTTGAAAGAAAATTAGTTCATAACGAAGTTATTTTTCCAAATTAATCAAGTAAGTAGGAACGTAGACCTGCCTTTTGATTTGATCCATTTCTTAAAAATGAATACAGTCATGAGCAGAAGAATGATGATATGAGGAAGAACCCCTCTGTGGTTCGAAACTAGTAGAGCTTTTCTCAGTATATTCACGTGAGTAACCCGCGATTTTAGTTAATTTAGTATGTCTCACGATAGTTATTATAAAAACATGAAGACTGTCGTTAAAATGCTTAAGTACTTTTTCCATTAGATAAATTTATTTACGACTAATTTATCTTATTTGCTTCGCGCTGTTCTAAAAGCGTTTGAAGAGCGATAGGTAGAAAAAGTCCTTTATACTTAAGTCCTTACTCGGGAATCAAACAACGAGTTCTATAATCGTTTACTAAGACTACAATAAAATCTGTAATAACATAACAAAAAAAAATAGGATTCTTCAAAAATTACCTCATTTGTACTGGCAATCTTCATAACTACCAAATCAAGCACACAAAAACAATACTTACGTGTACAATCCAACTCCATCGCCACCTCCTTCCAGCTCTCATCAAGTTTGTACCAATTATGGTGTCCCTTCAGCGACCTGTTCCAAATTATCTCCCTAACTCGGACCAAATCTATCAACTTATTCATATCGACATCTATAGCTCTCCTCTTATTCATTAGGAGCTTCTTCCTCATGGTGTAGCCTAACTTCGGCCGCTTTATAGACTCGTCTAAAGAATTAAAGACCTCATCAGTCGTATCCTCGTCACCTTCCTCATCTTCAGCCACGAACTGGTGGTGAATGAATTTCAACTTCTGGAAGTGAGGCCATTCAGATTCGTTTGGATTTTTCTTCATCTCCTTGCGACATTGGTCCTTGAGATTCTTCCATTTCTTGCGACAGTTCAAACCTGGAATTTTTAAGTTGGTTTTTAAGGTTTTTTATCTAATTTAAATAATCATAGAAGAGTAAAATGGAGTACGGTTTCATGATTGCACATAGCACGTTTAGTCGACGCAGTAATATTGAATGCGCGTCACTCAATGCATATCACTACATAGTATAAAACAAAGTCGCTATCCGCCGTCTGTCTGTCCCTATGTATGCTTAGATTATTAAAACTACGCAACGAATTTTGATGCTGTTTTTCATAATAGATAGAGTGATTTTTAAGGACGGTTTATATGCATAATTTATGCATATTGCACCCGTGCCAGGCCGGGGTGGGTCGCTAGTAATAATTATAATTTTACGTATTACAGTAATCATAGTAGTAGGTAGTACTTTATTTACAGGACAACGTCAAGCAAAGTAACACGACAATTTTTTTGTAACTTTTACCAAACTTAATATATGCAACTAGAAACTACGTACATAGTATAACTTGTGATCTTTTCTGTGAGCTACGACATCTACAACTACAAAACTACAGTGTAAGGATCTAACTGGACCTTACAGCTAAAATACAAAGGGCAAAACTAAACTATATACCCTTTGAATTTATTATTTTTTAGGTGTTTTATTGTCGACAAGACATAAGTGTAAGTGTGTAATGTGTGGGAGAGCCATGCTTCGGCACGAATGGGCCGGCTCGACCGGAGTGATTCTACGGCCTCACAGAAAACCGACGTGAAGCAACGCTTGCGTTGTGTTATTCGTCGTGTGAGTGAGGTTACCGGAGGCCCAATTACCCTCCCCTTCCCCAATCTCCCCAATCCCTGAATTCCCAACGATCCTCAAACTCCTAATCCCCAAAAGGCCGGAAACGCACTTGTAACGCCTCCGGTGTTCCAGGTGTCCATGGGCGACGCAGTTTGCTTACCACGAGGTGATCCGTCTGCTCGTATACCGGCTTATGCCATAAAAAAAAGAAATATATGTGAATTCGAGACGGGTTCCTAGTACACACGGGCACATTTAACTACGCAAACCCTAAACTGATCGTTGAATATGTCGACATGAATATCAAAGAGGAACCATGACTGGTTCTGCTTAGCTTTTGATAATTCTCAAGAAATACAGTAGTTTGGAATGCTTGCTTCATTTATGTGAGTAAAATATTCAACTCTGTGTACTCCGTACTTACTCCGTCGTCGCAAAAAACAATCGTGGTGTTTTATTAATATTTGCAGAAATAAGTGTAAATAAGTATTGTATTCCCTTCTGAATAGTATTAGAATTCATCATTTATGCCAAAATTTCCATTTATGTCATTAAACATCTTAGTTAACCCATCCACGCACGACATTCAAAATTTTCTATTGTATCTCTTAGACCGGCTTCAAGCGATTGAGCAAGGTTACAGCCTCAAGTAGTTTAGCATTCCAGTCAAACTACGTTTTTAGTCGGTTTAACCCGTTGAAATTCATCCCCTAAATTTGTTCAAACAAAAGTAGTCTCTAGGCATTGGAAATAAGGTCTATAATGTAGGTAGTGGAGAGCGGTCACCGGTTACCGCTTGGGGATCTATGCTTCTACAGACTGAAGGATTATAATCCAAAAAGTTATCAATTGTCTGGTTACGTATGTTTGATCTTTTCTAATGACCTTGCTCCTCAAAATACTTTCTTTGTAGGTCACGAACTTACATAAATGTGTACTACTTTCACATAAAAGCAACAGTTGTTTATCGACATTATCCCCAGTATTACAATCTGTATTATGAATATGAACACTGGGGTATAAACTGGGGTTACTGCAGTATAAATACGGCGTCGCATCAGATGTAAGCCGGCTATCTGCAAAACGCGCGTCAAAAAACAAAAACAAACGTCCTCCTACCAATAATTCAATAACTGCGCAAACAGCGGAGCGCTCGCTCGCTCGGACGTTAACCTTCGAGTGAAACTCAAAGCGAACTCAATACTCACTCGTCGTCCCAACCTCAGCCGCCACTTCATTCCAATATCGCTCCAACTTGAAGCGATTCCTGTGTCCCCTATAGCTCTTGTCCCATAAGCATTCCCGAGCCTGGACAGCTGCGATCAGCTTGTCCATATTCTTGGTTCGCGCCCCCTTTACTTTAGACTTCATTGTGGAGCGGGCGCGCAGGCGGGAGCGTCAGCGAGGACGGGCAGTACGAGCGAGGCGCGGCGCGGAACTGACGGCCGCCCGCGCCCTTCCCGTGCACCGGTCGGCGGCGTCCGCTTCGCTCCGTCGCCCGCTCCAACATATCGCTGTCCTCTTCGCTCGACGCGTCGCTCCCCTCTCGAGGCGACACGCCTCGCCGATTTAAAACCGCTGTTTCGATCGCCATTTTATAACAGGACTATAAACTACGATATCCATTGCGTTTTGATGGCTTGATGTAGCAGCTAGTGGCTTCATTAGTGCGGTAATGTATGGTGTGTTTGTCGAGAGTATAGCGTTTGTGTAAAGGCGAGTTGATATCGTGATCGTTACCGGTTAGCAACAATGGGCATGGTAGAAGCGATTCAACGCGTTGGCGTGTGTCGTGAGCCGACAGCCGGTCGCTCAATAAACTAGCGTGGTCTACCTACCTGCAGTCTCAATTACCGTAGCCATATTATTAAGTTTTAGATCTAAATGAGGTACTAAGTATACTTACATAACTTATTCCTTGTTTTGTAACTTTATTTTGTTAAATGACTCTATACCACCTCTGCGCTAAAAGAATATTATTGAAAACAAAGTAAGACGTAAACCTACTAAAGGTTTCCTAAATAACAAAATATGTCAAGCTATAATCCGAAAATAATTAAACTTGATTATGGCTACATTTCTTAGCATCAACTTACATCTATGAATACGTAACAAGCGCCTACTGAATTATTAATATTGTATCAACATTCTGTATTTGTGAGTACTTAAATAGTATTTTTTGAGCAGGCGCTTTTAACAAAAGGTACAGAAAAACACCGAGTCTCTATTTACCGATTCACCCTTTACAGATCGTTCATTGTTAAAGTAAGAATCTACCTGAGCACGATATAATGGATTCGATCCCTTGGTCGTGCTAAAGAAGTTCGAAATTCTCAGTTTAGCGTTTAAAAAAAATCAATATGAATCAACATGCTCATTGGTAGGAACTGTTGCATCGTGAGTATTGTTGCATCTTGTTACGAATTCGATTTAAGCCAGATAAATACATCTGTTTTTACCCGACTGTAGGAAGGTTATTGTCAATTATTTTTTCCGATATTGTATTGAAATTCTCAGTTGAAAAACATAGCTGTGTGCCGTTTATGATTAATTTTACCTACATAGTTACATATGGGTTTTTTCACATTGCTGTAAATATTACATCATATTTGATCGTTATACACAAAGTATAATGGTTAAGTAGTTTGTCTATAATGAAATGAGACAAATAAAATGCATCAAATTGATTTGTCAGCACAGCGTTTGTTTTAAAACATTCTACTCGTGATTATGAATCCCCGTTTTGGCTTGAAACCATTCGGGCAACATCCTCGAATTGTGACATGAGTAAACCTTAATGTGTTTTCTTGGGGAATAATAAATTTATACCTGAACTAATGCAAAATAGGGGGAAATAAAATACATTACTTTACCAAATGTTTAATTTTATTTGTTGTATGTTCATTTTTTAATTTAATAACAAGAAAACGAAAACAATAAAAATGGAACTTCACAATTAAATAATATTCTACGTCACATCATCACGCCCGTTGTACAAAGGGCTAAGCAGAGATCTTATAATCAGGTTTAATATGTTTGAATTCCACCGTTATAAGAGGTGATTTCAAACTCCGTACCAAATTGTATCCAAGGAATTTCTATAAAGAAAATCCAAAAATAACTCCCGATTCGAAAATCGAGTTCAATGCTTTTCAGTTACGACCAATCACAGTCGCTAAAAATAAAAATAAATAAAAAATATATTTTTTAAAATTAATTTCGTATACTACGACTACGTATTATTTTATCTATTATCGATATTACTTCACGCCTAAATATCCTCATTTCAGGTTCAGTCAGAGACTCCACGTCTGGCAACATTGAGAGCAAGAACATTTTTCGGGGATTCCCCTCGATATAATTATAATTCTTGTTTCCATTGAACTTCTTCGTCTCCACAGGATTCTCTGTTCTAACTTTTGTGATGTTTGGCATTGTGTTGTCATTGAAAGATACTCTACTGATTTCTGTATTCTGTTCCTTTGGATCTTCTTCGTAGTTTGAAGTGTCACTGTCAGAAGTCTCTGGTTTTTCTGTTATTGTGTTTTCAATCTCCATTTTTTCTTCGCCTCCGTCAGGGAGGATTTCTTTAGGCGATTTGTCTGTTTTAGGCTTTATACTTAAGAATGGATACAGAAAATGTAGTTCTTCAGTTAGATAGTAAGGTCTCATTGGAGGTTTGTCGCTAGCCTGTTGCTTTAAAGACCTCATGAAAGAAATCCTTATCTTCCTCCATTTGTCGCGGCAATCTGGTACTGTAACAAGAGAAATTTGATTTTATTATTACTTGTGTTAAGGTATTAAATTGAAAACTTTTATTTCTATTTTTTATTTGTTTATCTTTATGTCACAAAGGTAAGTATTTTTATAATCTAAGCCCCACAAAACCGTTGGTTTGACTGTATGTAAGACTATGGTCACACTGTAAGCGAATGAGCTTGTATCTCTACCGCTATACCATAGTATATTCTTTATACTATGGCTATACGTTGCATTTGTAACGACAGCCTTAGCCAAAATTACTATGAATTCATAGTCATTTTAACTATAATAGTTAAACGATCCTTACTCGCTCTCTCGATCGCTAACGGTGTGATCTACGCTCAAATCTCAGCATCAAATCTCATCTACTTTATCCCATACTTTGAAAAATATTTTTCAACTGGCAATATTTTTCCGCAACACAATATTATGAATTGTTTAATATGTATTATTGGCCGTTTAGTGTTCAAATTGAAGATGTCTACAATTACTTAGAATTATTTATCTACTGCCTTGTTGGCCGAGTGGTCGTAAATGCGACTTCTGGCTAAAGGGTCTCGGGATCGATTCTCGAGTCGGGCAAAGTATTACTGGGTATTTAAAAAAAATTGTCAGTAGTAGTACGGAATCTGGAATATGGAAATTTTGGAATTTCTATTACATAAGATGACATACATATTGATAAGTGGGTGTTTCATTGTACAGTGGCATTAAGTGCCGTAATGTGCACCTCTGCCTACCCCCTCGGGGATTAAAGGCGTGATGTTATGTTTATTTATCTACCTTATCTATCAGATATATATCGCGTATTTATCGAAAAAAAATTCGAACGTGGTAAAATATTGCGCAATGTTTTTCTTGAACTGTTTAGTGTAATATTCATATTGCACAACATCTTTTTACTGTTGCTTGCTAATTTTATTATGACGGTACGGTTGCTGCGGTGGCTGGGCAACCGGCTGCCAACGTGTCGCGGGTTCGATTTCCGCACGGATCAACTCTTTGTGTGATCCACAAATTGTTGTTTCGGGTCTGGGTATCATGTGTATGTGAACTTGTATGTTTGTAAACGCACCCACAACACACGAGAAAATCCTTGTGTGGGGCAATTAAAAAAAAGTAATCAGACTCATTGATTAATCTTTTCTACTCAGTCATTTTTTTTAACGTTTAGTTAGATTCAAAACGTGATTAAACTTATTATTGCTCAATAGAAATATTGTGCAATAATAATATTTAATAGTGTTTTTGTGTCTAAGTCCAGCTTAATTATTGCAGAAAAATGTAACTCGTTTAGAAAACGTCTTTAAATGTTATTCATACCATAACATCACGCCTTTTATCCCCGAAGGGGTAGGCAGAGGTGCACATTACAGTACTTAATGCCACTGTACAATGTAAAAAAATATTTATCTTATTAAAAAGAACATCAAATTATGTAACTGTCAAATAGACCCGACACATCAGTGTCGGGTTTGATTCCCTGTATAGGCTAGTATGTCGCGGTGGCCCGGAGGTTTAAGACGCCCACTTCTCATGCATGAGGGTGCGGGTTCGAAACCTACCATCGGCAAGTACCAATGTGACTTTTTCCGAGTTATATGTACTTTCTAAGATTATTTAGACACCACTGACAAACGGTGAAGGAAAAACATCGTGAGGAAACCTGGACTTATAATTTCTAATTATAAGATTAAAATCGCCAACCCGCATTGAGCCAGCGTGGTGATTAATGCTCTAACCTTCTCCGTGTGAGAAGAAGCTTTGCTCAGCAGTGGGCATTTATAGGCTGTTGATGATGATAGGCTAGGCATACATGATTAAAGTAATTGGTATTTTCTATTTTTGTATGAATCAGAGTACAAAGTAAAAATACAATTACGAAGTTCACTATTATTCATCTACTTATACCTTTCGAAGAATTGAAGTGATTTAATGATGATGTTTAATATTGCGAAACTTTTACATGTGATGACGTTTTATGAAGTATGTCGTCACGAATGTGGATCGGAAAAGTCCTGAGTCCGATTCTTGTGTTGAGCAATCGACTTAAATAGATGGATTTCTGACTTCTAATTTTCTGAGTAATGACTTGAGAATGTACCTACATATAGTGAAAAATAATAAGATAATATGGAAGGCAATAAATTGATGCGAATATTTTGTTTACACCTACTTTATACAAATAGGCTTTATATGAAACTTTATACTACATTTATATATTAGGCTCAATGTAAAGTTTTATAACTTTTAATCAACTAGATAAAAAAAACAAATGAGTACTACCTAAATAGAGTTATTTGCTAATTTTAAAATGTAGATTGCTTTGCTATGGAATAGAAAAGAATATTTAAACACGATAATCTTTAAAAATAAAACCATTTAGGTATCTACTTGATATGCAAAATAAAAAACAAAGTACAGAGCTTGTTTTTCCAAAATGTATGCCACTTATTTATGCCAAAAACCCAATAAAATAAAACTGCACCTTATAATACCCATCTAAAGTTGCATTTCACAAAAAAAATGGGTGTTAATATGTTACCACACCCACTTTTATCCAGTTTTAACAAATTTTCTTACACTTTATAAAAACAAACGTTATAATTATTATCTTTAAATTTCAGATATCAACATAATATAGATAGTTTATTAAAAATACCACTCAGTAGATACTAAACTCAAAATATTTCATAATATTTCACCAAACATGTTAAAACTTGTATCGTCATTGTTTATTGTTAAAAAACTGAGCTATGACGTCATTAGTTATTGCAACAGAATTGTTTTAATGATGTTACTTCGAATAACTAACTCAATAATCATGGTAACTTTCTAACCCAAGATAATATTAATGTTTTTGAGAGGGAAACATCATCGAATGACCCTCTCTGGCTGAGGCGAGGAGAGATGGGAATGGGAGGAAGTATCAGACTGTTACCGCCTAAAAACCACCCCGTTCTTACTCGTGTTTCACCCTAGAGCCCCGGTAACCCTTCCATCAACAGCCTATAAATGCCCACTGCTGAGCAAAGCCTCTTCTCACACGGAGGTTTGAGCATAATCACCACGCTTGCTCAATGCGGGTTGGCGATTTCAAACTTATAATTTTAAATTAAAAGCCTAGGCTTCCTCACGATATTCTTCCTTCACCGTTTGTCAGTGGTATCTAAATAATCTGAGAAAGTACAAATAACTCGGAAAAAGTCACATTGGTACTTGCCGTTGGGTGATTTCGAACCCTCATGGATGAGAAATGGTAACCTTTGCTATCATCCAAATCTGTACTGCCGTTCTCGATTATATGCATTAAGTAACAGTAACAGCTAGTATTTTTGAATAGTTTTTCCGTTTTTGGCGCAGGTATAGGACAAAAACAAAACCTAATTAATTATTAGAAAAAACAAATGTTATTTTTAATATCTACATAGGTGCTCCCGCCTGCATAAGGCGGGAGGGAGTGTCAGACTCTTACTGACTAAAAAGCACCCCGTTCCTTCTCCTGCACGTCGAGCCCCAGCTTCTAAATCGCTGACCAATGGTTGAAGGACTTTAGCACAGATGAACATAGGTGCGTAAAATTAGTGAAGCTGCAATTACTGAATGCAGGTCGAAATCCTGTATGAAAGTCATTAAGGGAGGCCTATGTCAGCATCAGTGTCACAGTTCATGATGATGATGGTGATAATGATGATGATATGATGAAACAACGAGTAAATAATTTTAGCGACTTAATGTAATGACGCAAAACTTTAAGTATATTTATATTCTGTCTGCATTATCGAAGAAAAATAGGTGTGTTTTGTTATGCTTAAGTATTTCTCAAAGATATCTTACGTCACTATGCATACCTACTTATTTTAAGAAACTAGTTGTAAGTCTTAATCATAGGTATTTTGCATGTTGTGACGTAACTATAAATGACGTAGACGATTTGGGGGCTTGTAGTGATTAGTGATTTGGGGGCTTGTAGTGATAAGTGATTTGGGGGCTTGTAGTGATAAGTGATTTGGGGGCTTGTAGTGACTAGTGATTTGGGGGTTTTTTAACTAGTGATTAGTATTGTGATATCGATAAAGTCACTTGTAAGGCAGTTCCTACTTACTCCTCTCCTACGGATACACAGTGCAAATAATACAACACCCACTTTACCCTAGTAATGTTAGGATTCTCGAATTACGGTGGGGGGGGGGGGGTGAAATAGACAACCTTTACTTAATGGACAGACTTCATGCTTATGACTATTACTGTGGCATTTTCTAAAAACCGAAAACCTTTCAATACCAATTCGCCCGAACCGAAAATCGAACTGCTGAGCTCTATCTAAGCCCCCGTGCTTAACAGTCGTACTAGCAACCAGTCAACCATAAGATCTTTAAGATTTTTTATAAAATTTTTACATAGGTTATTAAATTACGTCCTTCATAAATGTATTATTAATTCAAAAGAAATCAGAAGGGGAAGGGTAAATGGGATTTTAAATGACATTTTATGTCACTTCCGAAAAATTAATTAGGTACCTACTGACAAATACTTAGGTATCTACTTAGTCACTTAAAATGGGAACTATTTAAAAAAAGCACTCTACTTAGGTCTTACTAGTACATGCTTAAGTCATCAAGCGCAATACAAACGAATCACTTTAGCACCAACAATTTTTTGAATAAAAAATTGCAAAGTCGTGACAAATTGACAATAACTTAAACTACGTAGAAAACTAATAAATTTCAGCGTCACCATTGTTTTTAAAGTACTCATTTCCTATTTGATTTCGTAACTACGTATGTGCAAAACATTACACAGGTAAAAATCAATATAAATTTATATTCCTAACAAATTCATTACAACTTACAGTTAATTTTCAATACTTACAATAAAGTTTACGCGCCAAAAGTGTTTATAAACACAACCGAGTGACCTATTTTCATTTAATACGGAAAGTAAACTCTATCTTATGTCAAAAAAATATAATAAAAGTGAAAGAAATTACTTGATGTATTCGCCTTCTTTGCGATGTTCGACCACGCTCGTCGATTATGCACTTTATTTGCATATTCCGGTAAAGTTTTGTTGTACAAACACGGATATTTCTCCACTTCCTTCACAAAATCCACTATGTCCCTCCTGTCACACACTTTTGTAAACATATCGTGTTTTCCTTCCATTATTATTTCAATACTGCACAATTTGTGTTATAAAATCACTATCGTATACACGGACATCCGTCACCGATGGAGCGTAGTGCGCAACTGCGAAGCAACATTCGCTCGAAACATAAAATGGCGGAATATTGCGTTGTTGCTGTCCCGCGCGGGGTTGGACCAATGAGAGGCGAGTATTCTGATACACACATAGACAAGTTTCGGTCGATGACATCGAAGTTACACAGTAATGCAGCTAAATATTGCGTCAACTTGAAACATTATTGCGTAATATTTTCCGCTTATTCTTTTTTTTAATGAAAGATTGCTTTTTAATGAAAGATTGATTGATTTTCCCCCCGACCACACGGTCGGGGGGAAAATAAGTTTACAAGTACCAAAATATATTACGATGGTGTTTATTGATGCAGGTTTACTATAGTATTGCATCATTGATAAAAAAGATTATGAGTTTAAGATTCTTACGCAATATTGTATTATTTTTAATCATTTCTGGACTAGAATTATCTCAAGTGGTGCTAATTTTAATTTCCAGTGCCTAGATAGGGTGGAAACCAATATCAGTTTATATTGTAATATTTTTTAGACCTGTCGTTATGTCACACACACACACGCTCTATCTAGAGATAAAATGAACGAATATTAAATTAATATCTACACACACAGACACTCGATAATCATGAGACGCAGGGGTGCTTTAGAATATTTATTATCAAACCTTCCAAGCCATTATAATCTGATGAAAATTCACAAATAACCACAAAAACAAGTAAACATTTTGCAACAATTATTCGTTACAACATTATTTGACACATCTTGGTCAAGTTTCGTCTCTGACTCAGATTTCGCGTGAATAGGAATACCTACGTCTTTTGTACGCGTGTTACACACAACATGACCATGTTCCTATCTTGAATTTTAAGATATTGCCTCCTGTAACTTACAGTTTCAAAAAAACCTGACGATTAATAAGAGGTTCAACTGTTTTGGAGAAAAAATAAAAATTCAAGCGCGTAATGGAGTACTTAAAGGACTTTACTATTATAATTATTTAATTTGATACATTTCCCATTCTCCATAATTCTTCGTAATTTTAAATACAAACCCTCAACTTGAACCTGATGTAACGCAATACTCACCCCCTGTTACACGGGTGAAACTTAAAACTGGTGATAATTGGAGGTAATCTATACTAATATTATAAAGCTGAAGAGTTTGTTTTTTTCTTTGTTTGAACGCGCTAATCTCCGAAACAACTGATTCGAATTGAATAATTCTTTTTGTGTTAGATAGTCCATTTATCGAGGTAGGCTACAGGCTATCAAACATCTCGCTACGACCAATAGGAGCCGAGCAGAGCGTGGGAAACCGCGCGCAAGTAGCTAGTGTTTAATAATGTGCAATTGTGCACGTCAACGTTTGTGAATCACATTTAAACATTAAGGCGTGATGTTATTCTCTTATTGTTCATACTTATTTACAAGTAGCTTCTGCCCGCGGATTCGCCCGGGTCACCGTGGGATAAAATGTCTATGAGGCCTACGTTATTCCAGACTTCAATCTACTCTTCTTTCATTCCGACCCCTACAGTTGTTTTAACGATTGAGTCAATAGCACATACACACAAACTTTCGCATTTATAACGTTAGTAAGATGTATAAAAATCATCAGCGTTTTCAGTCTACTGCTGGACAACTGGACATATGTCATCATCATAATCAACAGCCTATAAATGCCCACTGCTGAGCAAAGGCTCTTCTCACACGGAGAAGGTTCGAGCATTAATCGCCACACTTGCTCAATGCGGGTTGGCGATTACAGACTTAGGTATAATTAGAAATTATAAGCTCAGGTTTCCTCTGTTCCTCCTGTTGGTAGGTTTCGAACCCGCATCCTCATGCATGAGAAGAGGCCTTATACCTTCGGGCCACCACGACTTTTATATATAAAGTAAAGACCTGTCATTAAATAGCATGCAACTGAGCTCAATTTTCAGCTCTTTACATTCATTTAAGGCTCGTACACAAAACTGCAATGCGAAGTCGCATCGCAAGAACTTGCGAATGGATTCGCATCGCGCATCAAATTCCTATCTAATATTTTCTTTATTTCTTTTTCCTGTATCTCCTAAGCAATAACAGAAGTGAACACTTCTTTTTACGATCCATGTCACGACCTAGTTTTCAATTTAAAATATGGTTAGTACGGTTAACGGTCGTCGAAGGAATGATCAACCTGAGAGACGGACGCCTTATCGCACGAAATCGCATCGCAGCAATTCGCATCGTAATTTTTTGCGTTGCGAAATCGCATCGCATCGCAGTTTTGTGTACTAGCTCCTACCTAACCTAACCTATACCTACCTATGTATTTTGTATTTATACTGTGACGATACAGTTGTCTAAATTCCCGCAGGTAGGTACTTAATATCAAACCATGATTTTTCCTACCTATTCTTTGTAAACACATAAAATAATTAAATGCAACAAAGTAGGTACGGCAAAACAGTATTCTGAATCTCCTATACCTATTTTAACATTGGTCTATCATCATTATCATCTTCACAGATGTACCTGAAACTGATCTTCATTACGTTAGCCAAGCTTGGAGATTATATCAAACCTTCTTACGTAGAAGAGTCACATAATGCGCGTACCGACTCAGTGTGTAATGAAATAACTATGAACTGGCTCAAAAAGAAGTTTTGTTCGAGAGAATAGGGAAGATGACAGGGTATGAAAATTAAAAATCTAATTAGTCCGTCAGTTAGGTAATGAAAAAATTTTAGACAAGTATTTTTTTATTTTGTTATATAATAAAATGATACTTAGATATAACGAATCAAAGTTCTACGTATAAAATGTACATAGAAGTGACGTCACGCGACATTTCAAATCAATATATCGTGGAAAGTATTCGTTTTTGTAAAGATAAAAAATACGTGTCTAATGATTTAAAAGACCAGACGGACATTAAAATAAAAATTAGTCATTTACTCTATTACTTTAGAGCGGTTCCGCGGCCGCCGACGTGACACCTCGCAGTGACACCCATCTCTTCGTGTTGTTGTACTACTATTGTTTACATAATATACATACTTTACCTATTTCAGTCACACTTTTAACTGGTTACGAATATATTTTATATAATTATACCGAAATACTTAAAAACTAAAGCAAAAAAAATTGAATTTCTAACAAAAGGTACAGTGATCACTAAGCAAGAGTTAACAAATTCCTATTTTCCTACAAATCGTTGTATTTTTTTTTTTTTGAGGAGGAAAGTCATCAGTTTCGTCTTTACCTACTTTCTATTTCGACCGACTTCAAAAAAAAGAGGCGGTTCTCAATTCGACTGCATATTTGGAAGAACGGTCTTTTTCTTATTTTACGCGGACTTTTTCCTGTGTCATTGGTGTGTTTGCAAGTTTACAAGTATACAAGTTCACATATACATGACAGTATGAATGACACTCAGGCCCGTAATAACAATTTGTAGATCACACAAAGAGTTGCTCCGTGATTTTTTATTGGCATTGTAGAACATACTTTTTTTAAAAAGAGTAACGAATGGAGTTTCTAGCTCGTTCTTCTCCATTCGAATCTACATTTTGGAATGACCACCTAGCTTCACCTAGTTTCACTGACGGACTGACTGACAGACTATTATTTATTTTGTATTTGTTGACGTTTCAAAAGTACCAAACTATGGTTTAATTGAAATAAATGCTTTGACTTTGAATTTGAAATAGGAGGCAAACGAGCAGACAGATCACCTGATGGTAAGCGATTAGCGCCGCCCATGGACACCCGCAACACCAGAGGAGTCACAGGTGCTTTGCCGGCCTTTTAAAAAGGAGTACGCTCTTTTCTTGAAGGTTTGAAGGTCGTATCGGTTCGGAAATACCGCCGACGAATCCGTTTCGAATTTTAACTTTGTTTCCGTGCGGAAAACGATTTCTCAAAGTCGATTCCTCTCGCCCTGGGGAAGGCGAGCGGGAGTGTCAGACTCTTACTGACTAAATAATCACCTCGTCCAAACTCCTACTCTGAGCCGGAGCCTTGGAAACTTAGTACTATATCTACTAGCATGACTTCGCAGAAGGAAATAACTTCTTCTTCTTAGCTATAGTTAAAAAATCACGCACTATGCACTTTATTGATGACTTCCTGTTCTTTTTTTGTTTCGATTTCCCTATAAAAAACAGTAGCCTATGTTACTCCTTAATACATGACCTACCTGCCAATAAAAGTCTTGCAAAATCGGTCCACCCATTCCAGAAATTAGCCAGTAGGTACAAACAGAAAAGTCAAAGTCAAAGCATTTATTTCAATTAGAAAGAAAGTAAGAAAGAAAAGAAAGAAAAAACATTTATTTAGCACCAGGCACGATGCAGCATAAATAAAAAATAAAAAAAGATAATCAAGATGTGACAGTGGAAGTAATAAAAATATAAGAGTTGTAAAATTGAAACAGAAGAATTAGAAAAGAGACGCTGACAACATGCCTATGCTAAAAGGGTCACCCACTCAGTGTAAGCCAGGCATACAGGTTACCCAGCACTGATTTTCAGTGGGCACCCATGCAGTGACGCACGGATGGTAGCAACGTTGTATGGTTAATTAAACCATACCTTTTTCATAGAAACCTCAACAAATACAAAATAAATAATAGTCTGTCAGTCAGTCCGTCAGTGAAACTAGGTGAAGCTAGGTGCTCATTCCAAAATGTAGATTCGAATGGAGAAGAACGAGCAAACTCCATTCGTTACTCTTTTTAAAATAGTATGTTCTACAATGTCTTTGATACATATTCCAATACTGTACTCATATGTAAGAACAATGCAAAGACACGCTTGACGCATTATACTAATAACTTACTAAAATTAAAAATAAAAAATCTTAAAGTCTAACTGGTGCTAACATATGCATACTGACAATCCATAGAAATAGTGCTTCTATACAAGAAAAAGGAAAAGGACAGACAAACAAAAAAAAGTTTGTTATTTTCGTATTAGTGTATTCATATACATATATGCATGGAGTAAAAAGCAGATATTTAATATTACAAACAGACACTTCAATTTTATTTATCTGTATAGATTTATAGATGATGATGATGTTCGTTAATCATGAAATATCATCCCCTAAATTTTTTCATACAAAAGTAGTCTATAGACATCGGAAATAAGGTCTAAATTTAGTAAGTGGAGAGCGGTCACAGGTGACCGCTTGGGGATTTAAGGAAAAGCTTATAAAACCTCGTTCGTGATTAACACAGTAATGTCGAATTATATACTTAACCATTATCTTAATTTTTATCTTAAGTATCTACCTAGGTACTTACTTTCAACTTTTTTATTATAAGTAGTTGGGTACCTTCATATTTTTCAGTAGGTACAGTCACCATAAAAACTGTGACACCATGATTGACAGAAATTAAACAAAAAAAAAATTATAGTCGGCTGCGATTCTCAGTGTTCTTATTTTTAAGTCTTTTTTTAGGAGCGATAATTATCAAATGACTACTCCCGCCTGTGTGAGGCGGGAGGGAGTGTCAGACTCTTACTGACTAAAAACCACCCCGTTCCTTCTCCTGCACGTCGAGCCGGTGCCCCGGTTACCCGTTAGGTTCTCCGCGACTATTTTTAAGTCTATGTTGTCTTGTTGATTGGGTTTTGTGGTATAAGGTTTTTATTCAATTATTTTTTAAACAGTCACAACGGGAGAATGCCAATTACAGTAACTGACATATTTACAGCAATAAAAGAAGAAATTTTAACTAATACAAAACATAAACATTACACATAGGTATTATACTTAGTATGAACTATAGACTCATTTTAACAGTTTGAACTCAAACATAGAAAACATTTAATCTAGGATTTCATTTACCTACCACATGTTTGAAATAACATAATAGAACATCACGCCTTTTATCCCCGAAGGGGTAGGCAGAGGTGCACATTATGCCACTGTACAATGTAACACCCACTTTTCACTATTTATGTTATGACTCCCATGTAATAGGGGGTGAGCCTATTGCCATATACCGGGCATAATTCCAGACTCCGTGTTACTACTGAGATTTTTATTAAAAACCCAGTAATAGTTTGCCCGACCCGGGTATCGAACCCGAGACCCCTTGCCCGGCAGTCGCGCTTGCGACTAGTCGAATGTTTCGCATGTTTGAAATATTACTTCCAATAAACAAAAAAACCATTAAAATTTTCCGAATGACAATTTCAAATAAAAAAAAATCTTAACTTCCAACGCTGACTGTCCCTTGAAAGTCTTCGTCAGCATTTCTACTGCGCATGTGCGAAGTGAAGTGGCTGATTCTCGTCTCGAGTTCAGTACACCCACTGTCTCTTACGCGGTAGGTGACTCTAATCTTATTACTAAATGAGGTAAGGCGATTTCAGTACTTATTCCAAAGCATGTAAGTCGGATTATCCTGTGAAGTAATGCTTGGCTATAGACTAGTCTTTTTGTATTGTTTGTATTATTTTTAAAGTTAATGTTTATAGTGTGTACTCGTGTTTTTGTAGTTAATGCCAGAATACTGAAACGTTACTCAATTTTAAGTCGTGCTCAAATATCGTGCCATCTCTGTCATTTTACAAAGAATTTGTAGAGATAGAACTATACTTAAGCACGACTTAAAATTGAGTAGCGTTTCAGTATTCCGACATAAGTGTACTAAGAACGCATAATTCTTATTCAAGCATATTTTAAGTGTTAAATTCATTGGTTCGTGTCATCTATACAGATAAGTAAAATTAGAGTGTATGTTTGTTATATTAAAATAACCGCATTTTACTATATACTACTATGCATATACTCTTAACAATTTTTGTCCGTCTGTTTGTACTGGCTAATCCTTGAAATGGTTGTAAATCTCTTTTTATCACTTTTATCATTTATTCCTGTAGTCTGTAGAATTTTATTTCCTACTAGACTTAACCCATTTTCAAACATTCATTTTATTAAGCCACGCCTAAGTATTTTGCCATGTGAAAACAAAGTCCCTGCTATTTAAGCGCCTTCAAAAAATATTTTAGCAATTATCCACAAGAATAACATTCACTATAGATTTCAAAACGGTCGTGGTGGCACGGAGGTTTAAGACGTCCGCTTCTCATGCACGAGGGTACGGGTTCGAAACGGTACCAACGGCAAGTACCAATGACTCTTTTTCCGAGTTATATGTACACTTTCACACACACACATAAAGTGTACTGTACTTCATGTGTGTGTAAAAGTGTGGGAGAGCCATGCTTCGGCACGAATGGGCCGGCTCGACCGGAGTGATATCACGGCCTTGAGGATGGTTTTCTGTGAAGAAAACCGATGTGAAACAATGCGAGGTTACCGGAGGCCCAAAATATGTATACTTTTGGTTTCATTCATCCTCAATCTTCAAATATGCAATCCTGAAATCTCTGACTACCAAAGGTATCCCTCAAATAGTTTAAATTGCCGGATTGCGAACGGATTGTCGGGGCTCAATGAACAAAATTAGGAACGGAGTGGTTTTAGTCAGTAATTTGTTTATTTATTTTTCCCCCCTCTAAAAAAACCGAGATACAGCGAGAGAAGGGGAGGTGAAAATATAACAGAATATAAAAATATCATCTTTTGTTCCCGAAGGGGTTTGCAAAGGTGCACATTACGGCACTTAATACCACTGTACAATGTAACACCTACTTTTCATTATTTATGTTATGAGTCCCATGTAATAAGGGGTGAGCCTATTGCCATATACCGAGCACAATTCCAGACTCCGTGCTACTACTAAGATTTTTTTAAAACAGCAGTATAACTTTGCCCGCCTCGGGAAGCGCACCCGAGATCCCTTGCCCGGCAGTCGCACTTGCGACCACTCGGCCAACGAGGCAGTCAGGTGAAAAATGTCACCACAGGGCTAATTATTACCTCATCATCATCATCAGCCTATAAATTCCCACTGCTGAGCAAAGCCTCTTCTCACACGGAGAAGGTTTGAGCATTAATCGCCACGCTTGCTCAATGCGGGTTGGCGATTACAAACTTATAATTAGAAATTATAAGCCCAGGTTTCCTCACGATGTTTTCCTTCACCGTTTGTCAGTGGTATCTAGATAATCTCAGGAAGTACATGTAACTCGGAAAAAGTCACATTGGTACTTGCCTTTGGTAGGTTTCGAACCCGCATCCTCATACATGAGAAGAGGGCGTCTTAAACCTCCGGGCCACCACGACACACCTTATTTGGCCACCACCACACACAATTATTACCTAATCATATGAAATAGATTCAAAAAAACATTCTTGTCAAGTACATAAGTACTTAAGAATGATCAATCATTTTCCGTCATATTACAACGATACACGAATTAGTTTTTCCATTTCAAAATAATGATTGTCATTCCTAACAAAAGGTTTAAACCGTTAATTGCATTTTTTTTATCTAATAACGAATTAGTAAATAGATAGTGATATAAATGTTTAAATAGATATATTTTTTATGTAACTTCAAGTACTTATTATATGAGATTTGCGCAATAATTGTAATCATCACGCAATATGTAAAATTATTTTTTTTGGTGTTAAGAAGGTGTGACCTTGTGCCTTGTATTGTGATAAGTAGCTCTTTAGTTTTTTAGGTTCATTCTAGGTGTTTATATGCCACGTATAGGATTTTTTTTTTTTAATTTTCTCAGTAGTAGCACGGAGTCTGGAATTGTGCCCGGTATATGGCAATAGGCTCACCGCCTATTACATGGGACTCATAACATAAATAGTGTAAAGTGGGTGGTACATTGTACAGTGGTATAATGTGGACCTCTGCCTACCCCTTCGGGGATAAAAGGCGTGATGTTATGTTATGTTAACAATTAAAAAAAGAGCGAAATAAAAAAACTCATACGTGTATTAAAACTTAATTACGTGTATTAAACGCGTATTCAAAACTCATACATCTTACTAACATTATAAATGCGGATGTTTGTGTGTATGTTTGTATGTTTGTTACTCTACCACGTCAAAACGGCTAAAGGGACCGGGATGAAATTTGGAACAGCGGTAGATTATGGTTCGAAACAGGGATGTTATGGATATGAAATTTCGGATACGGATTGGATACGGATATAAATATGATTATTATACTAGATACGGTTACGGGTACGGATATGAAATTGTTTCGGATTATCCATTAGTTTCGGATAATTTCGGTTACGGATATTAATATTTTAAGGAATTTCAAAAGTAAAATACAAATAGCTAATATAATTGTTTCGTTTATACGTCACGCCGCTATCCGATAGTATCCGAAACTTTTATTTCGGATTCGGTTACGGTTACGGATATTTTTTATATCGCATATCCGATAGTTTCGGTTACGGTTACGGAGCTCCCTAACATCCCTGGTTCGAAATATCACATAATCTACTTTTTATTCTACAGGAACGCGGATAATGCCGCTGGCTGAAGATAGTATAAAATAAAGCAGATTAGCATTTCATTTTCTTTGACTGTAAAACGAGAATATTGAAAAGTACTGTTAGAAGTGCGCAACAAAAAATGTAATTAAGTGTAGAAAATAATATTATCTTTGGAGTACACAAAACCCTTTAATGCCTAAACCAATCCCATTTACGATCATAAAAAAATGAGGTTAAATAAACGGTTCTTAATATTTTTTCTCAATTGTTCCAGGTGTTAATCATCGCATGGCAGTCAAGCGGCAAGATGTCGGGCATGACGGGAGCGAGCATGCTGCGCACGCGCAGAAAAGATGTCAACGTCAAACCGAACCGAAAGTGAGTGAGATAGATACACGTCACAACACCCAACCGCTAAGGGGAAGTCATGATGGACAAACAAATGTATAATTAAATTAAATAAGATAGTTTTTTTTTTCAGTCAAGTATGTCCCTAGATGACTTTCTCGAACGCCCTCATCATCATTGACAACGCATGTCTCCATAGTAGTAGCTTCTTAACCTTCAGCCATCCATGTCATGACGTCACCCGTTTATAGTGCACATTAAGGAAACTTCTGAGAAGTTCTGATGGTCTAACCGAGTGGTCAACTCGGTCAGCTAAGGCCAAAATCAAAGCATTAAATTCAATTACACCCGAAAAATTGGAAAACTATAGCCAGTGTGTAGCTCTAAATTGGCTATCCAGGTTAGGTAGTTAAGCAGGCAGATTATAAACAATTTAACTCTATCTATTTTATATCAAATGGAAAATCGCTATGCAGTTCCTATGTCCGGAGAAAAGACAGAGATAAGTAAACTCTTAATGACAAAAAAGTCTCGTTTAAGTCCCCGGACCGCATAAATCCAGGTTCTTCAGCAACCAAGGCCAGGTTAGGTAGACCAAAGCGAAATTCCAGTGGCTAACTCTCATGGACTTAGACAGACAAAAGGTGTGTGGGGCGTATCCAGGCATGGAACTCAGAAGGGTAGCTGGTACATTGTGGCTTCAGTTGGCAGAAGACCGCGTCTTGTGGAGACTGAAGAGGTCCATGGCCAGACCCAAAGAGTTACAAGATGAGGATGATAGGTAACAAGGTGTCTATTTTATGTGCACTGTAAATGGCGTAAAGAATGTCTGTGGGCACCCTCAAAGCTGGACCGCACTCGATTTTGTTCTTCTCAATTTTATTTTTGGTCTTTTGCTGGACATGTTTATGAAATTATTCTAACTCTGACATTGATAAACCTCTGATTGTTTAGGTATATGTATAGTCTTTTGCTGTAACTCACCCTCGCTAAGGCTCTTGTCTGTTTAACTGGGTAATTTTTGCGGTGACCTTGAGATTAAAAACCTTAACTTACAACTCGTACCCGTACAGAGTGCCAAGCACGTGTCTGCTCCAGTAAATCAACCTAATTGGAGAGCTGAACGCGTCATATCTTTCTTTTTTTATTATACTTTATAGGTCGACGTTTGACCACCATCTCGCCTGGTGGTAAGCAATGATGTGGCCGATGGAGCACGCCTACCTATGAGCAACCTGTTCACTCGGGACTTGAAGACACCCAAGTCATATTTGACGGGAAACATAGCCTCTGGCAAGGAATTCCATTCCTTAGCGGTTCGCCTGAGGGAGCTTAACGCGAAAAGTTTGTGCGAATGGGTGGAATGTCCACCATATAAGGGTGGAGCCCCGCCGTTCGTCTGGTGGTACGGTGGTGAAATGGATTAGGGGGAATAAGTTTGTGCAATTCCCACGCACACTCACCGAAATGTACCTTCATCGTTGAGTTACGAATGCAATGCTTGGTATTCTGAAATACACTCAAATTAAATGATGGTATCCCTGTAGGGCTCGATTGCCTCGTCTGTACTACTTGTGGATATTGCTTGGAGTCGGTACTTCTTTTCTAACAACCAACATAGCGTAGTGTTGACCACGCGACGTCGCGCGTCGCTGCGCTGTTCATGAGTATGAGCCATACTTATTATAACTCATACTCATGTACAGAGATTGGTATGGAAAATAATAATGGTTCCGAAAAACAAATTAATCTCCAGCGACCGGTGACCGAGTGGCCGACTATAAAAATGGATCTTCGAATAACAAAACTAAACTTCCGAATAGAATATAGAACCTCCGACAAAATTACTAAGTTACCGACAACAGACGTTTTAGGTTAAGTTAGGTTAGTATTGTACCCCGCCCTGGGACCTAGAGGCGAAAGTACTCGCGTCACTATACCGATGGCGCGAGGAAGAGCGGACACGGGGCTCGAGGCCGGTGCAGCGCCAAATCGAGCGGCGCCGAGAGGGGCTCCGTCAGGTCTTGGTGGCGGAATGGCGGCAAAGGCTGCTGCGCCCCACCGCCGGCTTTACTACCGTCGAGGCGATCCGGCCAGTACTCGACGACTGGCTCGAGAGGAAGCACGGCTCCCTGTCGTTTAGGGTGACGCAGGTGCTGTCGGGGCACGGCTGCTTCGGCAAGTACCTGTGCCGCATAGAGAGGGAGCCGGACGCCCGGTGCCACCACTGCGTCCATTGCGGGGAGGACACGGCGCAACACACGCTCGCCGAGTGTGTAGCTTGGGAGGAGCAACGCCGTGTCCTCAGAAATGAAGTAGGAAGCGATCTGTCGCTGCCGGCCGTAGTGCGGAAGATGGTGGACAGCGCAGAGTCGTGGGACGCGGTGGTGTCTTTCTGCGAGAATGTGATGTCGCAGAAGGAAACTGCGGATCGGGAGAGGGAGATCTTACTGACTTCCTTTCCCAAGCGCAGAAGGCGCACCGGGCGTAGGAGAAGGGCCGACAGCGCCCTTTTCCGGCCCCCATAAATGGGTCCAGGGGCGAAGGACTTGGGGAAGTCCTCGCTCCCGATTTCAAAGACCCGAGTCGAATTTGAGGCGATGCACGTGGTCCGTGCAGGTGACGGGGCCCTGACTTACGGGCCGGCACTGTAATGCGGGGCTGCGGATGAATTTGGAGTCCCGCGGCCCCGCACGCACGTGCGAGGAGACACTGGGGTGGTTTTAGCCGGTAAGAGTCCGGCACACCCCTCCGCCTTTCCCCAGGCGGAGGCAGTCCATGAGGATTTCCCCCCATAAAAAAAGGTTAGTATTGTAGTAATTAACAGTCATGTAAAGTAGTCTGAAAGTTAGTATTTAAGGCAGTAGATTTAATATTTTCAGTAAGGACAATTCTTCTTTTCTTGTCGGAGCTTTTATTGCTACTCGATTGGTGTGAGTCTTGCTCATGACTAGAAAGTAGGTGTTTTTCTTTTTTCTTCGAATAGTTCTCGAGAATTAATTTACTATTGTCCAAGTACTCAAACGCCACTTAATTTTCATATTGCGCTTAAGTACAGTTCTGTCAAAACAATGTCTTCGTAAAATAATAGAGATGGCACGATATTTAAGTACAATTTAAAATTGAATAGCCATTCAATATTAGGGCATATGTCTCACGATAATTATCATACACTAGCTTCTGCCCGCGACTTCGTCCACGCAATACCGTTTTCTCCCGGTTCCGTAGGAGTTTCAGGACCTATTTTTGTCATAAGAACCTTCTCCTGACAATAATAAAGACAACAAAAATCTGCCAAATCGGTCTAGCCGTTCTCAAGTTATGGTGTTACAGCGGGAAACTGGTTTTATTTTTATATTATACTAGCTTTTACCCGTGGCTTTGCTCGCGTCACAAAAGGATAAAAGGTAGCCTATGTTACATATACCAATACATACAGCGCCATCTACACAAATACTTTTGTTTTCCCTCGGGATTATCAAATTTTTCCAGGATAAAAAGTACCCTATTATTTAATCCAGAGTCCAGACTTCTAACTTTACGTCTGCAAAATTTCAAAGCAATCGGTTTAGTAGTTACGGCGCGAAAGTGGAACAAACAAACAAACTCACTTTCCAATATAAGTAAGGATTTACATAGATGTCGAAAAAGTTGTCACATTTTTTTTCTATTAGAGCGATGAGCACCATATCAGTGGATGAGCATGATACAATACTTTTTAACAGTTTTATCAACCAGTGATGTTCCAAAATATCACTTAAATGCGTAATCATAGGTCACAGAAATGCTTCGTCACAACTGACAGCAACTCTAAGATCGGATTGACGTCACATAAGTCATACAGTTGCTGAAACTGTTAACCAAATAATGATTGTCGTGATAAGCAAAAATAGTCGTTTTGTATTATTACTAAGTGTGGGAGTGTAGTAAGTGTGGGAGATGCTTCGGCATCTCCGGCCGGCTCGACCGGAGTGATACCACGGCCTCACAGAAAACCGACGTGAAACAACGCTTGCATTGTGTTTCGTCGTAGGAGTGAGGTTACCGGAGGCCCAATTACCCTCCCTAGTCCCCGTCTCCCGAATCCTCGAATCCTCCACAATCCTCAAATTCCCAATTCCCAAAAGGCCACTTGTAACGCCTTGGTGTTTCGAGTGTCCATGGGCGGCGCCGATTGCTTACCATCAGGTGATCCGTCTGCTCGTTTACCGGCTTATGCTATATAAAAAAACTAGCTTTTGCCAGCAGCTACACCCGCGTCCCCGTGGGATAAATAGTACCCTATGTTATTATCCAGATCATAATCTACCCCTGTTGCAAATTTCATCCCGATTCCTTCAGCTGTTTTGCCGTGAAGAAGTTACAAACAAATCCTTACTAATATTATAAATGGGAAAGTGAGTTTGTTTGTTTGTTCCACTTTCACGCCGTAACCACTAAACCGATCGCTTTAAATTTTTGCAGACGTAAATTTTGAAGTCCGGACTTTTTAACCCAGAACAATTTGATATTCCCAAGGGAAAACAAAAATATTGGTATAGATGGCGCTGTGTGTATTGGTATATGCCACATAGGCTACTTTTTACCGACTTCAAAAAAAGGAGGAGGTACTATGTTCGGCTGATTGTTTTTTTTCTTAACTTTTTGTGACGCGAGCGAAGCCGCGGGTAAAAGCTAGTAGACGTATAAACATTCGCATTTATAGTACCTACTAGCTACTAGCGTGTGGATTCACCCGCTAGTCAGCTCCTATTGATCATCCTCTTCAACTACATAATTATGTCCTCTAACCAAATCTTGTCAATTCGTTGCTCCACATTTATTATATTGATTGGTACCTATGTTTGTTTGGGAATTGTCTTGAGAGTCCCACATTTTCCATGATAATATTATTTATAAGGTCTTCAACAATGCCAAATATATAAACCTTTACAGTTTTTGCTTCGATTAGTTGATAATCGATGACCTTTACCATACCTTCACAATAACCAACCTCGACATTATCTGATGTTCAGCAAAAGACGTTTAAGTTTCTATCGGTCTTCGTTCCAGAACTTTCATCTTGCACAAAGTACGAATTTGTACGTACGTTAACGCGATTCACACGTTTATGACGTTCAGCGCTCTGATTGGCCTGCTTCATTTAACCCACCAATCAGAGGGTGAATGAGCGGTTTCGATCGCGTTCACGTACTTGCATTATTACCTCGGCACTTTTTTTCTTATTTCACTGTCGCATATCGCATCATTCGCTTGCATTAAAACTTTTCTTTGAATTTAAAACCCTCGTTTGCCGTAATTGCATGAACATCTTAGATTATACCTTAGAGTACAGATCATGTAGTCATTTCACATCATTTCCATATAAAGCATAGCAGACAAACATGATCATATTATTATATCTTAATATTAAAATACTACATAGAACTATGACTACCTAATTCAATCGTTTCTTTTTTATTCAAATTTTTAAATATAGTTAGAGCAATTTCTAACTCTTTGACTATCTTTTTCAACCGACTTCAAAAAAAATAAAACCGACTTCAAATGCGAGAACACAAAAAAAAACTAAAAATTAAAAAATAATTCCTAATACCTATTACCTAATACTATAATTTTTCTAAACTATATCAAAGTAATTAAAGTTAAACCATCTAAATATCTTAAAATAGTTATACTTATATACCTACCTATTGTTTTTTGGAGTCGGTGCCAGTGCCAGCGTATTAAAGTTTACCCGCGAACTAGAGACGTGCGACGCGGTGGCGGGGGACGCATGGCGCGAGGCGGGGCCGCGCGGTGCGGCGGGGGACGCGGGCGCGTGCGGTCTTGCTCGAGTAAGCGACCCGAAGGCGGGCAGACGCTTGAGGGCAGACTACGTTGACGCTCGTGTCAAAAATACTGAATTTTCGGATGCGCAATATTTCAAATTATTGCTTTCTTTTTTGTTTGTTGTATTCTATTGTAGGATTTGTAGGTATTTGTTATTCTTTGTTGGTATAGGTTTAGTTGTACCAGGCTACATACAACTTATTTCTTAATATTTTTGTTTCATTGAGTACTTTTTCTTATTTCATTAGGTTTAATATTCATTTATTACTGGCACCGACTCCAAAAAACAATAGGTAGGTATATAAGTATAACTATTTTAAGATATTTAGATGGTTTAACTTTAATTACTTTGATATAGTTTAGAAAAATTATAGTATTAGGTAATAGGTATTAGGAATTATTTTTTAATTTTTAGTTTTTTTTGTGTTCTCGCATTTGAAGTCGGTTTTAATTTTTTTAAAAAGTTAATTATTTTATTTTAAAATTTTTAGTGTTACTTTTTTGTAGATACCCTTAGTGCATTTAATATGGGTAGGCCTACTAAACGCGCAGCCTTAATGAGACAGCGCCGTTTGGAGGAAACAAAAGAAGAAAGGGAAGTGCGTTTAAAAGAAAGTAGAGAAAGAAATGCTAAAAATATATTAAAGGAGAGTGATGTGCAGCGGACTTCTAGACTTTCGAAAATGAGAGCATACGAAAAGTTAACCAGAATCAATGAAAGCCCCGATTTCTTCAAATTCGCATGAAACCACCCTTTTGATAATACCTATTCAACAAAAAAATAATAGTTCAAATTGGTTCATAATCGGCGGAGATATTGCGTATAAAAAAATCATCCCCCAATTTTCCACCCTTGGGGGTGAAATATTTTCTTCAAATTCGCATGAAACCACCCTTTTGATAATACCTATTCAATAGGTAAAAAAAAACATACGGGTCGAATTAAGAACCTCCTCCTTTTCAACCGACTTCAAAAAAAGGAGGAGGTTCTCAATTCGACCCGTATGTTTTTTTTTTTTTTTTTTTCTATATTTGTTACGCGATTACTCCGCCAAATATGAACCGATTTGAAAAATTCTTTTTTCGGCGTATAGGTAATACCTCAAGGTTGGTCCCATTTAAATTTACTAATAAAAATAACAACCCCCAAGGGTGGAAAATAGGGGATGAATTTATTTATACGCAATAACTCCGCCGATTTTAAACCAATTTGAACGATTATTTTTTTATTGAATAGGTATTATCAAAAGGGTGGTTTCATGCGAATTTGAAGAAATCGGGGCTTTCATTGATTCTGGTTAACTTTTCGTATGCTCTCATTTTCGAAAGTCTAGAAGTCCGCTGCACATCACTCTCCTTTAATATATTTTTAGCATTTCTTTCTCTACTTTCTTTTAAACGCACTTCCCTTTCTTCTTTTGTTTCCTCCAAACGGCGCTGTCTCATTAAGGCTGCGCGTTTAGTAGGCCTACCCATATTAAATGCACTAAGGGTATCTACAAAAAAGTAACACTAAAAATTTTAAAATAAAATAATTAACTTTTTAAAAAAATTAAAACCGACTTCAAATGCGAGAACACAAAAAAAACTAAAAATTAAAAAATAATTCCTAATACCTATTACCTAATACTATAATTTTTCTAAACTATATCAAAGTAATTAAAGTTAAACCATCTAAATATCTTAAAATAGTTATACTTATATACCTACCTATTGTTTTTTGGAGTCGGTGCCAGTAATAAATGAATATTAAACCTAATGAAATAAGAAAAAGTACTCAATGAAACAAAAATATTAAGAAATAAGTTGTATGTAGCCTGGTACAACTAAACCTATACCAACAAAGAATAACAAATACCTACAAATCCTACAATAGAATACAACAAACAAAAAAGAAAGCAATAATTTGAAATATTGCGCATCCGAAAATTCAGTATTTTTGACACGAGCGTCAACGTAGTCTGCCCTCAAGCGTCTGCCCGCCTTCGGGTCGCTTACTCGAGCAAGACCGCACGCGCCCGCGTCCCCCGCCGCACCGCGCGGCCCCGCCTCGCGCCATGCGTCCCCCGCCACCGCGTCGCACGTCTCTAGTTCGCGGGTAAACTTTAATACGCTGGCACTGGCACCGACTCCAAAAAACAATAGGTAGGTATATAGGTATAACTATTTTAAGATATTTAGATGGTTTAACTTTAATTATTTTGATATAGTTTAGAAAAATTATAGTATTAGGTAATAGGTATTAGGAATTATTTTTTAATTTTTAGTTTTTTTTTGTGTTCTCGCATTTGAAGTCGGTTTTATTTTTTTTAAAAAGTTAATTATTTTTTCACTTACTAGGTGGCGCCTCTGTTGATCGTAAGGTCTCGTTAATCACTGTAAATTACTAATTTGCTGATATTTAACTAGTATCTTAGGTTATGATCAAAAAACTAAATTAACATTTGCCCTTAGGTTGGATCGCAAATCCTCGCGGGGCATGCTGTACGAAAACGAAGAGCTGCGCTTACGTACTATAAATATCAATGCCGAAGTTGAAAGAGGTAATATCTGTTGTATATCTATGTCTAGAGATTATTGGAAGGGTTGGGTTAGAGCTGTGTTCCGAAAAGAAATCGAATCACCATTATAAATAAATGGTTATCAAGAATATAGTCTTATACTAGTTCTTAAAGAGGTTATGCAGTAAATTGATTACCTGATTTAGCTGGTTGATTCTCTTTCTATCTATATCAGCGGGGTTATTATGACGTCATAAAGTCAAAATGGTTCCATTGAGGAAAAGAACCAGAAGTATACAAGTCCTTTTTTTTAAATAAACGTAGCCCCACATTAGGATTTTCTCCTGTGTCGAGGGTGCATTTACAAACATACAAGTTCACATACACAATAACATCCAGACCCGAAACAACAATTTGTGGATCACACAAAGTGTTGTTCCGTGCGGGAATCGAACCCGCGACACGTTGCCGGTTGCCCAACCACCGCACCAACCGTGCAGTCAAAGCGTTTAGCGAGATCTCGTCACCTCAACGGAACCACTCCGGCTTTATGACGTAATAATACGCTACCGGTTATCGAAATACCCATTCTTGTATGCATATGACTTTATACTTTCACAACCACACAACAGAGTCCTATTTAACTTTTTTAAATGTAAGCTTCCACTTGTCATTACGTGGCTGCCATTCTAAAACTAGGGTCAAAACCCTATCGACTGGAGTTCTTCGCAGGTTGCTTCGGACCGGCTGATCTGAATCTCACTGCAAGGCTGTTTGGTCCCAGTAAATTATAATACATTTTTCATAGCCTTTTTCTTGAGAAGGAAAATCATCCAATGACTTTTCCCACCACATATGAGTGAGGTGACAGGGGAGAAGGAGTATCAGACTCGTACTGACTAAAAACCACCCTGTTCTTACTCCTGCTCGGCAAAAACGTAAAGTGTTCCGCGGTTCTAGATGGAGTCGATTAATGCTCGAATAAAAAATACCAATTTTAGAGACGGGGCAGTAGCAATCTCTTATAAACCTGTTACTTTTAAAATTTATTGTCATTTCCACCTGGTTAATAAGCGTAGAGCAAACATCAACCATTTTCTTATACAAAACTAGCGGACCCAACAGATGTTGTCCTGCATATCCACTTGAATGTATAAACAAAAATTCATTCAAATTAGTTCAGCTGTTTAGGATAAATAACCAAAACATCGACTGCAGCGCCATCTGCCGGGCTGATTTGTGAATCTAAAACATTCCCAGATCCCCAGACACAAAAAAAAGTTTCATCAAAATCGCTCCAGTCGTTTGAGTGAAGTTCAGTGACATACACACTCACAGAAGAATTATATATATAAAGATTCGCAGTAGACTTCCACAGGGCTGTTGATGATGATGATCATGATGATGACATGTTACCTACAGGTCAGTCGGACATCAAGAAGCTAAAACGTGAGAACGAACAGCTGAAACGGGAAATATCAGCTCTTCGCTATGAGTACGATCGTCTGGACAGCATGCTGCGAGACCGAAGGTCTTCACCGGAGCACTCGGACGTACGTAAACACCTTTATTGTCTAATGTCTATATCTATATCTATTATATAAAAATAAGTCGAGTTTTCCTTCCTGACGCTATAACTCCAGAACGCACGAACCGATATCCACGGTTTTGCATTCGTTGGAAAGATCTCGGGCTCCGTGAGGTTTATAGCAAAGAAAATTCACTAATCACCAAACGAAATGTTACATAAAACGAAGCCATCTGGTGGCGAAACGGAGTTCGCCGTGGTTTGCCAGTTATCTTATATTTCTTTATCTTATTTTTCCAAATTCCTTTTTATTCTGACTGCACGGTTGGCGCGGCGGCTGGGAAACCGGATCCCGCGCAACGTGTCGCGGGTTCGATTCCCGCGCGGAACAACTTTTTGAGTGATTGTTATTCCGGGTCTAGGTGTGATATGTTTGTGAAATTGTATGTTGGTAAACGCACTTACGATACAGGAGGAAAATCCTAGTGTGGGGCAACGTTTATAAAAAAGAATAAAGTTATTCTACTGTAGCACACACATTATTCATAAGTGGAGAAAAATGGGTTATATTTTTAATGCTATTATGTACTTTCCGTTACAAAAATACATAAACTATAATATTTGCAAAATTCTTAGACTTAGGCTTAACTTACCTACTTTGAAAAACTGCCTCGTTGGCCGAATAGTCGCAAATCCGACTGCCGGGCAAGGGGTCTCGGGTTCGATTCCCGGGTCGGGCTTTTTAGTCGGCCTTACTAGGTTTTTAAAAAAATCTCAGTACTAGCACGGAGTCTGAAATCGTGCCCGGTATATGGCAATAGGCTCACCCCCAAATACATGGGACTCATAACATAATTAGTGAAAAGTGGGTGTAACTTCTGTGTGCACCTCTGTCTACCCCTTGTTATGTTATGTTATGAAATATTGGTAAATAAGATCAACAATCATAAAAGAGAATTATAATGATTGTTCATTCTACCCTGTCTAGAGATCCCCACTGCAGTAACATATTCGGATTTTTTGTAATAATAAGATAGAATGATTCATTAAACAAGATAACTTAGCTATAAATCTCTAGTAAAAGGAACTCGTGTAACATGATATCAGTACCTATATTTATTTACTTCAATAAAAGCATACAAAACAACATCAGTTTGTAATCTGTAAAGGACTTGGGTTGAATACGTCTTCAAATGGATTCCATCCACTATATGATGCACACACTTCTATATACAGATAATCTCTACCCAACGTTTGGGCTTCCACTCTTAAAGGAGCCATTAACATCGTCAAACCTTCTCCAGTCATCTCAGCCTCAATGAACAAACTGTATAAATTAACGCATCTTTGTATAAAAACTACTATGTTGTCTGTCAAAACATCTTCATTATCAGCCACTCTCTCGCGCTCCCTAATATGAACATTTTCCAAACTGGTACAATTGCATAGAATCTCAAAAACTGTGTTGTACTCTATATCATCCGATATTAACATGAAATTCTTTAGCTTCGCCAAATGAATCGCTCTCGACAGAAACTTTGTATATTCACGTATCATCTCATTCTCGATATACACGTCTAATGTAACCAATTTGGGACAAGCAGTAAATAGATTAACGAAGAAATCTCTGCTGAGTAATATATTGTTTATACTCAAAAATGTCAAGTGCTGCGTTGTCTCAGACTTCCATGGTAAGCTAATTGGCAGTCGACAACTTATCGGCAGACCGTCACGACGGCAGAAATCCGTTAACGTAACTTTCACAAATCCGTTAACGTAAATTTCTTCTGACAAATCCTTGATCTCTTTCCCAAAATTCACGCAATTGTCAATACAATACCAAGCGCTGGGTGCGTTTGTGATCTGCATTCTTGTCTGGTAATGCATGCAAACGTATGTGGGGAAGTAATCTTTTAATTCCAAAAGCACATCATCAAAGAATTTCCCATCAAAAGTCGTCGTTGCTTTGTTCCAAGCTTTAAAGACCATATAACCGCTCATCATGAAATTAGGCGGCAAATCAGGACTAACTGTCAATTCAATGCCGGTACAGCAAATCGTAAATAAGTTTGCTAAGACAGGTGATACGTAAATATCTATTTTCATTAAATGCCTTATGCAAATATATTCAAGTTGACTAAATATTAATCTTGACACACCTTCTAGTTGCTTCGACAAGTTGTGTGGAGACGCCAAGACATTGAGCTGGTAAGTCAGTTGATTGAAGTTAGGCTCAATTTTATAAGAAGGATCATTGATACTGGACAGCAAGTATCCTTCGTCTACGTAGAATTCACTCAAATTGCCAGATCCTGATATTGTAACTTTCAATTTTTTTACCATGGGTAGTCCTTTTAGGAAAAGAAGAGGGCATGCTGTAACAATGTATTCGAAGACCACTAGATGAACAGCCTCAAATTGCCTCTCTTTGAACGTGTTTCGACATTTTATGCTGATGCTGTCATTCATATAGCTGCTTGGACATTTGAAGAAGTTGATGCCAATATTTTTAACTTTCGTTGGGCATACCTCATCTATGTCTGATAAGTAGATGTTCGTGAAAGATATATCCAGGGACTTAAGGTTAACGAATCTGTGTATGTGAGGCTTTAAGTTCTGCACTGTTAGGTCTTGTACTCCGCTTAAATTTAGGTTCCTCATGTACTCTGCGAAGTCTAGGAAGAGTTTCTCATTCAGTGTCTTTACAGTTGCTAGCGTGCTTCGAGAAAGAACTATATTAGTCAAGAAACAACATCCCAATGCAAAGTATTCTTTAATTTGATCCGAACAGTTGTACACATTGATTTTAGTCTTAGTGTCTAAATAGTTGAATATTGTTACACCGACCTCAACAGGGAAATCTAAAAAGTTCATTGTAAAGTTTCTGTTGTAATTTAATGAATTAGGATTGAGAATATAACTTTATAAAAATTTCCGTATAAAAATACTTTGGCCTAAATATTGATTAATGACATTGACGTTTTTAACGCCATGGATACAATTAAACTATTGGCTCAAACTATCCAAATAGTTCTCATTACGAAAAGTTATTTCTTCTAATCCAAGTTCTGTAGGTACTACTAGGTAGGACTGTATTATCATAACATCACGTTTCTTAACGGGTTAGGCAGAGGCTAAGCAAAAACTCTCTGGCTCTCGCTTTTCACTTCGGAGCAATCTTTTAAACAATCGAATAACTAATATCAACTTGTATTATTTACACAACCCTCAGAAGGTGAACGGAGGCCTAAATCTGTACGGTTGTGTGCACCACAATGTATCACCCACTTTTCTTCCCCGTTATGGTATGAGTAGTTATCGTATGTTAGTGACTACCGTTTTTTTTGTCCAAACGATGCAGCTGTTAAATATTGAACGTCTAATGCTATGACAATAGCTAATTGGGTACTTGCCAACTAGTAAAATTAATCCTTTTTTCGAACTGTCAAAAACGACAGTTTTCTATGAATTTGGTACGAGATTGTGTATTGTGACTGACGTCACGTTTTTTAGCGTCAAATAACATACTTGTTTTTTATAAAAATGCTGGTACAATACCAAAATGAAGTTGGTGTTAAAATCAATTAAACTGTCAAACACCAAGCGGTCACCGGTGACCGCAACCTATTGTTCTTTAATTGTGTCTATAAATACGGTACTCGACGAGTTAATGTAAATCTAGTATTGAAGAGTCGAATTCATTTATTTTTGATTAAGGAAAGTATCCAATTCCCTATTGGACGAAGAACGAGAGGGTCACACTAGCACCACCTAGTAAGCATAAATGCGGTTAATAGGCCTCATTAAGAGTGAGCCTATTATCAGACACCCAACGATATTCTAGCCTCATACTTTGACCGACCATAACAGAACCCCTTGTCCGGCATTCAGATAGATTTTTAATATATAACATCACGCATTTTATCCTCATAGGGGTAGAGGTGCACATTGCGGCATTTAATGCCACTATACAATTAAACACCCACTTTTCACTATTTACATTATGAGTCCCATGTAAAAGGGGGTGAGAATATTGCCATATACCGGGCACATTTCCAGACTCCGTGCTACTGAGATTTTTTTTAAAAAACCAGAACTACTTCATCAGTGAAATCAGTGACTTTTAATGTGGAGTAAATAAAACACATTATCGGTTGGCAGGACAGCGTGTCAGTTTGCAGCGTGTGTCCAGACTGTGTTAGTGTGGACGGGTCTGGAAGAGCAGTCGCCTTCCACGACCTGAGCGTGGTGCCTGAAGAAGTGGAGCAAGATAAGGTATGTTGAACTAAAAATAAATAACGATATTTTTTATTTAATCATATTTAATAAATCTTTTTTGTGTAATTACTATACCCTATTATTATATGTATGTATGTATTATGGTATAACTATATAAATTACTTAATAATTTTATAATACACTTCACACGCTACTCTGCATTTACTGCTTTACGTCCGTTGCGTCACTGCCACAGGTTCAGTTGAAAACCAGCGTCAGGCACTAGATGTCTGGCATGTATGCTGAACTGGACCTTTTTTGGTGCAGCCGTCGGGCACATGATTATTATTGTTGGTATATTTGACTTTTAAATTTTTGTATATAACTACATCTATTTTTGTTTTTCTTTTTTTTAATTTTTTTTTATTTCACTCCTAATTTTTTGTTTGCATTGTATTTATTGTATTGTGTTTGTGCCTGGTGTTGTACCAAATAAATTATTTTTCTTTCTTTCTTTCTTTCATTTATTTAATAATTTATGTACACACAAACAGCACAGAGGATAATATATACAAGGTGTAGTTTTAAAACCGTGTCATTTCTCGGGGGCATGTCACAGAAGTCATAAAGGTTCAAAGTAAGACAAAGTTTCGGGCCAATAGTTATAAATCGTTTAAGTTCGACAGTATTTCAGAATAAGCGACAGCAATGTTTCTTATTGGAGTTTTATGGAATTAGGAATAATATCAATTGCGTGTTTGAGTTTGTGTGTATTAAGCCGCGTTATAAAACTAGTTACAAAACGGTGGCGTGTAGATCGCACTTACGGATTTCCGTAAATTACAGAAAAATGAAAAATATTTACCTAAAATTTTTTTTATTGGTTCGAACTCAGAATCGAGTGCCGAGTTACCTCCTAGAAAATGACGCGGCTTTAAAACAACACGTTGTATATAAAATAATTTAGGAATTTCTTCCAGTAGACCTGAGACAGAAAAGATAATTTAAACATGAGACACAGTGTGTAACAGAAGCGAAAAAAAATGCGATAAGAAATATGTATAAAAAAACTAAAACAAAATAGTAACTATATTATAAATGAATATAATATAAACACTTAATACATAATACTAACAATAAATAAAATACACGTATATAAAAACGTATCTGTACCTACTCATGAATAAAGGTAATAGTCCTTAATTAGTTTTTGTTTTGTTTGTAGTTTTGTTCGATTTGGCGACAAACAGGTAGAAAAATTATCTGAGGGCGGAGTAGGAATTTGTTTTACGTACGACATCGAAAAGAGACCGCGTTTGACGTTATGATTGGTTGGTTCCAACGAGACGCCCAATCAGAGAACTGAACGCGGCCTCGTTTCGATCTCGTTAAACGTAAAACAAACTCGTACAAGGCCCTCAGATAAGGCAAATCATTTATATAGACTAAAATAAAAAGAGAAAGGGACCCAATATTGAACCTAGGGGAACGCCCATATTCATCCCAGAGCCATGTGAGTTAATACCGTTAACAAGAACCTTTGATTACCTTTCTTCTAAATAAGAATTTATTAGACAGAGTGCGGTATTTCCGGTATCGCACCTGTGAATCTGTAACGAGATCGCGTTCAGTTCTCTGATTGGCCATCTCGTTTAAACCAACCAATCATAGCGCCGAACGCGGTGTCTTTTCGATTTCGTACGTATAACAAACTCGTATAAAGTCCTAGGATAGGAGGCCATCGGCGCCGCCCATGGACACACTGACTGGCGGGTAATTAAACTTCCGATAACCTCACTCAAATGACGAAACACGACGCACGTCAGTTTTCTATGAGCCCGTGGTATCACTCCGGTCGAGCCGGCTCATTCGTGCCGCAGCTCCCACACTTGAATTACGCCTCCTGGCACCATCACTCACGGTCCGGTCTTACTTCTTAATCCTAAGTCGGCAATTACAACAAACACAAGAAGAGTACACCTATCAATATTATAACCCATTAAAAAACATTGTACCATATTTCACTAAACGTCACAATTTTGCAAGGAAACCATCAAATAGTTTGACGCGTTCGTAGACTATTAGGCTAGGCTATTGATCAGTTTCCGTGAGCCGTTATAGCTTGACGGCTATAAGATGGGACTAAAATAGACGTCTGACAAATCGTTCCCTGAAACCATATGCATATGCATTCTTAGGCTAATTAGTCATGATTTTAGCCATATGGATATTTGTAATTTTGTACCAGGAAGAGAATATTAATAAATCTATAGGTATCCTTACTAAACACATGTTATAATAAGTAAAACATACATACGTTGCAACAGGCCTGACGGATATTAAAGTGTGATTTTTTTATAGAATAGGAGGCAAACGAGCAGACGGGTCACCTGATGGTAAGCGATCAGCGCTGCGATAAGGGCTGAACACTCGCAACACCACAGGAGCACATGTACGTTGCTAGCCTTTTAACTCGTCGAGTACCGGTTTTATAGACACAATTAAAGAACAATAGGTTGCGGTCACCGGTGACCGCTTGGTGTTTGACAGTTTAAAAAGGAATACGCTCTTTTCTTGAAGGTTTGAAGGTCGTATCCGTTCGCAAATACAGCCGACGACATACCATATTTGTGTCTGGAGAGCTATATAGGCCGCTTTTCCAATTGCTGTTTATTTTCTTTCCGTTTTCTTTCATTCTATATTTCTTTCTACACACGTCACATGTCTGACAATGCTGGAAAATCATCCAATGACTTCTCCCGCCTTAGTTGAGGCGAGAGAGTGTCAGACTCTTACTGACTAAAAACCACCTCATTCGTACTTCTGCTTAGAACAGGAACTAAGGTAACCTACATCATCGATTACCACCACGCAAAATGGTGGCAAAATGTCAACCTATTAAGTATATAAAAACCCTTAGGTTGTCCGCACTCCCGGCCTGTGTTATAGGTGCATTTACAAACACCACACTCAGATCCGAAACAACCATTTGAGGATCACACAAAGAGTTGTTCTGTGTAGGAATCGATCGAACCCAGCCTGTTGCCTAGCTGCGCCAACCATGTTTTCAAACGGAGCCGCGGAAGACTTAACGGGTTGCCGGGGCTCCGGCTCGAAGTACAGGAGTAGGAACGGGGTGGTTTTTAGTCAGTAAGAGTCTGACACTCCCTTTCGCCCATTGGAGAAGTTAATGGATGATTTTTCCCCCTCAAAAAAAAACCATGTTCTCAAAGCGATAAAACTTGAATTGTACCCCTTATCTAATGCTCAACAGCCAGCTTATAGTGGACTGGACCACTATGGTGGTACGGAACAAATATTTTTACTTTATAGATAGGAAATGAGTCAAGGCCGGCCAAGAATTTCATGTGTAAGAAAATTTTCTACGTTATGTTGTTTTATAAATAAACCCAGTAGCGTGTGGACCGGCGCGTGCGCCGCTTGGCGTCCCGTGATTTTTGCGAGTGACAGTTTGTGTGATGAAGGTACATATTACCTATTACTTTTTTAATTATTATTGCAATAATATTGGGTGATAGTAATTTAAGTAGATATTTTTGTCGGTTTTTTTGTTGAATATGTTTAGTTAGGCCCAAATGATTTATGGTTTGAACTTGAACGGACTTTGGTCATTAGTGTTGTGTTTATTTTTAATACTGGGTACATTGTGTTTCTCTGATAAGTCTCCGAAAGCATTTGTTGTTTCTCTTTCCTTGGTACTTAGCTTTACAAGTATTTGTTTAAAGAACCTACGTATGTACTTTGAATTAGATTTCAATTTCAAAATTGCCAATCTATTTCTTTAAGAAAGACAAGTTGTAATTTAAAACCAAAAAAAAACTTGGTATCTGTTTCATTTTTTTTTAATTCGTTTATAAAGGACTCTTGTTTAGGATTAGTGTTTAATGTTTAACATCTAAAATCATTATAATCATGTCCAAATAATAAGATAATGATTATCGATAGAAAGAGTTGAATGTCAGTCGTCAGTCTTCAGTCTTCACTATCACAAACACTATCTATTCAAAAAACTCCATCAAAATCCGTTTCATGGTTTTAAAGATTAAGCATATCTACATAGGGCCAGACAGTAGGAAGAACTTTGTTTTATACTATATAAGCAGTGATATAATATTGTAAACGATACGCTACCAAAAACGCAGATTTTTTTCTGTTTTTACAATTTCAATCGTTATTGTTTTCGGATTATTCCTCCAACATCAGCCTAGCTTTGAACTGTTGATTACAATAATTATTACATAAAAGACACATTTAATTCCTTCCTTTTCTGAAATTAAAATAAAATTCGGTTTTAACAACCGAAATGTTAAAAGAGTTCTACTTTATTATATCCATGGTTTTAACCATCACCCATCCATAGATACATTTCTGCGCCACCACCTAACTTTGTTTTTTGGAAGGGTTCTGCTGTACCATGTTTTTGTTTGGCATAAGCCGTAAACGAGCATACAGATCACCTGATGGTAAGCAATCGGCGTCACCCATGGACACCCGGAACACCAGAGGCGTTACAAGTGCGTTACCGGCCTTTTGGGGATTAGGAGTTTGAGGATCGTTGGGGGTTCAGGGATTGGGGAGATTGGAGAAGGAGAGGGTAATTGGGCCTCCAGTAACCTCACTCACACGACGAAATACAACGCAAGCGTTGCTTCACGTCGATCTTCTATGAGGCCGTGGTATCACTGCGGTCGAGCCGGCCCATTCGTGCCGAAGCATGGCTCTCCCACACTTAAAATATGTGTATACTTGGTATACATATGGATTTATTCCATTCGTAAAAAACAAATTCCCCCAATCACTCTGATTACATTAGTCAAAGAGTCTGGCGTATGTATTACAGCAATAGTCATCAATTTTAAAGCATGTTCAAACAAGAATAGCCCTCTTGAATCGATGTCTGGCCATCCAGACTCCATAGGTACTATCTCAGTAATGGCATATCAGTCGAATAACGTTACATCTACCTATATCTGCTAATCTTTACTAATATTATAAATTGGAAAGTGACTTTGTTTGTTTGTTCCGCTTTCACGCCGTAACTACTAAACCGATTGTTTTGAATTTTTGCAGACGTAAAGTTAGAAGTTTGGATTAAATAATCGGGTACTTTTTATCCCGGAAAAAATGATATTACCGAGGGAAAACAAAAGTATTGGTATAGATGGCGCTGTGTGTATTAATTAGTATTACATACAGAAGAGATACATTTTGTTAGTTTGGTTAGTTGTTTACGAGATAAGCCGGAAAACGAGCTGACGGATCACTTGATGGTAAGCAATCGACGCCGCCCATCGACACTCGAAACATTAAAGACGTTACAAGTGCTTTGGCGGCCTTTTGGGATTCGGAGATTAGGGAGGGGCCCAACGGCCTCCGGTAATCTCACTCACACGGCGAAACATGACGCAAGCGTTGTTTCACGTTGGTTTTCTGTGAGGCCGTTGTATCACTCCGGCAGAGCCGGCCCATCCGTGCCGAAGCATGGCTCAGCCACAATTTATTTGTCATGTTTTGTTTGTTTATTTGTTTGGTGTCCATGTTTTGAATAAGCTCCGTAATGGTTTTAGGAAATTCTTTCAGCAGTTTACTTTTTTTTAAGTTACATTACTTCTTAGGAAATAACACAGAAATGTAGTTCGTTTTGAAGGTATTTTTAGATTTGTGGGAGAGCCATGCTTCGGCACGAATGGGCCGGCTCGACCGGAGTGGTACCACGGCCTCACAGAAAACCGACGTGAAGCAACGCTTGCGTTGTGTTTCATCGTGTGAGTGAGGTTACCGGAGGCCCAATTACCCTCCCCTTCCCCAATCTCCCCAATCCCTGAATTCCCAACGATCCTCAAACTCCTAATCCCCAAAAAGCCGGTAACGCACTTGTAACGCCTCTGGTGTTCCAGGTGTCCATGGGCGACGCCGATTGCTTACCATCAGGTGATCCGTCTGCTCGTTTACCGGCTTATGCCATAAAAAAAACCAGTTTTTGGAATATCTTGTCTTGTATAATAAGGACTATAGTTACTTCCACGCTGTTACACTGGTGAATACATATACTTAATTATATTCAGAACTCGTGTTAAAATATTATTATTCATATTATAATTTGTTCGGGAATCATTTGCATTGATTTTTAAATGCAAATCGTGTGTGGTCTGTTTGTTTAGTCGTCTTGATTTTTTGTTTTTGATTTCCGGATCGAATGTAAGTACTTGGCATTGTTATCTTTATAATGTTACCAGCTTTTGCCCGCTGGCAAAGGTAGGCTGCGCCTGTGTAGCAGGGATAAAAATTACCATTATTATTAATTTATCCCTGTACCAAATTTTATTATTAATATACAGTTATAACCTGGGTGTCTTCAAGACCCGAGTGAATAGGTTGCTTATGGGACCAAGTGCTCCATCGTAGACCGCATCACCAACAGCTGTAGCCAAATGCTATTTAGCGCTTGTCTACATGTACCTCTAGAATAGAAAACCAAATTATATGGAATTGACGTAAATTTTGACACTTGTCAGTGTCATCCTCATACATTCAGTTTTCTTCTCTCTCTCCGTAGACAAGCGCTAAAGTGGCATTTGGCTCAAGGTACAGGCGAGATAGTGGTCAAAAGTCGGCCCATCAAATATAAAAAAAATTGCCAACTTCAGATGAACGGACAATTCAATTTTGACGTTTCAAAAGTACTTTATTACGGATTAATTGGAATAAATGCTCTAACTTTGACTTTCGTGAAAGAATATTAAACTTACATCAATCAAAATGATAATTTATTTTTGTGTTGGATACCTAAACCCATTTACCGAAGAAGGCTATTAGAACACCACGTTGCTACCAATAGGACCTAAGCAGCATGCGACACTAGCAACTAATCAAACCAAATCACTTTTATTTGATAACATAGGTGCATACAGATATATGTAGGTGTCGCGGAGAACCTAACGGGTTACCGGGGCTCCGGCTCGACGTGCAGTAGAAGGAACGGGGTGGTTTTTAGTCAGTAAGAGTCTGACACTCCCTCACGCCTCACCCAGGCGAGAGCAGTCATTCGATGATTTTACCCCCTTAAAAAAATACAGATATAGGTGTTATAAATGGTAATAAAATAGTATGTTATACCCGGAGGCGTACAAATTGTGGTGGTAGTAATCACCTTATAACCACCAGATCTATGAGATAGATAATAAAATAAATATACTAGAATACATATCTAATTGGCGTCTGATATCTAAAAATCAAATTACTTTTAAATGAATAGCGTTCATAAACAAAGTTTACGAGTCCGCGACAGATTGGGTGGGTGACGGGAATCGGGTCATGAATGAGTATTTCTGAACAGATGCGACCACAAACCTTGATGACCAGTCTCAGGGTTGATTTATAAATATAACCAACTGTTTTTTATAGTTTACTGTACCTAATTTACTGTATTTTAATCCATTTTTAGTGGGATTTTTTTTTAAGGGGGGAAAATCATCGAATGACTGCTCCCGCCTGGGTGAGGCGGAAGGGAGTGTCAGACTCTTACTGACTAAAAACCACCCCGTTCCTTCTCCTGCACGTCGAGCCGGAGCCCCGGTTACCCGTTAGGTTCTCCGCGACTCCGAATCGGCATCGGCCCTATTGGGCCCCATCTGTGGTGGTCTGATGGCTCTTTGAGGCTATTTTTAGTGGGATAATGACTTAACATATAACTTGTTCAACATACGAGACGTGCTGCACGTGAAACAACGCTTGCGTTATGTTGTGCTGTGTGAATGAGGTTACCGGATGCTCAATCTACCCCCCATCCCCAATCTTTGATCTTTAATCCCCAATATCTAAAAGGAAGGCAACTCTCTTGTCGGTCCTTTTGTATTGCAGGTATCCTTAAGCGACACCGATTGCTTAGCATCAGGTGATCCGTCTGATCTTTTGCAGGCTTATTCCTCAACCTTTTTGAACATAACATAACATCACGCCTTTTTATCCCCGAAGGGGTAGGCAGAGGTGCACATTTCGGCACTTAATGCCACTGTACAATGTAACACCCACTTTTCACTATTTATGTTATAATAGGGTCCCATATAATAGGGGGTGAGCCTATTGCCATATACCGGGCTCATTTCCAGACTCCGTGCTACTACTGAGATTTAAAAAAATCCAGTAATACTTTGCCCAACCCGGGCCACCGACCACTCGGCCAACGAGGCAGTCAGACCTTTTTGAACGCCAGAGCAAAAATATATGAACCTGCCCTCAACGCCAAGCTACAAATTCCGCGCAAATTTCTATGAAAGAAATAGGGATTCCAACAGGGAATCAAATTGTAGATTTCGTGTTTTCGATTCCGCTTTTTCTGTCATGTGTTTGCGTGGTTAGCGTCCAGGGACAGTTTTCACTTATCACGTAGGTATATGCGACATTGGCGCTAAAAAGGTTAAATAAACTAAACGCACTAACAAAATATGTAGGAAGGGCCTTTGGCCAAACACCACTTTAGCGCTTGTCTACAGAGAGAGTAGAAATCAAAATGTATGGAGATGACACTGACAAGTGTCAAAACTTACGTCAATTCCATATAATTTGGTTTTCTATTCTAAAAGTAGACAAGCGCTAAATGGCATTTGGCTACAGCTGCTGATAACGTTATTCGAACGATATGCCATAACTGCGATAATAGGTAGGTACCTATGGAGTGGTCAGAAGTGGATTCGAGAGGGCTTAAATGATACTTTAAAATGGATGACTAACTATACCTATTACACACACCCGACTCTTGACTTTTTATCTGAGGACTAGCTACTTCCAGGCGGTTTCACTCGCTCTGCTCAGCACCTATTGGTCGTAGCATGATGTTTTATAGCCTATAGCCATCCTCGATAAATGCGCTATCCAACACAAAAAGAATTATTCAAATCAGACATGTATTTACGGGGATTAGCGCGTTTAAACAAACTAGCAAAAAAACAAAGTCTTCCGCTTTATATAATAGAATACCTAAGAGTATAAGATTAGTAAAAGATATAAGATTAAGGATCGAGGATTGAGGATGAGGGGGTGGGATTGGGCCTCCTCCTTGGGTGATCTGATTGCTCATTTTCGTCTACTTCATAAAGAAGGCATGCTAATATTTTTAAAAATAAATATTAACTCATATTTAAACAACATATTCTAGAGGAACTTCTGTCAAAGAAATATTGTGTAAAATAGATAATTCATAGTTTTCTTTGTACAACACAGCTCAGCTCACAACTAGCTAATGGACCATGGTAATTGGATCGACTAAAGCTTAAACCCCATTAGTTTAAAACTGATAGTGATATGTTATCTGCCTTAGCTTAGACATAAGTAATCCTTATGACACTGATGGAACACCCTAGTCCAGTAGTCCCTAGGGGTGTCTATTGTGGCCATCAATACAACAACACACACAAACACAGAATATCTCTTTGAATTGCTTAAATAAAACCTTAATTTATGAACTTGGTACTCCTAGACTAGTCATAAAGTCGCGGAGAACCTAACGGGTAACCGGGGCTCCGGCTCGACGTGCAGGAGAAGGAACGGGGTGGTTTTTAGTCAGTAAGAGTCTGACACTCCCTTCCGCCTCACCCAGGCGGGAGCAGTCATTCGATGATTTTCCCCCCTTAAAAAAAAAGACTAGTCATAAAGCAGAAATAAAATTGTGGTCTGGAGAGAATTATAAAAGTAGGTTTCCTAAAAATATTTTCTATCTAAGAGATATCTCTTTTATAGGTTGTAGCACATTTTGACGGCAATAAAACTTTAAAAGAAATGTCTGCAGTTTGAGTGTTTAGGAAACTAGGTCTCGAACGAACCCGTCTCTCTAGAGAGTCAGTGTTTGTTTTGGCGCAAATCCGTAACAGTTTTAAACAGTTTTTCTCAACGTGTCGAGCTAAAATTTCATTGTTTTCATACAACATGTTAATGTTTTTACAGAAAATATAAACTACTATTTAAAACTAGAAATATTCTTATATGATTTATCTGTAACCTTCCAGAGCGGCGCTGAATCACCATGCACATGCGATGAATGCCAACAAGAAGCGCCACGCAAGATTACGAACACAATGAAATCGGCACAAATGACGCAAAATACGAACAAAACGCAGCCAAATATAGCGGACAATGGTCACGAGCGAGTGGTCGACGTCCTGGTGCACGACGCGCCGCCCGAGGTACCCAGGTTCTTCCAATCCGTTACCTCTCCCCCCTACCACGTCGCAGGCCCCCCGCCACCAGGTTTCGTCGTTGCCCCCTATCAACCTCCCCGATTCCATACCGGAGGGAACGTCGAAGACCTCCTAGGAGAAGTCCAGGCCTCGCCCACTATACAGACCACGTACATCCAGCAGAACTCGGTGTTCATGTGCAACACGAGACGGATAACGCAGAAATGTTGTTGCCAGAAAAAGGAACCGGTAGGGTTACCGATCACAAGCGTGCAGATCTCAGGAGTTCCAGTTGTCGATGAACAGGAGCCGCCAAAGAAATATGTTACTGAAAAATATAGAACTTACTTACGACTATCCTAGAGCAACACCTATTCCAAGCAGTCCCAGTCCTAAATCTGGTGACGAAGTACAAACTACGACTACAGAAGTAGCAAGTACGGTAGTTTTCGTTGAAAGGAGAATACCGGTCAAGCCAAAGAAATTCGACTTTTTCTCTCGATCTCGATCTGCTCCCGTTGGAGAAAACGAGGAGCCAATATACGCAACAGTGAACAAACTACCAAAGAGACTTCGGAGAATGGAGCTCGCTAATCTTGAGAAAGAAGTAGCGTACAAAACTGGTGAGCCTGACTCTTCTACTCGCACAGAACTCACGCTGAAAACCGATTCAGAATCTCAAGTCCCACCACCAGATGACGACACAAGTAGATCTGACAGAGAAAAATCAACAGCTCCCCAAAGACCTGACTCACCAAAAATGAAAAAACGTAAAAGGTTCTCTTTGACTTTCAAAAAGAGGGAAAGAAAAAGGAGGGACAAGAAGAAAGATCTGAAGAATGGAGCTACGAAGAACGGAGGGACTGTAGAGAGTGACAATGAGAGGCTAATTGAAGGAGAGGTCCAGGATATGGGGAAGCATAAACATTGCGTCAGACATAGAACGAGGAATACCTTGTCGTCTTCAAGTTCAGGCCCGCGATACAAGCGGGATAGTTATCAGGTAAAACGTATTTTAAGAACGACATTTTTGATTTCATTAGTAGCCGCATCTATTTAATTCGTATTTAAAAAGTCTTTAAGACAAACCTGGTGGTTTCTATAAAGGTTCATTATGACCATTATATCTTCTTTTGACAGACAACTTTGATTCAGTCAAATTTTACGCATTTTAGTTCACATCTATTCTATGAAATTATGAGATCTGTTTATGAACTGGCTGGTGCAATTAAAATTAGCAGACATGTTCTATTCTCTTCTAGAACCTCATCAGGTTATAGTAAACAGGTCTACATTGAGATACATTTTTAGTAACTCTTTTTTTGTCCTCAGGAGATGACGACATCGCATTCGGAGCACGAGAGAACTAACAGCATGTGTTCCTCGGTTAACTCCCTGACATCTGCGTGTACGCACAAATCTAGGAAGCTGTCAGCCCCTGTGAATGATGGGTCTATACCTTGGTGCGGATGCTGGGGAGCCGGTTGCGTATAGGGATAACTCTAAAGGGTTAAAGATCGGAATTTATTTCTTACTTTCCAAATTGATGATTTATTATGATTCATGTCCTTCGTTTTGCTAACCCTTGTTAATAGTCGTACACCGTTACTTATATCGTTTTACAAACAGATGAATAGGCAGAGGTCCTCTTTTAGCCCAGTTCTGTGGATAGCCACACAAAAATATAATCAAGAACAAAATGGTAAACATCCAACACTGTCACAGATATTTGTGGCAGAATTTAACGTCAATCGACACAATTAAATGTTACTTAATATAATTATAAAATGTATTTATTAGAAACCCCATAATGATAGCATAAATTAGTGCCTATAAGCCGTCCCGGTATTAGGCGCTCGCGATATTAGGCGTTCACACTCGCCGCAGGGCAACAAAACGCAACAAACACGCAGTGCACGCTACTCACAAGCCCAAAGACGCGCAAGCCTAATGTAGGGTCAGCCTAATTATAATTAAGTAGTACCTATATTGTTAATGAACTCCACATGTATGTACATAATGTAAAACTGTGATTCATCTTAGTGCTATGACGTAAGCATGTACGTATGTTGAATGGTAATACAAATTTTATATGAAACTATGAATGGTTATTTATATTTTTATTCATCCGGCAGGATATCGTTTTTTCTTTGCGAGTCCTTTTAGAGAATAGCTTGGGTGGTCTGGTCAACGTGTGAGGTTTTCTAAACCGGTAAATGTAAAATATGTATCTTAAATAGCTACTTGCCTGCCTCGTTGGCCGAGTGGTCGCAAGTGCGACTGCCGGGCTAGGGGTCTCGGGTTCGATTCCCGGGTCGGGCAAAGTATTACTGGGTTTTTAAATATTCTCAGTAGTAGCACGGAGTCTGGAGTTGTGCCCGGTATATGGCAATAGGCACACTCCCTATTAGGTACATGGGACTCAAAACATAAATAGTGAAAAGTGGGTGTTACATTGTACAGTGGTAAAATGTGCACCTCTGCCTACCCCTTCGGGGATAAAAGGCGTGTTGTTATGTTATGTAAATAGCTACTATAATATTATAAATGCGAAAGTTTGTGTGTAAGTTATCAAAATCAAGTCAAAATGACCGTACGGATCGGGATGAATTTGGAACACGGGTAATTATTTCTGGAGTAACATATAGATCTTTATTCCATGATAATGCGGACGATGCAGCTTTCAGTATGTAGGTATATATCATTACGTTCAGACAATATATTCCCGAAAGGATAGGCAGAGGTAGTCCAGCTCTTATTGTGCAAATACTTATTGCACTTTGTTCTGTGGTTTGCGTATATGTTCCATTCGTTGAGATTTAAATCGTAATTTTCCATTAGAAATTTTCAATTACTTATATTTTTGTAAACCGAAATGCCATTAGATACAAAAATATTGACTCATTGTCTTATCAGAACCATTGTGACGATGTCATACATATTTATTGCCAGGTATCGTACAGTACAGCCAAGTTTACGGTAGTACAGTTTCGAAACAAGATCCTGTGACAAACTCGCTATCCTTATTATCGCAGATTCACCTCAGGATCCCTAAGATCTGTTAGACGCGCGATGTTTTTCTCATTGCTAATGTGCAACAACAATGTATCGTCTCACAATCCTGTGATAAGGATGTATCGCAAGTACAACGAGCTACTCTCGAGTGACATTGGCGTGCCTGATATCCACAATACCTCGCTTCACAAATTTAAAAATATTATTAAGAAATTGTTATTTGGTCGGTCCGATGATGAGGACAATATTGAATAATATATCTATTGTTTAATTGCATTCTTAATTCTCTTTATTATTACAATTTATCTCTAATTTCATTCTGGGTTATAATTCATTATAAATCATTGTTAATAAATAAATACTAGTCGTTGCTTGTCATGTTGAGTGCACATACTTGTGGAAGCATGGGCTGCCATTTACAGTTTTATATTATTACTCTGTTGTGTATTTTTTTTTAGTTTTTTTAAAACTTTGATTCACTAGGATTTTCTCCTGTATCGTGGGTGCGTTTACAAACATACAATATCACATATACATGACACCCAGACTCGGAACAACAATCTGTGGATTACACAAAGAGTTGTTCCGTGCGGGAATCGAACCCGCGACACGTTGCGCGGCAGCCAGTTGCTCAGCCACCGCGCCAACCGTGCAGTCGATTTATTATTGCGACTAGTATTGCGCTGTGTTGTACCGGGTGTTTTCCCTGCGGCCGCTCGCGCCGAGTGCAAGCGAATATCGCCTAATCATGATCGACTAACCGGAAACAAGGACTACCATCTGGTACATAAAGGTAAAAGCAGAGTAGGTAAATAAAACACATAACTTCATTACATAGATAATTATTTATTATAAAATATGACACATTCCTTTTGAGTCGTTTTACAGTAATTGAGACGCATAGCAAAACGGACGCCGTGCGGCCCGTGGGCGCCTGGTCAGCATCATGCCATCATCACTGATATATCACAACATTGATCACTCTACTATCATTATTGTAAGGTGCGTCTGTATTGCAAGCACTTGCATTCATAAAGAATATTCTAAAATACCAAAAAATACATTTTTAGAAATAAAATAATGTATATGGGACTGGGAAAATTCTCAATTTGAGTCATATAGGACTCCTTTTGTTAATTTAAAACTTCTTGTTTTGTATTATGTTTAGTAAGGAAACACCAATAAAAATGTACAACTGTCTAGAAACGTGTAAAGAGCTACACTTGGATTTTTAGGCAAGCAATTGGTATTTTCATTAAAGTCCCAACTAGCTTATTGAGGTACTAGGCTCAGAAAGAGTCTGTTATACATTTTTCAGGTCGAAACAAGACCGAATTCGACGCTCAGATAGGTTCGTTCATTACAGCTGGCCAATCAGGGTGCGTACTCTTGAAACCAATCTCAATGTCAATGCAATTGCAATCCAATGAAAACTCAATAATTATTTCAATGTCAAAAAGAGTACGGAATATAAAACCAAACTCAATACCATTTAGTTCATTCATTACTCGTGCAATACGGATGCAATGGGCGCTAGTGTTGAAATTCAAGAGTACATAATTTCACAATATCAATGTCGATCGAAATTGGATTCAAGAGTAAGCCCACAGAGCGCCGAACGCTGTACCGTTTCGATCTCTTTGAACGTAGAACAAAATCATACTAAGCCCTCAGCATACGATACGAAATTAAGCGCGAATATTTATCGCTGCATATGTCTTCATAAATGAGAATAAATACGTTATTATAAAAATACTTTTGACCAGGAAATAATATTAGCATACCTAGGTCCTCACAGAATAGCTTTAAAAGTCTAATAGTAGCAAGATATCAAAATACTTGGACATATTCAAAATATAAAGGCCTAGTACGAATTTGCTTTATGTCACCGTGCTTAGCCCTGATTGGTACATAATATAATTATTTGTATGGCTATTACGGCAAAACATAGTGGACCTTTATATGTAAGACCTTATTATGTAAACTATAGGTAGTTTAACAAATAAATGATTTGATTCCGGTTGGTTCATTCGAGCAGGTCAATCAGAGTGTCAAATGTTATAACACGTGTCAATCATGTTAAAACAAATTGCATTGTTCTTACATCGAACCAACAAAGCCATGTACCTAAAGTCTAGGTGCTAGACTATTGTATTTTGAATCTAATTGAAAAAGAGTAAACTATGGAGTTTCCTGCTCGGTCTTCTCCATAGGAATCTACACCTTGGAATGTCGCGGAGAACCTAACGGGTAACCGGGGCTCCGGCTCGACGTGCAGGAGAAGGAACGGGGTGGTTTTTAGTCAGTAAGAGTCTGACACTCCCCTCCGCCTCACCCAGGCGGGAGCAGTCATTCGATGATTTTCCCCCCTTAAAAAACACCTTGGAATGAGCAAATAGCTTCACTTCCGTGTCCAATTGAAATACATGATTTTGATTTTAACTTTGACTTTTAAATTCGTACTAAGCCCTCTGACGACCTAGTTCAGTGACGTACTAATGGAGAATCTTACATCCAGTCCAGATAGATGATGATAGTCAAATGTCTAACTTAACAAAAACGCAGTCACCGATAATTCAATTTTAAATGCACCATAATACTGTTTAATAATAATAACAATGACAGAACGCACCTCACTGTATCCCTACTCAAATTGTGAGTAAAGATATTCGATACAATCTTAAATCATTTAACCTATACAAGCATTCTTCACGCAGTATCCGACCGAGGGCCGGACAGGCGACGACGGGCCACATAGCCAAGCGTACATTGAATTTCTACTGTAGAACATTCAAGAACCTACAGGAAATAAACAAAAAGTATTTTCTACCAAAACAAGTTTTAGGAATCTCCGAAATCACCGCACTTTCAACATAAAATGGCACGTTCAAGAAAATTTCTTTAAAAAAAAAAAACAAATTGTGCACAAAATCAAAGGATAAAATTAAAAAAAAGAAATGTTACAACTTAAAGAAAAACACTCGTAATATTGCATGGAGTAACAAATATATGGCTATAAAACTCTTTGATAAAAAAAAATATCTCAATAAATAAATTAAGCAAAAAATAATAATAATAAAATGAACGAATGTACAATATTTACATCGAATATTTATATAGAAATTGCATTTTTTTCGAAATAACATTAGGGGACATTTTACATTAAATAATAACTTTTTAAAATATATAGGGTGTAACACCGCCAGTGAGATCTACAGGGGAAGCGAAAAATTGTAGAAAAATAATATTTAAACACAGGTAGGCTCTATGTCTTTTTCGATTCATAGTAAAATATAAAAAATTCCCTCACATCATTCCCCTAATGGACATGATTCCTGTCTCCCTCGCACGGTCGCGGCCTCGCAACCCTCGCGTACGTGCGAGTGAGACAGTCATATAATGACATTATATCGTTAAAAACTTACGTACATTCTTAACTATGCTTAACGAAGACACCTAATATATTAAATATACTTATTAAATAGTTACATCGTTATATTTTACTCGCAATGCTTAATACAAATCCGAAATTGCTCTTGCAAATCAACGTAATGGAATCGAGTAATATCTACCTTAAGACATACGTAACAGAGTTCATAATAGTCGAAGACTTAGATGCGAAATAAGGTAGAAGACTCATTTTGACAGCTGATTGGCATTCAAATTTTATAGAAACACGCCATCTTTTATCAATTCGTGGCATTACCACAAAAATACACTACTGGAAAGATTTGGCTTTACATTTTATAGTTCGTGTTCAAATGCCAATTATCTAGACAAAAAGTATTACATTCACTCTATTCATTAAAAAAATACATTACTAATACAACAATGTACTTGAAACACTGAAAAATACTTAAGCGATTCACGTTACAATAGCAATATATGAGTTACATACAAAATAAGTTTTGTGAATAAACAAATTGAAAACATTTAAAGTGCACATACATCCTTACTGACTAATGGCATAAGAACATTATAAAAACTAACCGTCGTATTAATAAGAACGAAACTGATAAATATACATTCGAAAGTACCGAGTTTCACTCGTAAAGATTCCGTATCCTTTCAAAACAGGGTATTTTCAAGACCTCTTCAACAATTTAGCATCCAAAATCGCGTCAACAGTCGAACCTTTAAAAAATACCCCTAGAATCGATACGTTGAATAAAACCTCCTACTACGCAACTCGAAAATGTCGACTTTCGTCTTTAAACTACTGACTCATACATTCATTACGACACAAATGAAATTATAATTAATTTCATAAGATTAGTTTGGAAATATGGAAGATATAAAAGTCCGTACTGAATGGGAGTTACTGATTTCTTGGTCACTAGATGTCGCTAGTCTGCCCTTGTCGTCTTATCGTCCAATAAGGAATCAGCTAGTGTCACAACATTGGTCGTTCCATTTTTGACAGCTACAGTGATTGGAAAGCTGTGTATTTTAGTTTAGCGCCATCTAGTGAGTAAAAAGCGGTAGCTTCCATTGTTGGCTAATATATGGAATAAGCCAAGGATTATACGGACTACATAGATATTTTAAGAGTGTTAAAATAATGAGATACATGTTTACACTACGTCAGTCTAACACTTAACATATAAAATAGGCCATCAGCTATACGTTTTTCTTTTTTAATTGAATTTAATACCAATGTTTATAATGATAGAGTAGTTTAGGAGCAGATGTATCGATTTGATGGAGGCTAAAGAAGTTAAGGATCTTAGTAGGTGGTGATTATTCTCTGTTTACTTATATCTAAGGGACCAGTGTATGTTACTCAAGTGGTGGATTTAGGCAGCAGCTTTTATTCAGCAGAGAATGTACTTACGTTTTGTTTAGCAGAAATAATGGGTATAAAACCTCTGTTAATATGCCTTCATAATAGTCAATGTTCACTTTAATCAAACAATTATCTTCATAAATAAAACCATATTTCCGTTCGTTAGTCTCTCTAAAACTCGAGAATTGCTGAACCAATTTGGCTAATACGGTAGTTGACAGGTAGTCAAATTCAATACCTTTATTGAAATGTCAAAAACGATACATTTCTATGAATTCTGTATTGGATCGCAACTTATGACGTCATCATATTTCTGCGTCAAATAGCATACTTATTTCCTTAAAATTAGCGAGAAAAAATCCAAAAGTAGATAATTTTGAAATCAATGGATGAGAGTATGATTATTTTTTAATTATTTATTGCATTAAAAAGTTGAAACAATATACTCTATACCTAGGAAACTAACTCGGTCTTAAAATATTCGTCGAAGTCCAGGCAAGATTTATAAGGTGAGAACATTTTTATTAGGCGATACGAAGTTCGGCCATGTCAGCTAGTAATATATAAACATCGGAATCGTATCGACGCGGACTTGATAAAACGACCCATTATAAACATTGGTATTTAAAGCAATCATTTAAAAAACGACACGCTAACAAACATTTTAATTTTAATTAATATTTTAAAAATTAAGTGCTCATTTTGGATTCTGTGTCAAGGAACTAACTGATATCAGTCTCGAAAATTAAGAAAGAAGCTGCCTTTTAGGTTCAAAATCGCTTAAATAGTTGATACAAATTACGTTGAACAATCCAAATTAACAAATAAACTCGATTATTATATTTATGTTGCAATAGTTTTGAAATAAAATGTGACATTCAAATTTGAACCGTATGATTCACATGATAAGACATATTATTACAACAACTCATCATCGATAATTGTACCAACTTTATAGTTTTGTGATTACATTATTTTCCATACTGTTAAAAATTTTAGCGTATAATTATGGCAAGATCATAATACAATTATCATGGAAAAGAAATAGTATTAATAAAACAAATTAGGTAAGCGTTTTCTTTTTTATAAATAAAAAGTACATAATTTGGTTGTTATTATTATTAAAACTATAAGTGCCTCTTGGATTTTTTCTTCAGCTGCAGTAATTTAAAGAAAACAATTGCCTAATCGGGGATTGGGAATATTTAAATACAATACCTCCTACTTTTTAAGTCGGCTAAAACCAGCCAATACACAAGAGACACGTGACGTCACCACAAAAATGTTGCCATATAAAAATATTTAAAAAAACAAGCGCCCGCAAGCATTTCTTTATACGACTTATCCAAACCAGGTTAGAATAACTATCATTATCAATTATTCCAATAATTTATTAACACTTATTATTTTTGAACGGAATGTGCTTAATATATGGTGTTGCCATTAATAGATTACAAATATAAATTGTTTAAATACCATACCAGTGTTATCTTATATTAAAAAACATTTTCGTTTAAATACTTTTTTGTGCATTTCATCTTAGAACTATAAAAATGCGTTTATACTTGGATAACTTCTATACTTATTTGTGTTTTACGTAAAATAATGGGTGGAAATTATATTTATATAATGCAAGCAACGTCGATACGCGATCACTAAGCGTCACTGATATGAGAATTCGCATGGAAAAATAAACATTATCCGTCTAATTATACTGAATACCGATCGACAGACATAATTATTTATATATAGTAAAAACCTACTTTTAGAACAACAATAGCTTGCCAATAAAGAGACGTCATTGCGATTACTTAAGGTTGAATTTTAATAATCGCAATATCGTATGTATAGGGTGTGTGTGAATTGTGACGTCATTTGTTTGATGTTAAAATGACGTCACATTTCACGACCACGTCGCAAAGTACACATAGTAGCCATAACTTACGCGCTATATATCGTATGGTAAGCGGGGGCCCATCGTTGGGCAATATGGCGCCGGTCACGAAACCAAAGCGCGACGACGTCAAACGTCGTCCATCACGAATGCAACCTGCATTGTGGGTTCCTGAAAAAGTAAGTTAATTCATCTTACTAACAAGTAACATTACAAATGTGAATGTTTGTGTGTATGTCTGTATGTCTGTAACTCAATCACGCGCGAACGACAGAGATTGGGATGAAATTCGGAACAGTAGGCTTACTCTTGAATCCAATTCCGATCGATCAACATTGGTATTGTGAAATTTCGTACTCTTGAGTTACAACACTAGCGCCCATTGCATCCGTATTGCGTGGATATTTAATGAACTATATGGTATTGAATTCGACTTTATATTCCGTACTCTAAATGCTATTTTAATAGCTACGATAGGGGTTGTATCGTTTTGACATTGAATACTTATTGAGATTTTATTGGATTGAAATTGCATTGACATTGAGATTGGTTTCAAGAGTAAGCACACACGAATCTACCACTTGTGTACAGTGTGGAATAACACGTAGGCTACTTTAATGCTACGGGTACGCGGCCAAAGCAGCAGAAGCTAGTTCAAAATATCGGTTTACTGAAGACATTACTCATGTGAATATACTGAGAAAAGCTCTAGTAGTTACGAGTTACAGAGGGACTCCCTCATGATTTTTTTTAAGGAGGGAAAATCATCGAATGTCTCCTCCCGCCTAGGTGAGGCGGGAGGGAGTGTCAGGCTCTTACTGACTAAAAACCACCCCGTTCCTACTCCTACACTTCGAGCCGGAGCCCCGGTAACCCGTTAGGTTCTCCGCGACTCCGCATCGGTATCAGCTCTATTGGGCCGGGATCCGTGGAATTGAAATGATTTAACTTTGTAAAATACTTACACACTGTCCTCACACCATAACAAAAGCTTCTTGCCCCCGGAACAGAAAGGGGTGTTGGTCGATCATGGTCTGCACTATATCCTCAAGGTACGGCCTGGTCATCTCGAATCGACCCATGTCTGAGAACTGCACTGGAAGAAGGGTGGGCCACCAGCAGATCGCCAAGTTCTTACTATCCATTGAATTTAGCTTGGAGTTATCTGCCACCCTGTGAAAGATGGGAGTCTTAGTATATTTCAGAAAAATTTTAACCGACCTCAAAAAAGGAGGTGGATTTTGATTACAGGTAAATAGGCAATAAGATAAAGTTGTAATTTAGTTTATTTAATGTGTTCATGTTTTTAACAATAAATCTTTGATTACAGAGCAACGCAAGTTTATTTTCTTTATAAAATCATACTGAAAGAGTCTTATATAAATTTAATTATAAGAGCGTAATATAAATTAAAAAAACTGAGGGTTATTAAACATATTTGGCTGTCAGCCAGGTAGTTATTAATTTAGTGACAGCTGTGCTGCGCTCAAACAGAACAAAGAAACAGATGTCTTCCACTGGCCATAGGACACAATTACCAACGGCAGCATAGTCAACGAGTGGCAGCATAGTCAATTATATAAAACCAAATATTAAAATAATAGGCAAAGTACAACACGCCGAGCACCCACACAAAGCGTCCAGACTTGCAAATTGGCATATAAATATTAACTAGTAAGTATTAATTGGTTGTATATATGTCGTTAAATTTATTTTGGGATGTCAAAATAAAAGTTTTTAATTTTAATCTTAACGTATTTTTGGTTTTCACTTTTCAGATATCTAATTGCTGGTGGAATATTATTCCAACATTTGGAGGCCGCATAGCGGAAGCTGCCGCGAAAAGCTGCAGTTGTATGGTGAGGAATGGCGACCTGCTGAGCACACCGCCTACCCTCACGCTCCCGGCGACTGCGAACCCATGCAAGCCTAGAGTACACGTATGGAGGACACTTGTGCTTTAACAAGTCGAACATAAGACAGGCTAAGTGGAGTTTACGTTTTTTATTATGTTTGTTTAAGAAAGGCGTAATGTGACTCCTTTGTGGAACATTGTAGCAAGATCGTGCACAGGCATTCTGTACTCTCTGTACTCCCGGAGCGTGCCAAGATCCTGGGGCCCATAACAGTATCTGCGTAGTTTAATTTCGATAACACCAAACTCTTCAGCGCCAGCAGCCGCCACGACGGTCCTTAGTTAGCTGAGAGTCCCCCAACAACACAAGTGGTACCTGGCGAAGTGGTGCAGCAGGTAGTCGAGCGTGGCGCGCGCGAGCGGCGTGAGCGCGGCCTGCAGCAGCGAGCGCAGCGCCAGCAGCCGCCACGACCGGTCCTTCAGCTCCACGCCGCCCGCGAAGCAGCCGCGCATCGCTGCAAGCATTCCACTATCAGCTCTAGTCACTAACACTATTACTGCTATTATAGGATTAGAAACTGTTGTGCAACCTTAACGCGTTGGTTGCGCAAAGTAAGCGCATTAGTTGCGCAAAGTTAGCGCATTAGTTGTGCAAAGTTAGCGCATTAGTTGCGCAAAGTTAGCGCATCAGTTGCGCAAAGTTAGCGCAAAGCTATCCAAAAATGGCAAAATGTATAAAATTAGCTCATTGTTGACTGACTACGCAAAATATCCAAGTTACTTGATAATAATCTAGACTAGTATGAGTGTATACAAATATTATCAAAGTAATTATGTATTTTTTTAAAAAACGGTTCATAATCCAATTGTTCGAGTTGGTCATCGAACACCGTATTCAGCAATATCGGCGTAACTCGCCGTTCTAAGTGAATATGTATTAATATATATTCAGTGCACTTTCGGCTACCGCGACAACCGGGTGCATTCAAACATTTTAAACATTTCATCCTAGATTAGTTAACATTAAGAACATTTGTGGGAAATAATAATAAACAGTGTGATTCACATAAACATTAATTTCTCTCCCTAAACAACAAACACCGACAGCTAACTACGTAATCCTACATATTTTTTGGTCCTTCGAGCCGGATCGGACCACGCGTCGCGTAATTTCGAATATTCTGTGTGCGCGGTCTGAACTATCCGAACAATCTTAAAGTGGGTGCGTAGTGGAACTATCGGAGCCAACAGAAAAGCAGAACAGCGGAGCAGCAGAAAGGGCTGAGTACCTACCAACAGCGGAGAAAACAAGTAATAAATTTCCTTATTTTTAGTCAGTAAGGATTTCCCGTTACACTCCAAACATGTCGGATTTAATTGACACCCAAGCAATTCTCTACGATAGCATTGTAAAACTTGGCATTAACATAAAAAAGGATAGTGCCGATAGGAAAACAGTGGATTATTTTAAGCGTAAGCTGAGTACGTTGGAGAAATATTGGGCAGAATACAAGCTCAATCATGAGCGCATTGAGCTACAAGTAAGTAAATCTGATCCTTATTTTACTGATCGAGAATACGAAAAAACAGGCACTGTGTATGAGTCCACCAAGGGACTGATCAACCAACAATACCAGCTACGGGCCATGAAACCCGGAAACCTTACAACAGGTGAGCAAACAACAGCTCGGGATAGGTCGCCGTCAACCACCCGTATGCGACAGGAAGAAGATGCAAGTAAGGAGATGGAACCTAGCATCGCCAGACAACTGCGTGATCGACCAGCACAAGGTTCGGATACAGAACCTAACAGTAAGTTAGACGAGTTGTTGAAAAAACAATATGCAAATTTCAAAGCTTTTGTGCGGACAACCGCAAACATAGATGTGGAATCGATAGTCGATAAGTGGGAATTTGAAGACGTACTGAAATTGCTTCAGGCGAGGTGGTCAGCCATCGACAAGCTCCATTGGGAAATCGAGATTGAGCATGATGGAGAAAATGACCAATACAACAACATGTACGATAAGTATGAAACCAAATTCAATAACTTGAAGCGGGCTATAAACACAAAAATGTGGTCAGTCGCACACAGAGAAAAATCTACACCTCAATTAGATATACCCAACTTCAACGGGAATTACAACCAATGGGTATCATTCAGAGACCTCTTTACGGAAGTAATCCATAACAATCCCTCGTTGTCGAATGGCCAAAAGATGCAATATTTAAAAGGTAAAGTTCGTGGAGAAGCAGAGAAACTAATACAACATCTGTCAATCAGTACCGACAACTACTTGGTAAGCTGGAATATTCTTACTCATAGGTACAATAACAAGAAATTAATATTTTCTTCTCATATGAACGTTTTACTAGGCCTACCAAACATACAGCAACAATCGCTGCAACAAATCAAGCGTATGCATGATACCACTGTGGAATGTCTCAATGCCATCAAAAACTTAGGAGTAGACACTACGTCGTGGGATCCTATGATCGTTCACATTTTGGGACAAAAACTCGACACCGAAACATATACCGACTACATAGAATCGCTGAAAAATTCGAAAGAACTACCAGTCCTTGGAGAGTTCTTAGAATTTTTGGAAACAAAATTTACATCCTTGGAAACGGTTCGTCGAAAAGATAATGTTCCTCTGAAAACGTTATCTCAAAATAACGGTCAAACATCGTATAATTATAATAAAAACAACAACTCGAACAACTTACGAAAAAACATTACAAACTACGGGAACAGGCATATTGCGAAATCATTACACATGTCCAATATAAAATGTCCTCTTTGCAATAATCAACACGGCATTTATAATTGCAAAACATATTTAAAATTGAGTGATGAACAAAAATTAAAAACGGCAAACAAATTAAAACTTTGCACAAATTGTTTATTTAGCCACTTCGGAAATGCGTGCACATCCAGCTTAACATGTCGAAAATGCCAAGATCAGCATAATACTTTGTTACATGACGCATTCAGTAAATTAGCGAATGCATCAGCTCCGTCGTCAAGCGGGGACAATGGGGTCAACACAAAACGCAGCGAAAAGCGCAATGAACCCGTGTCAGGAAACGTGAATGCTTCTCAAAATGAAACCGCCGAAATATTATTAGCCACGGCGCTAGTAAAGGTCAAAGGCGTGGATGGAACATATCAAACTATGCGAGCCTTGATAGATCAAGGCTCACAAATTTCCTTAATAACAGAGGAAGCCGCCCAGTTATTAGGTATCCAGAGACGACGATGCAAGGGCGTCATCTTTGGAGTAGGTCAAAAGGCAAACAACTGTAAAGGGAAAATAAGCATAGAGTGTGCCTCTATGTATAATAACTTCGAATTTGACGCGGACGTTCTCATCATGAATGAACTTATTAATCACTTACCAAATCGAACATTCGACAAACCAACTTGGAATTATATCAATAATATTAATTTAGCGGACCCGGAATTTAACAAAAGTCGACGAATTGACTTACTCTTCGGCGCGGATATTTACGCTAACATTATGCTGGGCGGAATTTTGAAAGGAGAACATGTCCAACAACCGATTGCTCAGCAAACCCAACTAGGTTGGATATTATGTGGTAATGTGAAAACCTACCAATGTAACGTGATATTAAACAACCTAGACGAGATACGAACATTTTGGGAAGTCGAAGAAATTTCAGAACCATCCAACCTGTCGATGGAAGATCAGGAATGTATGGATTACTATATAAAAACAACACGTAGAAATAGTCAAGGTCGATATGAAGTGAGAATACCTCTAAGAGAACATTTAAAACAAGAACTAGGAAGTTCCAAAAATATCGCTATTGCTCAATTGAAGAATTTGGAACGCCGATTAGAAAAACAACCAACAGTAGCAGAAAATTATAAAGAGTTTATGAAAGAGTATGCTGTGTTAAACCACATGCAGCCGGAGCAAGAAAATATTAACGTAACACTTGAATGTTTCTTGCCCCATCATGCCGTGATAAAAGAAGACTCGTCTACGACTAAACTTCGAGTAGTTTTCAACGCATCTGCCAAAACAACGACCAAATTCAGTCTAAATGACATTATGTTGAAAGGACCCAATCTACAAAAGGACTTGCAGACGTTACTGCTACAATGGAGACAATACCCCTTTGCCTTCACAGCGGACATCGAGAAAATGTATCGTCAAATCTCAGTTAACCCAGTTGACCAACATCTACAGAAGATCGTGTGGCGTGAATCTTCAAAACAACCTATACAAGTGTATCAGTTAAATACAGTAACATATGGGACAAAGGCTGCTCCATTTTTGGCAATTATGACTCTAAAACAGTTAGCGGAGGATGAACGAAGCAAGTTTCCGAAAGAAGTCGCTATCCTTGAAAACAGTTTCTACATGGACGACCTATTACATGGATGCTATAACATTGAACAGGGGAAACAATGCATTAACAATCTAATGCAACTTTTAAAATCAGGAGGCTTCAATCTTCGAAAGTGGTCATCCAACAGTGAGGATTTACTGGAGAACTTATCTACGGAACAAGAAAATGTTGTGTACAGTTTTAAAAATGATGACATGTTGAAAACATTAGGGCTGTGCTGGAACCCAAAAGGAGATCAATTTACATTCCGTTGCAATTTTAGTCAATCAACTACAAGACCAACCAAAAGGAACTTACTGTCCGAAATATCCAAACTGTACGACCCTCTTGGCTGGTTAACACCTTTGTCCACAAAACTAAAATTATTATTTCAAAAGTTATGGAAACATGATCTACATTGGGATGATAAGGTGTCCGATGACGTGTATAGCGAATGGATCAAACTTACATCGGAAATTGAGCAAATAAAACATTGCAAGATACCTCGATGGATACTATGCAACGAGAATGACGTCATTGAATTACATGGCTATTGTGACGCATCCATCGAAGCTTATGCATGTGTTGTATATGCGCGAATAAAATATCGACATGACACAACCATTGTCGCAGCAAAATCAAAACTAATTCCAAGTAAGAAGAGTGTAACATTGCCTCGAATGGAACTCTGTGGTGCGTACCTACTATCGAAGCTCGTTGGCAAAATAAAACAAAACATGAATTGTCCAGTAGAAATACATGGATGGTGCGACTCCATGGTGGTTATAGGTTGGCTACAAGGAGATTCAGCCCGTTGGAAACCCTTCGTCGCAAATAGAGTCACCGCCATAAAACAAATGATGCCGGCAAACTGCTGGCGATATGTAAAATCAGAAGACAACCCAGCAGATTGCGCCAGCCGAGGTTTAACTGCGCCTCAACTACTAAAACATCCGTTATGGTGGAAAGGACCATCATGGTTAGCATCCTTTGACGTGATCAAAGAAGAAAAACAATCAAGTTATCATACAGACGAAGAAAGTAAAAGGATAAAATTTGTAAACATCATTCAAAACATGAGTGACAATAACATTATTAATAACTTATTATTGCAACATAATTGTTTGCAAAAAATAACACGAGTCTTGGCATGGGTACGGAGGGCTTTGACACCAAAAACGCAACGTCAACATTTACCAAGCTACTTAACATTAGTGGAACTGCGTCAAGCTAAATCAGCTATTGTAAAACAAGTGCAAACGACAGAATTTGCGTCAGACATTGCACATATAAAGAAACATGGTAACGTCGCAACAACCAGCAAGATCATATCGCTAAAACCTTTTATCGACGACAGTGGCTTTCTCCGAGTAGGAGGACGCTTACGGAACTCAACTATGAGCGAGGAAATGAAACATCCCAAGATTATCTCCAACAAAGGTCGGTTAGCTGAATTAGTCATTGAAGAGGCTCATCTATTGACATTTCATGGGGGCCCGAGGCTGACGTTATCAACTTTACGGCAACAATACTGGATAACAAGTGGTTACAATACTGTCAAGAAACAATTAAGAAATTGCGTAACGTGTCGAAAGTATGAAGCAAGGAAGCAATATCAATTGATGGGTGACCTTCCGGCAGCTAGAACAAACCCCGCTCCACCATTCTACCACACAGGAGTGGACTACACGGGATTTGTAAATATAAAGGCAAACAAGGGAAGAAGCGCCAGAACATTGAAAGGTTACGTCGCCCTATTTATATGTATGGTGACGAAAGCCGTTCATTTGGAACTAGTGTCTGACCTCACCAGCTCCGCATTTTTAGCCGCTCTCAAGAGGATGGCAGCCCGAAGGGGAACACCGCATAACTTGTACAGTGACCAAGGAACCAACTTTATTGGAGCCAATAGGCTGCTGCAAGAGGAGTACAACCAAATACAGCAAGTTTTCCATGATAACTGCTTGGTGGAAATCGCGGAAATGAATATACAATGGCATTTCAACGCTCCGTCGTGGCCAAACGCGGGAGGACTATGGGAAAGAGCTGTCCGTAGTCTAAAGTTCCATTTAAAAAGAGTAGTCGGAGAACAAAAATTGACATTCGAAGAATTCACCACGGTACTAACTCAGCTGGAAGCGTGCCTGAACTCGAGACCATTGTGTTCACTGACAGAAAACATAGAGGACCTTGATTACCTGTCACCATCACATTTTTTAACAGGAAGAGCTGATTTAACAGTTATTGAAACGAAGGAGGATGCTAGAACAAGATGGCATTTAACAAATAACATTTTCAAACAGATCTGGCACAAATGGAAGCTGGAGTATCTTAGCCAATTGACAGCAAGAGAGAAGTGGACTAAACCTCAAGAAAACTTAAATATAGGCAACATGGTGGTCGTGCATGAAGATAACATTCCAGCTGGAAAGTGGATTATGGGCAGGGTAATAGACTTGCACCCCGGAAAAGACGGTTATGTTAGAGTGGTGTCATTGAAAACAAAAAATGGCATCATAAAGAGACCTGTAGTTAAACTTTCGTTATTACCGGTCGAAAGCGTATCACATTGCAAACAAGTGACTAATACTGACGAGTCAGCGGAACACAAATCAGCTGGAACTCAGAATAAAAATAAACAACGAAAGGCGACGATCGGCACGATATCGTATATCGCCTTGGCATTGACCTATTTTATGTCACTATGCAGTGTTGTAAACTGCAGATACAACATTACGGCTTTAAATGACAATCAATCCTTTTACTTCGACCCAATTTCAAAAATAAATCTGGTGAAAGATACTTGGACCCTAGTCGTATTCTACAACATGTCTCCATATTGGGAAGGTATGAAAGCTTTCGAGAAAGTAACAACATACTTAGAAAAAACATGCAAATCAACAGGCAGCGAACAGTGTAACATGATACTCCCTCAGCTGATTCATGAGTGTAATGAACTAAAACACTACAATGGACTTTTGATGACACAACACGACACTGAACACTCCAGACAGCGTCGGGGACTAATCAATGCAGTCGGCAATATTGCGAACTCCTTATTCGGCGTACTAGACCAGCAATTCGCGGAAAAGTATACCCGAGATATCAACTTGATACAACAAAATGAGAGACACTTAAACGAACTTTGGAAAAATCAGACATCAATTGTCGAATCGGAGTACAATTTACTGAAAAGAACCGAAGAAATTATGTCTAAACAACATAAAATAATCAACAAACATCTGATTACTCTGGAAAACGTCTCCAACAAGCTGCAAATGGAGATAAATAACATATCATTATTACAGGAATTTACCATGACAGCCCTAACAGCCAGTAATCTATTGCATAATTTGAGAAGAAATCAAGACACCCTTCTTGATATGCTTACCAATGTTCATAATGGACAGATTAACATTCACCTGCTGTCTCCTGAACAGCTCCAAAGAGAACTCAACATAATATCGCGACATTTATCCGACGACCTAACTTTACCTATTGAAGCGCGCGAAATTCGAAAGCTTTATGCACTGATTCACATAAAAGCAAGAATAACTGAGGAATATTTCCTCTTTCAAATAACATTCCCACTTATCAGTCGAGACCGCTATAAGTTGTACAAAGTGCAATCTATACCACATCAAATTAACAATAGCATGATAGAACTCATTCCGTCTTCCGAATATATCGCTACGGATTTGAAAGGAGACGCATATCTAACAATGACGTCAGCAGAGTTAGCACAATGTAAAGAACAGATGATATGTTCTTATGCAATTGGAAAAAGCCAATTTATCATCTTAGCAACGAAAACAACTTTTGTGACCGCGATCGTGTCACAAAGGTGCAAGTTACGAAGATCAACATGTGAAAATAGATGGACTTCACTGGCAAACCCATCACTTTTTATGTACCATTGTTGCAACAATTACGACGTAAAGATAATCTGCGAGGAACAAATAAACAAAATAACCCTGACTAATTCTGGGGTATTTTATTTAGAACCAGGATGTCTACTTAAAGGCCAGGATTTTACTCTAAACGTCCAGAGACCCAAGAAAAACATGATCGATATGAGTCCTGACATTGTGATACCAGCGATGGATCAGTTAAACTTCATAGTCAACAACTCCATGCCTTTCAAATATTACGAAGATGTCACTGACTCAGGCGAAATTAAGGACACTTTAAGGACTCTACATAATCGTATCGCCGACCTGAAAAACAGTAGAGTGGAGTTGAACGACACCATATCCACTCACGACATACACCAGTATGCCGTAACCTACTTGGTGGTGATCGCATTGGCGCTGGCGGCGGGAACGCTGCTGTACAGGCAGCTGCGGCGCCGAGCGCGCCGTGCGAACATTACGTCCGGTATGCAGCTTCAGCCCAGCACTAGTGTTAGTGATGTGAATCATGTGAATGTCAATAGTGTTAGTGCAAACAACCCAGTTGAACGTCAACCTAGGGTAACGCGATCAATAGTGAATAGAGAGTGTCCACCATCACCCGTTTAAGAACAATAAGTGATTAATTATATTATAACATAAATCTCAGGTTATCAAACTAACACTTTAATTTTAAGTTACAATGACTTCACCTTGTAAACATACCACTTTACATCATAATCGATCCATCAACCTTCTAACACCTTATTGTATGACTTCACTACCCCTAGTTGTCGCGCCCCGGAATATGTTCGAGTTGGTCATCGAACACCGTATTCAGCAATATCGGCGTAACTCGCCGTTCTAAGTGAATATGTATTAATATATATTCAGTGCACTTTCGGCTACCGCGACAACCGGGTGCATTCAAACATTTTAAACATTTCATCCTAGATTAGTTAACATTAAGAACATTTGTGGGAAATAATAATAAACAGTGTGATTCACATAAACATTAATTTCTCTCCCTAAACAACAAACACCGACAGCTAACTACGTAATCCTACACCAATAAACACATAAACAAAACACAACCTTATAACGAAAGCATTAGATCTTAAATCCAACTTACTGGCGATATCTTCAAGCTGAGCCATGCTAGGCTCGTCGAGTAGCGGCGGCAATCTCTTCGAGAAGAAATCTTTCAGTGCAGTCGCCACCGCGTTCACAGGTATGTCCAGTGAGTCTAAATCTATTTTAGGATCTGAAGAAAATAAAAACAATTAAGTAAACATTAACACCTAAAATCCTTCATCACATATATTTAAATCGATATTATAATATCAACCCACTTTCATTCAAAAAATCCCCAAGGCTGGAAGGTATATGTAATGTACGTGTGTATGTCATTGAATTTCTCCTAAACGGCTAGACGGATTTAAATTATTTTTTCTGTATGCGTTTGAGTGGCGCCCTGGATGGTTTAGATTCACAAATCAGCCCGGCAGATGGCGCTGCAGTCGTGTCTAGGTTATTTAAACCTTAATATCTTGAAATATAGTAATAATATGCAGGACAACGTCTGTCGGGTCCGCTAGTATTCATATAAATTCTTAACAATAACAAAACACATGCAAACAGCTGAACTATTCATTTCCATGACATATAAAGACGTCTATAGACATCCGAATTTTGGTATATTTAATGTAAAAAAAACTCAAAAGGACCAAATGGCAATGCTGTATTCCGACATTTCAACCTGCACTGAGCAAGCGTGGTGATTAATGCTCAAATTTTCTCCGTGTGACAAGCCTTTGGTCACTTATAGGCTGTTGATATGTTTCCGGCATTTTTCACTATAAAATAATTTCCCGTAGGTCTTTAGTAATCGTTGTCAGTAATGTGGAATAAATTAAATGTTGGAGCTGATGCTCTTGTCTTGATAACTGATAAACTTGACAAATAAAACTTGTTGAATTGTAGAAATTTATGAAAACAATACTTGATATTAAAATGACTTGTGTGCACACTTGTACGGTCAATCGCGAACTGAACTAATAAGGAACGAACGAATAAGGAACGTTTTGTACATTAAAAGATGTAGTAATCGTTGTCAGTAATGTGGAATAAATTAAAAGATCTAGTAATCGTTGTCAGTAATGTGAAATAAATTAAAAGATCTAGTAATCGTTGTCAGTAATGTGGAATAAATTAAAAGATCTAGTAATCGTTGTCAGTAATGTGAAATAAATTAAAAGATCTAGTAATCGTTGTCAGTAATGTGGAATAAATTAAAAGATCTAGTAATTGTCAGTAATGTGGAATAAATTAAAAGATCTCTTTGCAGCATTGAGCAACGTCGGTATGATGATAATAGTCCAGAAACGTGTACAAACCTTCATAAAACTTGGTGAAGAGCATGTCAACGTGGGCCCGGTTGCCGGGCACCCTGTAGAGCCCTCGGAGCCGAGCCCCTCGCGCTCGATGAACTCCACGCACTTCTCCACGAACAGGGGGATGCCGTGCGCGCCCTGCCACCAACGCATCGACATTCATTACATCACGCCTTTTGTCCCCGAAGGGGTAGGCAGAGGTGCACATTACAGTACTTAATGCCACTATACAATGTAACACCCACTTTTACTAATTATGTTATGAGTCCCATGTAATAGGGGGTAAGCCTATTGCTATATGCCATGACTCCGGGCTACTACTACAAATAAGCTATTTATATTTGACTGCACGGTTGGTGCGGTGGCTGGGCAACCGGCTGCCATACAACGTGTCGCGGGTTCGATTCCCGCACGGAGCAACACTTTGTGTGATCCACAAATTGTCTGGGTGTCATTGTGTATGTGAATTTGTATGTTTGTAAACTCACCCACGACACAGGATAAAATCTTACTGTGGGGCAACGTTTCTTTAAAACAAAAAAGAACAAAAATATGTCTCACCTGTGGACCCCAGTTCTGTGGATTCTGTGTGTTGTTCATCTGAGCCGCATTCTTCTTTGAGTCTTTGCTCTTTGAGAATTCCTACAAACATACAACATAATAACAGTTATAATCCAACTATTTTTGAAAGAAGAAAGAAAAGAGTGAGAGAATGATAAGATGCGTATATGATGGGCGACGGCGACGTGTCACGTCCGGCTTTGTTTTAGACCATGGTACGGAGCGAGGAGGACTGAGATGCCGTCTGCTCCTTCTGCGAAGCAGTCATGCTTGCCAAGGAGCAGACGGAGCGCGTGAGGGCACAAACCTCATCACGCCCCAGTCGTCGCGAGACACTCTGGGCGTCGGGGATCGCGAGACGATTTCCGGCCACCGTAAGCACGGGCCTGCGGACGGTTAGCATAGGTAGCTCGCCGCGCGAACAGAACCAGACGACAGAGCGAAAAACAGACGGATCACCCGATGTTAAGCAATCGGCGCTGCCCTTGGACACCCGCAAAACCGAGAACTTACAAGTGCGTTATCGGCCTTCTGAATTGTTTAAGGATGAGTGGGATTGGGGATTTGTCATTATCAAAAGCCGAGGAACGTTTACTGCTGGGCAAAGGCCTCCCCTTTATTAGGGATGGTAAATTTTGCATACAAATTCGGTTGTTTTTTTTTTATTTTTTTGTAGGAATTACATGAAATCCTTTCTTACTACTTCTCTACTATAAGAAACATGGTAAAAGTAATAGTTACCTTATGTCTACGATCATGCTTGCTGAAGGGATGACGTCGCCGCGTGTCTGCCGCGCTTGATGACGAGTTGTCCTGAGCTGATGATGGATATTCCCCTGACAGTATCTGTTCAAAAAGAGATATGACAAAAAATCCTTTAGTTTATAGCTTATTTAGTGTAAGTTTTAACCTTTTCTGTAATAGAAAGTTTTATTTAAAACATAGACCTCTATGTTTTAAACACTATACAGTGAAGTCTATGACAAAAGTAATGTGTAAATCTACGATTAATAATAATAATACATTACTGAAACTTATTACCTACACCACCGAAAATGTTATAAAAAATGTTTAAAATTTTGGTTATTTTTTTTAAAGTAAGGTAATGTTTTTTTTTGTTTCTGAATGTCTATTATTGTTTCTGAAGATAGCATATTATAAAAAATGTTGAATTTACCTTATGAGTTGGTTCGTGGTGAGGCGGCGGTGGCAAAGGCCTGGGCCTCCGGGACTCTCCATCCGAACTGCCTTCACTGGACTCGCTCGCAGCTATAGGATTAAAATTCGTGCACAGAGTTTTACATAAAATCTAACACCAACCATTTGTCAGCAATGTAAATCAAATACGCAATTGAAATTAGTGTACTAACGTCCAGTTTCTTTAACCTATCTATCTGTAGATTTGCTTACTAGAAATAGAATTTTGACACATTTTGTATGGAGCTCATGTCAAAATTCTATCTCTAGTAAGCAAATCTACAGATAGATAGATTATAGAAAGTGGACGTAAGTGAATTGAAATAAGTGTGAATTATTATTAGTGTACAGTGGACAGTAAAAGTTGATTACCTTTATCCTCTTGCGTCCTGGCTCTGTACCCAGTGGGCAGTTCGGGCGGTCCCACGAACATTCCCAGCTTGGGCACGCGTGGGCTCTGGACCGCTACCAAATTGCCTAACGATCTGTATCACAGAATAATTATATGTAAAAATGCAGAATATAATTTTAAAATATTACATAACATCACACCTTTTATCCCCGAAGGGGTAGCCAGACAGAGGTGCACATTAAGGCACTTAATGCCACTATACAATGTAACACCCACTTTTCGCTATTTACAAGTTCCATGTAATAGGGGGTGAGCTTATTACCATATACCGGGCACATTTCCAGACTCCGTGCTACTACTGAGATTTTTTTTAAAACCCAGTAATACTTTGCCCGAGCCGGGAAGCGAACCCGAGACCCCTTGCCCGGCGACCACTCGGCGAATGAGGCGGTCAAATAATTTTAGTAATTTTGGAATAATATAATGCTTTTCTAGAAAAAGTGTTTTACTAGAAAAGCATTATATAAGCATTAGATGACAGTGTTACTACAAATATTATGAATGCGAAAGTTGGTGAATTTGTGTGTATGTGATTGAGTTACAATACTCAATCATGTTGGGTTGGGTTGGAACAACACATAGGCTATGTTTTACTTGACAGAAACTAGTTACAAAAATAAATAAAGTCATTTAAGATTTTCGATAGGTTTACTTAGACGACAATATGTCGACAAGAACTATAAAAATAAATAATGGCCAAAGTCGTACCGTTTCTTATAGTGTCTGGGCGCATGGTGCGCGTTATGTCGGCGTCGCACGTGCGCACGACTGGCGCCCGCACTGCCGCCGCCCGACCCGGAGCTCGAACCTGAACTGTCCGTCTCGGAAAATGCTGTGGAAACACACAATAAATGATAAAAATATCTGCACAAAAGAGTAATATAAAATTCAAGTAAATGCCATAAGGCATATCATGAAACCGTATCAGATACTTTCTTATTTTTCAAAATAAAAGATTCAGATACAGCCAAAGTTTTATGGTGGAGGCTAGATAACGCCACTTGTGCATAGTTCTTAAAAATGGCGAATATTTTATAATGATTACCGAATCATGATCACTCATTAAAAGTCAAGTCTAAACTTGTAAATAAGTTTATTAAAATATGTTAAAAATTGTATTATCCCTGAATTCTCAACAATCCTCAAATTCGTAATCCCCAAAAGGCCGGTAAAGCACTTGTAACGCCTCTAGTGTTCCAGGTGTCCATGGGCGACGCCGATTGCTTACCACCAGGTGATCCGTCTGCTCGTTTATCATTATAAAAAACATTTTATTGTAACTTACATGGCTGGTGTAACGGCGTCTTATCGTGTCTCCGATGTCTCCGTAACCGCATCATAGATGGCGCCTCCATGTACTCATTCGTTTCTTTTATCTATAATAATATTATAAGAATTAATTTATTGTAAAAACTAAGCAATGACAGCAACACTATACAAGTAATGTCAAAAATCGATCTTAATCCACTTTTATAGTAAACAACTCATATGTCCAAATACTCAAACAACACTATAGTTCTGTTACTATAGTATAGTTTTGCCACTACGAACAGGGTAGATGCTTAATTTTTATTTTAATGTCCGTCTGGTAGATTATTTTAAATCATTAGACACGTATTTTTTATTTTCTTACAGAAACGAATACTTTCGACGATATATTGATTTGAAATGTCGCGACTCGCGTGACGTCACTTCTATGTATGTACATATTATACGTAGAAATGACGTTTTAGCCCCCACTTCTAAACTTTGATTCGTTTTATCTAAGTTATATTATACGACAAAATAAAAAATACGTGTCTAATATCTTTTAATTACCTAACTAACGGACTAATTAGATTTTTAATTTTCATACCCTGTCATCATCCCAATTCATTGTAAAATGACAGAGATGGCACGATATTTAAATTATTTATAAATATATAAATTGAGTAAAACGATATATAAATTGAGTAGTCTTTCAATATTCGGGCGTTAGATTTTCTCTGAATCTCGCTTGGTGGTAAGCGATGATGCGGCTTACGACCGACCACGTCTGCCCATAAGCAACCTATTCACTCGGGCCTTGAAGACACCCACGTTATACCCTTCAAAACAATCATACTCTGGCATAGAATTTCACTCCTTAGCTGTTCAACGAAGTATCTTAAACACAAACCTGTGCATACTGCGCATCAAGTTCAGTCTCGGAGCTGACTCCGGACGGATGATGATGGTGCCCGCCTTGCTGACCACTGGAGTGAGTCCAACCAGTGCGCTGCGTCTAACAACAAACATAACGGTCAGTTCACGAAATATTAAGTCATCGAAGGGCCTCAGTGACGCTCGAAACTAGTCGAGAATGCTAGTAATAAAGTTTGTGTGTGCCTTGTGGAAATATTATTCAATTCATCTGTTGAATTTGAAATAAATAATATTTGCACTAAGTTATAATTATATTTTATGCTAATAACTAAAAATTTATTAAAAATCTTGGAAACACATTATTTGAACCTAAATTAACACTTTCAGAATATTAAAAAGTTACTGAATAATAATTAATAAGTCAATACCTTTCTATCGGATCTGGAGTGAGCAGGAGGTCCGATTGTGATGTGTTGTAGTGCATCGCTGACCATCGTGTAGTTATTCATATCCAGTTTACCAGGTTGCTAGGAATAAAAAATAGTAAATAAAATACACGACATTTTTTAAATGAATATGTTGTTTTAATGTACACACTTTTGACATACTTCTTGAGAAATGCTATAAACTTTAAAAAGTAAAAAGTTACAAAAGTAAAGTTTTCTTTTCCTATACATGTGTCTTCTATTTATATCTTCTATTAAAATGTGTGACTGAAGGGACTGAAGACATATGATGTAAGATTCGACTTTTCCTTCAACATTTTTGGCTTCAAACCTGACTTTTGAAAAGTCGTAGAACAAAGGTTGTTTTTTATGTTAGTGCGGTACTGCAGGGTGATTTAGGTGGCTGATGTATCTAAATCGGACCTGTGTGTAATTTGATCTAGTATGTCTGTAAACGCACCCACAACACAGGAGAAAATTCTAGTGTGGGGCAAAGTATTCTTAAGATAAAAAGAAATAAATAGACCTGTAATAATCTTATACTATTATACAAAGCGGAAGAGTTTGTTTGTTTCTCCGAAACTACGGGTCCGATTTGAAAAATTCTTTCTGTGTTGGATAGACCATTTATCGAGGAAGGCTATAGGCTATAAAACATCACGCTACGATTAATAGACGCCGAGCAGAGCGAGTGAAACCGCACGGAAGTAGCTAGTCAATTATATTTACCTTCAACGTCTGCGAATGTCGTACTCTAGGCGGTGGCTGATGAGGTCGAGTGCGTCCCGTCGTAAATGCTCTATGTCCATAGCTAGCTGGTTGCCATAGACCACCACCATCTGGAGAATAACTTGTATATTACACCTTATTACGTGATATTTACGGTTCGTTTCAGATTATTATCCATCACCAATACAGGTATACGATCGTAATAATTACAATTATTAATATTAACATAACTAGACACTTATCATTTTACGTTTAAGGTATTAATAATAAAGATAATTTGTAATTATCATTACTAAAAGCCTCGACCAACATCTGAGTAGGCTAGCGTTAGATGGTTAGGTCAAGGGCCTGATGCAGAAAGCAGTACTTCTGGATACGGTGCGTATTGTCCGGAAATTCCTTTCTCTGGAGCCCTGACCACCGGTAGCTTGGATTTCTCCCGTTACTGTGGGCTACTGCTTTTTATATTTTTAAATGTTTTTTTTTATATAATCAAATATTTAAAAATGTATAAATCAAGTATAGAGATAAATAAAGGAAATTAAGATAATTTAAATTTCAAACTGAACAATGATTGTGTGAAAAAATTACATTCTATCAGACCCAAGTTTTCTATTTACTTATCAAAGAAATATTGAGGTTTCCTAAATTTTATTTTAATGTCCATCTAGTAGATTAATTTAAAACTTTAGACATGTATTTTTTCTTTTCTGACAAAATTAAATACTTTTGACGATATAGAAGTTCAAACATCGTGTGACGTCAAAACGCGCTATATTTTGTAACACGTTGTGACGTAACGACCTCCTACTGCAATTTAACGCCATTTTATCTAAGTATTGTAACTTTATACGAGAAAATAAAAAAATACGTGTCTAATATTTTTTTCATTATCTAACTGACGGACTAAATATATTTTTAATTTTCATACACTGGAAACTGCCCTATTAAAAGTCGTCATGATACGCTACAATCTACTACGTAGAATGTCCTGCATTTTGTTAAAATACATATTTCGTTCGAAAAATTGGTTCTCAAACTTCAAAACATTATTGTTTTACAATATTTTAAACAACTTATAACAAAATATATTGCAATCAAAATAAATATCCACATGCATCATTTTAAATCTACCAATAAAATTATTAAAAAATGCACAGCCAGCCACGTTATTCAGTATGTAGGTAAAAAATTTACATTCAGTACTGACATAGTATAGCTATAGTTAAACTAAATTGTATAATTGCGTTGTCACGAAGTCATATCTTTATATAAAAACTTTCGTGAGACACAACTAGTCGAGTTTCTCGTCGAACACTTACGTGCGTAAACCGAAAACATAATCATCAACAGCCTATAAATGCCCACTGCTGAGCAAAGCCTCTTCTCACACGGAGAAGGTTAGAGCATTAATCACCACGCTTGCTCAATGCGGGTTGGCTCTTTCAAACTTATAATTAGAAATTATAAGTCCAGGTTTCCTCACGATGTTTTTCCTTCACCGTTTGTCAGTGGTGTCTAAATAATCTTAGAAAGTACATATAACTCGGAAAAAGTCACATTGGTACTTGCCGTTGGTAGGTTTCGAACCCGCACCCTCATGCATGAGAAGTGGGCATCTTAAACCTCCGGGCCACCACGACATTTTAATAATCTAACATAACATCACGCCTTTTATCCCCGAAGGGATAGGCAGAGGTGCACATTATACCACTGTACAATGTAACACCAGATTTGCATTATTTATGTTATGAGTCCCATGTAATAGGGGGTGAGCCTATTGCCATATACCAGGCACAGTTCCCGCCTCCGTGGTACTACTGAGAATTTTATTTAAACCCAGTAATACTTTGCACGACCCGGGAGTCGAAACCAAGACCCCTTGCCTGGCAGTCGCACTTGCGACCACTCGGCCAACTAGGCAGTCAAATTTAACTATACTTTTTTAAGCTTGGTCGGCTCTAGACACTCAATAGTTATGGTCTCTGTACTGAATCATTCTTCATTTTACCTGCATAGCAAATAACTTGACTGAAAGTAGTTACAACTATGAATTAATAATTCTAATCTATTTACAATGAATAAAAATAAACGTCACAAAATAAGATAAAACTATTATAAAGTGTGTTTATTACAGAATAGTAAAAAAAAACTATCTACAAAATAAATTAATACAAAATTGTATGAAAGAATAACATGCAAAATAAATATTGACGCATTCCTTTAAGTAACAATAAATGTGTGGTTAATTTTAATACAATCCTTACTTACATTATAAATCGGAAAGTGAGTTTGTTTGTTCCACTTTACCGCCGTAACTACTAAACCGATTGCTTTGAATTTTTGCAGATGTATAGTTAGAAGACCGGAATAAATAATAGGGTACTTTTTATCCCGGAAAAATTTGATATTCCCGAGGGAAAACAAAAGTATTGGTATAGATGGCGCTGTGTGTATTGGTATATGTCACATTGGCTTTTTATCCTTTTGTGACGCGAGCGAAGCCGCGGGTAAAATCTAATTTATTGTATATGCTTTGTTATGTGAAGTGATAAGCAGATATGCACATATTTTATACTAGCTTTTGCTAGCGGCTCTGGCCGCGTTCCCGGATAAAAACTAGCCTTTGGATATTTCTAAGTCTGACCTCTTCAGCCATTTCTCTCATGATTGCGTAACAAATATACGCACTTTTGACCACTCGACTAACAAGTTAGTCAATGTTATACATATATATTAAAATCAACCACAAAAACAACAAAAAAATCCCTATAAAACAAAACAATATAATAAAAAACTACATCTACACACAAAATAATACCGTCCGCAGTATCGAATAAGGTCTATAATCGTGTGTCATGCAATCACCTGACTCATGGGTGCTGAGGGAATCCTCCGAACAGTTGAGGTCCGCTGCATTATAATATTATATTTTATTTTATATTCTTACAAAATTTAATTTGTATGTTGGCAACACTTACGCTGAGATGATAGGGCAACACTTTTATTTAGACACCACCGACAAACGGTGAAGGAAAACATCGTGAGGAAACCTGGGGTTATAAATTCTAATTATAAATTTGAAATCGCCAACCCGCAATGAGCAAGCGTGGCGACTAATGTTCAAACATTCTCCATCTGTCGTCAGCAGTGGCCACTTATAGCCATAGATGTTAATGTTACAATATCGTTTTTGATTTAGAGAATTGAACAACGGACCAATTTATGACCGCACCAGTGTTATTACTAAACTAATTTGAACTTTATAAACAGTGACATAGATCACAAATTCTCAAGTGTTGCCCTACCAACATAATATTATAAGTACTATAGTAAATATATAAGAAGTATTGAAATAATATTAGATAGGACTTACGTGATAAATCTGCGTGCATCCTGTGGTCTGGTGGGGCTGGTTCTGGGGGCGTGCTAGGTGGAGGGTATACGCTAAAACCTAGAAAAATTAATATACTTTACTTGAAACTGATCTCATGATTTGTAAAAAATGTATTGCATAATCTTAAGGCCGATTTTTCCAACGCTAAATACATTTTATTGGAGGAATAACTTTGAATATTTGAAACTACGCAACGGATTTTGATGCGGTATTTTTTAATAGATAGAATGATTCTTAAGGAAGCTTTATATGTGCGGGTGCAATATGCAATACATGCATATTGCACGCCTAAGGGAATACATTATACATGCATATTCCACCCGTGCGAAGCCGGGGCAGGTCGCTAGTACAAGATAAATAATAGTCTGTCAGTCTGTCCGTCAGTGAAGCTAAGTGATTATTCTAAAATGTAGATTCGAATGAAGTAGGACGAGCAAGAAACTCCATTCGTTACTGTTTTAAATAGTCTGTCAGTCTGTCTGTCAGTGAAGATAGGTGCTCATTCTAAAATGTAGATGCGAATGAAGAAAAACAAGAAACTCCATTCGTTACTGTTTTAATAAAAGTCTGTTTTAAAGTCCAAATACTCGAAAGCTATTAAATTTTTTAGTCACGCTTAATATCTGTATGTTTGTGTAATGACAGAGATGGCACGATATTTAAGTACAACTTAAAATTGAGTAGTCTTTCAGTATTACAGTACAGTAACATAAGTTTATTTTATTTAAGAATCCAAGTAAAGTCAAATCCGAAATACGTAATGTATCTTGAACTGTCAATTTAAAGAGTGCATCTTTATTTACCTTTCAGAAATCCCCTATTCTTGGAGTTGTTGAGTGTGTCGCTGTATTCCGAGTCGATGTCTGCGCGGGAGTCGGGCCCGATGAGGAGGTCCAACGAGTTGGTCAGCTTGTGCTCACGCCTAAGGGAATACATAATAAGTATATATATTTTTTTGTTTAAAATTAATATTTGTTGTTGTTGGTGGTGTTGTAATAAGGTAAATATTATAATCTTAAGTTAAATAATATAAGTAGCGCCATCTAGTGTTAAGTTGGCAAGTTTCTCATAGACGTCGATATATTATCTGTGTTCTTCCCTTTTGTCGTCTGCATGGCGCCCATCATGTGCTTTCTGTGAAATTTTTAATAAAACTACGAAATATAACAAGCTATTATCTATTATTCAACCACATCCACCACTTCAACATGGTAGCAGAGCGTAGTTAAGTGGTTTCACGAAAAAGTCAATAAATATGAAGTGCAATTATGAAATCAAATTACGATTGAGGTTATCCGGTCACAACGGAAAAGTTAGTTTTGAAAACGTCTGAATCTACAAGAATATACGTAAATATGGCACAACAAGCTAAAATAGAAGACATCATGATACCTATTTTTGATGGGGCAAACTATTCGAGTTGGAAATTAAGGTTGGTTACTTTGTTGGAATACAAAGAATGCAACGAGGCCGCCATAGGCATAATGCCGGTGAAATATAAAAATACAGAAGCGGAATGGAAGAAGATGGATTTAAAGGCAAGGACTATTATTATGAGTACTATTTCGGACAAACAATTAGAATATATCACTGAGTGCAAGACAGCTTTTGACATGTTACAAAAGTTCGACAAAATGTATCTTACTCAATCAACATCTCTTCAAATTATATGTCGAGGAAAAGTGGAAGCGATCAAATTAAATAATTACGACACAGTAGAGGATTTCTTCGTTGATTTTGAAAAATCCATAAACGAATTCAAAACAGCCGGAGGTAAAATTGATGAACCTGAAAAGTTAAGATACCTGCTCAGAGCCCTACCACCAAGTTATAGTTATATAGGAGATTTTCTGGACGTGATTCCTGAAGAACAAAGGACTGTGGACTATGTACATTCAAAAATAAAGGAGAAAAATATGACTATGTGCGATGACAAGAAAAATAATGTGAGTACATATACAACCAGCACCACAAGAGCTCAATGTTTTGTCTGTGGTAAGACTGGTCATCTCAAGAAGGATTGTTGGCACGCTCAGAGAAATAATCAAGGACAAAAAAGTTCTCAAGGAAGTTTCCAGTCGTCTAGTCGGGGTCAGCGAGGACATCAGAGAGGATCCTACAGAGGTCGCAGCCGAGGCAGAGGTCAAGGCCACTCATCTAGCAATCATCCTAAAGGTGAATCTTCGAGCAACGGTCCCTCCCAGTCATGGACAGCTGAAGTATGTAAACCAGAAGTAAACCAGGTATCCGGATGTAATGAAAAGGTAACATTTAATAATAATAGTAATGTAGTTAATTGGCTTTTAGATAGTGGGTGCACTGACCATCTTATAAATGATTATTCATATTTTTATGACAGTGTAGATTTGAAAGATTTTGTTGATGTAAAATTACCAGATGGAAAAACCTTGAAAGCAACCAAAGTAGGTACTGTAAAAATGTATTTCAAAAACTATTATAGTGTGAAGTATGTAGATTTAGAAAATGTCTATTATGTCGAAGGAATAAAACAAAATTTATTAAGTTTTTCAAAGGTAACTAATAGTTGTACAATAGTAGCTAAAAATGAAAGTGCTAAAATATATAATGAGTCTAGAGAGTTGATAGTTGTTGCTGATAAAATTAATAATTTGTATTGCTTAAAAGGTTATGTCTTAAAAAATGAAGTATGCACAAATTCTGTAAAGTTAACGCAGAAAGAAAAATGGCATAGGGCACTTGGTCATGTGAATTTTCAATACTTAAATAAGATAATAAATAATAAATTAGTTGATGGTTTGCCAGATAAAATTGAAAGCACAGAAATGAAATGTTCAAATTGTATTCAGAGTAAAATGACTAATGTACCTTTTGAAAATAATAGAACAAAAACTACTGAGATTTTAGAACTTATTCATACTGATTTGAATGGGCCACATAACACAACTGGTTATGGTGGAGAAAAATATTTTTTAACCTTTATTGATGATTATAGTAAGTGTACCAGGATATTTTGTATTAAAAGTAAAGCTGAAACTGCAAAGTGTTTTATAGAGTTTATAAATTTAGTAGAAAATAAATTTAATAAAAGAGTCAAGAAGATTCAGTGTGACAATGGTAGAGAGTATTTAAATAAGGATATTTATAATTTTATAAGGTATAAGGGCATAGAGTTGTTACCATGTCCACCTTATGTTCATGAGTTAAACGGAGTAGCGGAGAGGTATAATAGGTCTGCTATGGATATAGGTAGATGTTTAATGAGAGAAGCTAAAATACATAGGAGGTACTGGCCTGAAGTAATAAAAACAGCAGCTTATTTAAAGAATCGTACTATTGCAAATACAGTTGAAAATAAAACTCCTTATGAGATATTTTTTGGGGTCAAACCAAATGTAGAGCATTTAAAAATTTATGGAAGTAGAGTCTATGTTAGAGTTCCTGAAGTGTTAAGAAAAAGTAAATGGGATGATAAAGCTCAACTAGGAATTTTAGTGGGTTATAATGAAAATAGTTACAGAGTTTTGTTAAATAACAGAATAATTAATGCAAGGCATGTACAGGTAATTGAAGAAAATACTCAGTTAATTTGTTTGGAAAAAGTAGACAATCAAAATAATAAAGATTTGGAAAGTGATAATACTTTAGATGTTTCAAATGAAGAGGTTAAAAATGAATATGAAACCGATGAAAACTTTGTAGATGCAGATGAGACTTATTCTAGTAGTAACGTAAATAATAATAGAGAAAATGACGTTTTAGTAGAATCACAGAAAAGAAAGAGAATCCCAGTTTCTAGATATGGTAATCCAGTTACACACTTTATTTATGTTAACCATATTGATGCAAATGTACCAAATTCATTCGAGGAGGCGATGAACTCCAATGATAGTAAGCAATGGCAAATAGCCATGGATTCTGAAATAAATAGTTTAAATAAAAATAATACTTGGCAAATTGTAGAAAAACCAAAAGATAAAAAGGTAATTGATGTTAAATGGGTTTTTAAAAAGAAAAGTAATAATGAATATAAAGCTAGATTGGTTGTGAGAGGGTTTCAGCAAAAAGATTTTAATGAAAATGCTTACTCACCTGTTGGAAAAATGCAAACTTTGAAAATTTTATTGTCATACAGTTGTAAAAATAAATTATTTGTAGAGCAAATGGATGTTGAAACAGCCTTTTTAAATGGTTATGTAAAGTCAGAAGTTTATGTAAATCAACCAGAAGGTTATAAAACAGGAGATAATAAAGTTTACAAATTGCAAAAAGCTCTCTATGGTCTCAAAGAAAGTCCTAGAGTGTGGTATGATTGTTTTGATATATTTATAAAAACTTTGAATTTTGTTAGAAGTAGTTATGATTACTGTTTGTATGTTAAAAAAGCAAGCAAAGATCCAATATACATATTAATATTTGTTGATGATCTTTTAATATGTTGTAAAGATAAAAATAAAATAAAAGAGGTGAAAACAAGTTTAATGAAACGATTTGCAATGAAAGACTTGGGGAAAATTAAAAGCTATATTGGCATAGATATTGAGTATAATGATGATAAAAATGTGATGACATTAAGTCAAACAAAGTATATTGAATCTTTGGCTGCAAAGTATAATTTGGTAAATACTAAGTTATATGATACTCCTATGGAAACAAATTTAAAATTAGAGCAAGCTAGTGAGGTCGATGAAAGTATTAAGTACAGAAATATAATAGGTGAATTATTGTATATTAGTACAGGCACAAGACCAGATGTAGCGTACAGCGTTAATTATTTGAGTAGATATCAAAGTTGTTATAACCGAACACATTACAAATATGCAATGAGGGTGTTAAAATATTTGTATAAAACTAAGAATCTAAAGTTAACATATTATGATAATGCAGATGCTGATATTTTAGACTGTATGGTTGATTCAGACTATGCAGGGGATAATGTGGATAGGAAGTCTACAACAGGTTTTATTATAAGATTTTTTGGAAATTTAATATTTTGGAAAACACGACGTAAACAACTAAATGTTCAACTTTTGCAGAGTATATTGCATTGTCAGAGGCAGTAACTGAAGTACTTTTTATAAGAAATTTGTTAAGTGAGTCATTTGATATAAACTTTTGTTATCCAATAAAATTGTATGAAGATAACTCAGGTGCAATTGCAATAGCTAAGTATGGTAACTTTACTAAAAATTCAAAGCACATTGAAGTGCAATATCATTATATAAACGAGAATTATGAAAACAAACTTATTGATATAATTAAAATTGATACAAAATGTAACTTAGCAGATATGTTGACTAAGAGTCTAGATAAATCAAAATTTTTGAAAAACAGGTTTGAATTAAGATTAATTTAGTTAAGAGTTCAGATTATTACTTTAAAGTACTGTTTAAGTAAAATATTAAAACTGTAATAACTTTAAAATACTGTTCATGTAAGATAAAATGTTAAGATTATAAATTTAAGGAGGTGTGTTGTAATAAGGTAAATATTATAATCTTAAGTTAAATAATATAAGTAGCGCCATCTAGTGTTAAGTTGGCAAGTTTCTCATAGACGTCGATATATTATCTGTGTTCTTCCCTTTTGTCGTCTGCATGGCGCCCATCATGTGCTTTCTGTGAGATTTTTAATAAAACTACGAAATATAACAAGCTATTATCTATTATTCAACCACATCCACCACTTCAACAGGTGGAAATAGAATTCAGGTAATACTTTAATCCATAATACTATGGGTTCTTCTATTAAAGCATGGTCATAAAACAAGGGGTTCATATAAGTAACTGGTTTTTTTTACTGGTGAAAAATAGATAAAGAACTTTACGAAAGACAATGATGATGATAGTAGTTATATGTTTATATTATCTGTGACAAGCTGGCCACTTTCAAGAGTTGAGACCTATTTATGTTCTTCTTTTGTTTATGAAATATTGGCAGTGTGCTTCTGACTAGAGTGTTTACTTCACGCTTTAAATTATTTCTACACAATATATTAAAAATATAACAGTAAGCAATCAGCGTCACTACTGCTACCCGCGACATGAAAAGAGGTAAAAGTGCATAACCAGCCTTCTTGGGATTGGTGATTTACAAAGCTGCGGACAATCTAAGAGTTACGATGACTTCGGCTCAAAGTCAGAGTAGAAAAGAGGTGGTTTATAGTCAGTAAGAGTCTGACACTCACTCTTGCCTTACCCAACGCGGGAGAAGTCATTGGATGATATGACAACCGCACAAAAAAAATAAGGGTTTTTAATGCAGGTTGATTTGGCGATGATGTGGGGGAGCGATTAAACCTCTGGTAACCATACTCTCACGGTTGCACACAATGCAAGCGTTGTTTCACGTCAGTTTTTTGTGAGGCCGTGGCGTCACACCGGTCGAGCCCGCCCATTCATGTGATAGACATTTATAATAGTACTAAGACATTCTGTAAATGATACGTACATATGGTTAAGATGATAGGAATGGTTCCTGGGCGGCGGCGCAGGTCTAGCGGCGGCGACGTCGGGCAGGTTGTGTGGTTGTTCCATGCGGAAAGCGCGCTCTATCTCGCCCTTACGTTCCCATACCTCTTTGAAGAATGGCGTGTAGAACGCCGCTGTATTAACAAAAATACACATTTTATTATTGAATACACACAACTTTTTTACGAGTTGTAGCCACGAAAACAGAACAACTTTAGTTTCAGCACTTTTGGCAAATGTAAAAAGGCAAAATTTTCTGTTTTAAGTAATTTTATCTTGAATCGCACATGAAACTTGGTTAACACGAAACAGAACTTATATCGATTCTATTAAAATCTTTAATAGAAAATACGCTGTGACGAGGGCTAACTTCTCAAAGGTAACTTTACAAACTTGCACTGTAATCGGACAAAGTCGTGTAGCCAACCTTGGAAAGTAATAACCGACCTCAATCCGAGAATTTTAGATTTTTGACATTGTTTCTGTAGCATTTCTTTTAAAAACTAAATCTTAATTCAAAATTTCTGGAACGAATATTATTTATTTATATTACTCAGGCAGGTAGTTAAAACAACTGATATATTATTACTATTATTACAAATTTACACTCCATAGATGGCGCTACAATCGAAAAAAATCCACTTAGATCTACAAGAATATTACTCACATTTATTTTCAGCGCTAGAGGTATAAGTAGTGAAGTGAGCAGCGAGTCTGTCTGCGGTGGCATTTCCTTCAGTGATGAGTGCATGTCCCAAGTCCGTGCCGAAGAAAGTACTGGCAGAACCACCTCCGTCCGTAACAGCCACCATTTGGATAGGCAGGTTCGGGATGTTCATTGAGAAAGCGCTGTAAGAGAAATTCTTGGATTAAACTTGTATCTCTACATATGTTAAAACCTCTTTAGAATGTATACTTCTAACTGTTAATTTTAATGACCTGGCTTAATTCCAAATCTGTAGATATTGGCATTAGTTGTATGAAGTTGCTACCAAAAAAAGCGCAGTAAATGACTAAAAATCTTTAACAGAATACATTATAGTACAAGTAATCAAGACGTGTTTAGCTTCGTATTGTTCGTTTAGATTTACTTCTGATAGATAATAATATTGAAAACAATTAAACATTTCCTTTCAACCGCTCCCCATTGTACGTAATTTGTAAATATTAATTGTTTGATTCAAATTCAAAGCACACAAAAAGGCATTATTTTAGACAACAAATACAAATAGAAATATCTTCTATTCTTTAGTGAAATTACTCCTTCTAAAGTGAAGATTCCTATAACTAGTTCGGTAATCTTATACTATTATATAAAGCGGAAGAGTTTGTTTTTTGTTTGTTTGTTCGAACGCGCTAATCTCCGTAACCACAAGTCTGATTTGAATAATTCTTTTTGTGTTGGATAGCGTATTTATCGAGGATGGCTATAGGCTATAAAACATCACGCTACGACCAAAAGGAGCTGAGCAGGGTGTGTGAAACCGCGCGGAAGTAGCTAGTATTATTAAATTGAACTTACTTCAATGTGGCCAAGCTAGCCTTCCTCTTAGCCGAGTAGATGAGAATGAATCCGTGGATCAATTCCTCCCTGAACTGACTTGCACCATGGAAACTTGATATGATGACCTGCAAAATAATATAACACGATAGAAATAGATAATATATTTAGGCATAGTACAGAAGATGGTATAATTTTAAACCACAATAGCGCCATTTGAGTGAAGTGAGACTTGACAGGCAATATTTCGTCGTATCCAATGTTATTTATTATTTAGGCCTGGTGACTACTGTTAGTGGGCATTGAAGCAGTGCGGTATAGCTTAGGCGCCTTGTAAATCATCCAATGACTTGTCTCGGCCTGGATAAGGCGAGAGGGAGTGTCAGACTTTTACTGATTTAACCCGTTCTTACTCCTTAGCCGGAGTCAAGGTAACTCACTAGGTCGATCGAAGGCACGATCTCTGGCCACCGTAAGCACGGACCTGCGGACAGCGAGCTGGAGTAGCCCACCACTCATAAGAACTAGGCCGAGCGTACGATGCCGATACGGAACCGCGGAGAACTTAACGGGTTGCCGGGGCTCCGGCTCGAAGGGCAGGAGTAGGAACGGGGTGGTTTTCAGTCAGTAAGAAGAGTCTGAGAGTCTGACACTCCCTCCCGTGTCACCCAGGCGGGAGAAGTCATTCGATGATTTAAAAAAAGGTCGTTCGAAGGCCCGGTCTGGCGCCATGACTTAAAACGCCTGGAGGCTGCTTCAGGCGGCTTCATAAACACATATATAATCAGTTCTGCTGGCAGACACGTCGCAAAATATTTTTCGGCGTCTCTCGCAATAAATCTTGTCTGCACCAGACTCAAATATATTTTAAATATTTTTCTTTGTAAAACAATACAGACCTCGACTTTCCGTTTGGAATCCCCTAGGAACGTCTCGATGACGATGGACCGGTCCCCGGTAAGGAAGCAAGCGCGGTGCAGTAGTAACGGACTCAGCACGCGTTCCGGGGAATACGGGTCGTCGCAGAACATGCAAACCATTATCCTGCGGAAAATATATCGTTATGATTCAGATAACTTCATGACCTCAAAACTCAATTTTGTTACCAAAGTCCTAAAGCCGGCTCCGGCCTTGCATTGATTTAATGCATGGCCGGTTTACATATTAAACAATTATCACACCTTCATTGATCATATAGATCAACTTAATTTTAAAAATTTTCCACCAAACTTTTAAAAAATAAGTATGCCGTTTGACTCTAATAAAACGTGACGTGACAATACACAATTTCTTACAAAATTCATAGAAAACTGTCGTTTTTGACAGTTCGAAAAGAGTATTGAATTTGACTAGTTGGCATACTTGCCAGTACCCAATAGTAAATGTCCCTGTTTACACATGGTCCAAAGTGCTGGTTCAATATGTAGAGCCGCCTTATGAAATACGTAGTCCTTTAGATCACAAGGACGGCGGTGAATAATTATTTCTACTCTACACTCACCTGATATCAGAATCGAAGCACACGATAACATCTCTGTACAGATGCGCGTAGCTCGCCTTCTCCCTGTTGGCTCTAACTAACTCTTGCACGGCGTCTGAAGTAAGCGCTTCAGTTCCCAGTTCGTTCACTGATGCTTCCATGTAGGAACAGTGAAGACTGGAAAGGAATTGGTCTATTAGCATACTATGTAAATAAAACATGGAGTAATTAAGTTCTTTCGACTGCCTCGATGGCCGAGTGGTCGCAAGTGCGACTACCGGGCAAAGGGTCTCGGTTTCGATTCCCGAGTCGGGCAAAGTATTACTGGGTTTTTTTTTTAAATCTCAGTGGTAGCACGGAGTCTGGAAATGTGACCGGTATATGGCAATAGGCTCAATGTAACCTATTACATGGGACTCATAACATAAATAGTGAAAAGTGGGTGTTACTTCTGTGTGCACCTCTGCCTACCCTTTCGGGGATAAAAGGCGTGATGTTATGTTATGTAATTAAGTTTTTTCAATTATACACTGGCCTCTGTGAGCGGCCTATGGAATAAAAAGTAGCCAATGTGTAATTCCAGACCATTTTTTTTTATGTTTAATGACCCGACGTATGTATGACCACTATCTCGCCAGGTGGTAAGCGATAATGCGGCCTACAATGGGTCACGTCGTGCCATAAGCAACCTATTCACTCGGGCCTTGAAGACACCCAGGTTCAGGAAATATCTGGCCTTGTTCCAAATTTCATCCCGATCCTTATCCTGCAGCCCTTTGATGTGATTGATAAACAGACAAACACACAAACTGTCGCATTTATAATATTAGTAAGAATTAAGATTAGTCCTACTGCCTATGTTTTGTTTTTCCTCCCATTATCTCTCTATCTCGTTATCCTCTTTACCAAATATCACAGTATTATCCAAAATAAAATAGAATATAATATAGGTGAGATCAAGAATAATTAACAAATCCCTATTATACTAACTTGTCAGCCAGATTCTGCCCTTCTTCCTGCAACCTGGTCAGCTCCTTCTTGTCCAGACCCTCGTCTTGAACGAACATCACCACCAATGGTAAACCCTGGAACCAAAAGACATTTTGTAAAAACTGTTCCTTGTGATTAACTAAAAAGCGCGGTTTACTAGTTTTAAACTACAGAGAGGTTCCTTATGAGCGGCGTGCGTGCATGCGACCGCATTTCACGCGAGTAACGAGCTGTTACCGCAGACGTTACCAGCTCCGATGCACACACGGTTCACCAAGAGGGGAGCGGCGGCTTGGTAACGCGACGGGTCAGCGACGAGCCGCGCGCTCTCGACACTCCTTACAACAACGCGACCACGATCGCATGATTTTATTATAACTTTGCACCATTGTACAACACCTAATATATACCTTTGAAATACTTTTATTTCCATCTGGGCCTATCTACCCGCGATTTTAAGTTAATATTCTATGTCTTCCTTGTAATGTTCAAACTTATAATAACATCGCATTGTAGACTCATACATATTTCTTTTCTTTTTGTAATGTAAAAACGTTGCCCATCACTAGTATTTTCTCCTGTGTGGTGGATACGTTTACAAACATAAAAGTTCACACACACAGTACACCCAGACCCGGAACAACAATCTGTGGATCACACAAAGAGTTGCTCCGTGCGGGAATCTAAACCACGACAAGCTGCGCGGCGGCTTGCCCAGCCACCGCACCAACCGTGTAATCGACTATTATTTAAATAACTTACTATAAAATACAAGAGTTACTTGAGTAATTCGTAATTTTACTATCATTCTTAAAGGCAAGACGCATGTAATGCCCCAAGTGTTGCAAGCGTAGATAGGCCACGGTAACCGCTTACCATCAGGTGGGCCATGTGCTTTTTTGCAACCGTCGTGGTATAAAAAAATAAAATCAATTATTTGAGTATCATTTTGAATGAGATAGACTGCACGGTTGGTGCGGTGGCTGGGTAACCGGCTGCCGCCCGTGTAACGTGTCGCTGGTTCGGTTCCCGCACGGAACAACACTTTGTTTGATCCACAAATTGTTGTTCCGGGTCTGGGCGTCATGTGTATGTGAATTTGTATGTTTGTAAACGCACCCAGGACACAGGAGATAATTTTAGTGTGGAGCAATGTTTTTAAAAAAAAATGTACACCGGAGATTCTTACTAAATTGTAACTCTAAATATTTTACCTGAAACGGTAACTTGTCCTCTTGTTCTAAGCTCGACAGCAGCGTCTTCTCGGCACATCCTCTAATGTACTCAAACGATTCTTGATCTTGGTAAACGCAGAAATATCCTGTGAAAACAAATAAATCAGTTTATTTCTTATCGCTTACATTCATTTTATTTCGTTGGCACACACTTCTTTTAAGGGGGGAAAATCATCAAATGACTTCTCCCGCCCAGGTGAGGCGAGAGTGAGTGTCAGACTCTTACTGACTAAAAACTACCCCGTTCCTACTCCTGCACTTCGAGCCGGAGCCCCGGTAACCCGTTAAGTCCTCCGCAGCTCCTTATCGGCATCAGCCCTATTGAGCCCCATCCGTGGTGGTCTGATGGCTCTTTGAGGCGCGCGCGGATCGCTCGGCCCCGACCGTCGTCACACACTACGATTCTCGCTTCAGTCATAGGTGCTTCACAAACACATAAATTATGACACAGTCACAGGTCACAGTCGCATTGAATAAGATGATGTATGAATTTGCTTAAGATGATGAATTAAAAGCATTCATTTCTAGATTTCTTGATATTTTGCTTCCAACTTCCCTTCAAAGTGACTGGAAGAGGCCTATCATTATACATATCATTTTATATACTATAGCATTGGCCATCTTATGACTGATATTATGATGACGATAATGATGAAACACACCCACTGGTAGGAGGAAATCCAAGTGCGGAGTAACGTTGTAAATAATAGAGCAAGTAGTTTACCATTAGGAGCGAAGTCATCAATGCAAGTAGTGTCCGCGCTGAAGTCGTCGGTCCGCACGCGTTGCTCGACGCGCCAGGCGTGGCCGCCCACGGTGACGCGGCGCTCCGCGTCGCAGCCCGCCAGTAGTCGCTTGCTGAACTCACCCGCTATGCCTTCCACCTGGTATAAAATAGTTAATATTAGGAAAAATATAAATAAAACTGTAGATAATTAATCAAGCAAAAATATACAAAAATTCAACGATAATTTTAATGAATTTTCAAAGAGAGGTAGACTATATTTTGGTGGGAGTGTGAAACTGTGAAGACAATTTAGATATGTGAAGTCAGGAGAAAAGGACAAGTATTTCATCGACTTCGACGAGATGTTTGTGTTTAAGTACTATTTTGCCTGTCTTAACCCATTTATCCCCAAGCAGCCATCGGCGACCACTCTCCACTAACATTAGAGACCTTATTTCCGATATTTAGAGACTACTTTTGTATGAACAAATTTGGGGGATGATATTTCAACAGGTTAAGCCATGATTCTCTATAAAATGCCTTCGTGATTCTCAACGTCAATTTCAGAGAGAAATACCTAAATATTGTATGATACTGAATTCTATTTCGGATGCCTAATTTATACCCTTCACTAAATATTTTAATGAAACATAATATCAGGAATATAAATAAAAGACTTACGCCAAGTATAATGACGTTGATCTGGTTGGAGTCAGTGGTGAGCGCCCAGGGCGCGGCCGGCGGGCCCGCGTGGCACTGAGACTCTCCCGTCGATGTCAGAGACCTACAGATAGGAAAAGTAACTTATTTTAAACCACTCTTATCTTGTCATAAAGTCATTACAAATAATTAAAATAAAAAGTAAGTAGTATGGTAGCTCCCCCGAAAAGTGGTATATGTCGCAGCAGTGACAATCTTCTGGATGATTTTAACGAATTGCATATTCTTTCTTTCTTGTTAAGCTACATGTAGTGCTCGGTTGACACAAATAGCTGAGCGACAATGAACAAAAATATTCTTTGATTGATTCACAATATAGTTAACATGTTTATTCCTGGGACAGAAACGTCAATGCATTTGTAACTCCTCTGGTGTTGGTATGGGTGGCGCAGATTGCTTACCACCACTTAGGGAACTAAGTACAAATCTAGCAACTTTAGGTGCATAGGTTGGGTGGCCACTGTTAACCAAAGGCCTCTTCTCACACGGAATAGGTTTGAGCATTAATCACCACGCTTGCTCAGTGCGGGTTGGCGTTTTCAAACGTATAATTAGAAATTACGGTTTCCTCACGATGTTTTCCTCACCGTTCGTCGGTGGTATTTTAAATAAGCTTAGAAAGTACATAATTCGAAAAAGTCACATTGGTGCTTGTCTTCGGTAGGTTTCCAGCCCTCATGCATGAGAAGCGGGCGTCTTAAGCCTCCGGGCCACCACGATATTATTGTGTGAGTGGACGATCACGTTCATTGTAGTACTCCCTCCCTGGGCAGTGCTGGATCATGTTCATTGTACAGTCAGTAGTACTCACCCCACCCTGGTGTTGAGTATGACGGGCAGCGTGGCGTCGAGACAGTTGGCGGCGGCAGGGCAGTGCTCCCTCATGGGGCAGTGCACGAACCCGAGGTGCTGGAACAACATCAGCTTGCGGTCCTGCTCCATGCGGTCCAACATCTTGTATCTGTACGATAGGTATGGTGTCAATATTTAGTAATCTTACGATTTCTCTTACGAAGAAGAAGCCTACTGAGCTAAACTTTTGTATACATCTTTATTATGGAATTCATTGTAGTGAATATGAAAAATGGACATTGGAATCGTACCATCTTATAGTGTTATGAAATAATATCAAAATATTTTTTTTTTATCAGGTCAATAAAATTTATTCTAAAACAGTTATTTACAAATACGTCCTGTGCAATTTTATGTAAAATTAACCGTCGTAGTAACTATATATATATATATATTTTAAGGGAGGACAATCATCGAATGACTGCTCCCGCCTGGGTGAGGCGGGAGGGTGTTAGACTCTTACTGACTAAAAACCACCCCGTTCCTTCTCCTGCACGTCGAGCCGGAGCCATGGTTACCCGTTAGGTTCTCCGCGACTCCGAATCGGCATCGGCCCTGTTGGGCCCCATCTGTGGTGGTCTGATGGCTCTTTGAGGCGAAACGCTCGGAGCCGTACGCGCGGGTCTGTTTCTGGTCGGACGGGGAGCCACCCATGCTCGCCGTCCGCAGGCCCGCGCTTACGGTGGCCGGAGATCGTCCCGCGATCCCGACGCTCGATGTGTCCTTCGCGATGACTGGGTTGCGAGGAGGCAGTGCTTCGCTGCCTCACGCGTCCCGCCTCCTCCTTAGCCAGCATAACTACTTCGCAAAAGGAGGAGACGGCATCCCAGTCCCCCTCGCTCCGCATCATGACCTGCACTAGGACCGGACGGGAGAGGTCGCCATCGCCTATCACTTCCCTGAGCACCAGCGTGTCGTCGGCGTAGCATATGATGCTAACGCCATTCGGGAGGTCGGTGCGCAGCACCCAGTCATAAACGATGTTCCACAGGAGCGGCCCCAGAACCGATCCCTGTGGAACACCGCGTGACATCTCTCAACGGTTCCACTCGCCCCGGTGACCGAGGTAACTGGTGAAACTGTCCGTCAGGTAGGCTTCGATTACTCGACGGAGGTAGGTAGGCACCCGATGATATCGGAGTGCCTCCAAAATACAGTTCCAGGGCAGGGAGTTGAAGGCGTTGGCGATGTCCAAAGACACCGCCACAACGACTTTACCCCTGGACACTGCAGTCCCGTCGTCCAGTTCCTAACGCGCATGATGGCGTCTACCGTGGAGCGCCTTCTGCGGAAGCCGAACTGGCCGTCCGACAAGTCCGGCCCAACCTCCGACAGGTGCCCGACGAAGCGGTTTGAAACGATTCTTTCGAAGACTTTCCCCACCTCGTTGAGCAGCACTATGGGCCGGTACGCGGACGGAGAGTCCGCATGGCACCCCGTAGTAACTATAGCACGACGGTTAATTAAAATTAATTTTATATAAATTAAATTATTAGTATTTAACCTCTCGCGCGCCTCTCGTACACACGGGTAAATATTTTAATAGAAAAGCGAATTAACTATTCTGTTCAATCAAATAAAGAACGGGTTGCAAACTTGAAAATGTACGTCACAGAAAAAATATCCAATCGGAGCGCGTATATCGTGCACCGTGTGTACGAGAAACACGCGAGAGGATAAATTGACTAGAATGCGCTTACAGATGATTTTATACAGCAAACGCCAAGGTGTATTATGTTTTTTTATCATCTGTCAAAACGGAGATGTAACCAAAGACCTCGAATAGTAGTAGTTTTAAAGCCACTTACCTGAAATCGTCTTGTAGCACATCAGTGATCTCCTTGATGTCCTCCTGAGTGATCGTTCCGGTCGGAGATATGCTCTTGAAGTGATAGAACAGGTCTGCGTGCTCCAGTAGCAGTTCCTATAACAAATTTAATTATATCACGTACTCTATTCGATCATCACATTTTTCATTTATCATCAGCATCCAGAACAGGTCCACTGCTGAACAAAGGCCGAAGGTAGTTTTTATATTCAAAATTTTCATTAGTTAAGTTAAAATTTGCAACTAAGCTCTGGTAACAAAAGCTATTCATTGTACCATTTTTCGTCTTAGATAAGGTTTGCTGTGATCCATGAAACTTTTAATAAGACTGCTATTTACTTAAACTTGAGAAAATATCCCTGACTACGTTACTCCTTAGGTCATAAGTTCATAACTAAGTAAAAATCTCCTCCTCTCATCGCTAAATCCCCAAATCCTTAAACTCCTAACCCCAAAAGGCCAGCAACACACTTCTAACTTCACTCCTCTGATGTTTCCAGTGTCCATAAGCGGCAACGATTGCTTACCATCAGGTGATCTGTCTACTTATTATGTTTCGGCTTACTCACGTAATTATTTGACGTAGAAGTGTACTTCTACGTCTTTTTTTTTTTTTTTTTTTAAGGGGGGAAAATCATCGAATGACTGCTCCCGCCCGGGTGAGGCGGAAGGGAGTGTCAGACTCTTACTGACTAAAAACCACCCCGTTCCTTCTCCTGCACGTCGAGCCGGAGCCCCGGTTACCCGTTAGGTTCTCCGCGACTCCGAATCGGCATCGGCCCTATTGGGCCCCATCTGTGGTGGTCTGATGGCTCTTTGAGGCGCGCGCGGAACGCGACGCGCCGTACGCTACTTCTACGTCTAGAACTATTACGTCTAGTTTCAAGCTCGACTAGTTTTGTATTTGTTGACGTTTCAAAAGTACAAAATAATGGTTTAATTGGAATAAATGCTTTGACTTTGCCATGCTAGAAGCTCATATTCATGAGACAGACGCAACGTCGCGGGTCGCGGAATGCTGCTCATGAATATGAGCTTCTAGCGTGGCTTTAAACTAGTCGAGTTCTACGTCAAATAAGTAAGCCGAAACATAATACCTAATTAATTTAGTATGTCTCACGAAATTTATAAATTTAAATCTGTCTACTTCTTTACGTTAAAAAAATGTCAAATACCTGGAAGTTATCCTTAGCCCGGCGTTGTATCTGCCGCTGGTGCTGGTCGTAGACCCTCTGCTGCTGGTCCTCGGCGAGCGCCTCGTAGCACTCGCGGCCCATCAGTAGCACGCGCACTTCCGACAACTGCTTGCCGGGAGTCACGTAGCCGGTCTCTTCTAGGAGACGCTTGAATTGTTGGCACCATCTGCGAGTCGAAGGTGGTATTAAATCAAACTCTATACTATCTTATACCTATACATATAATAAAATCGTAGGAAGGTCAAAACTATACATTGAATACTTAAGGCGTAATCTACAATCGATACCGAAACCAAAAATATAGGTTTTAGAATTTTTGTCTGTTTGTCTGTATGTATGTCCGGGCTAAACTCAAAAAGTACACTGCATAGATTTACTTCAAATTTTGCACGAATATTACAAACAGGCCAGGTCAACATATAGGCTACATATCATCACGCTATGACCTACGGGAGAGGAGCTGTGAAGAACTATCCAAAGTCCTATTCCACGCAGACGAAGTCGCGGGCATCTACTTAATATATAAAGCTTGGTTCTTTGTTTGTTTGAACGCGCTAATCTCTGGAACGACTGGTCAGATTTGAATGGTCAGTGGACACTTTTTGTGTTGGATAGTGCATTTATCGAGACAGCCCGACAGTTGGAACCGAGTATGAGTAGCTATAGTGTATGTTTATATCGAAGAAGTTAATATAACTATTCATATACTGACGCCCGAATACTGAAAGGCTACTCAATTTGTTGTACTTAAGTATCGTGCCATCTCTGTCATTATACAAAGAATTTTTAGTGACAGAAATAGGCGCTTAAGTATATATAGCCTTAAGCGCGACTTAAAATAAAATGGCGTATGAGTATTTGGAGATAAGAGCCTGTTTCACCATTCCTATTTAGGTATCCAATTAAGTATCCAGTGATATAAGCATACCACAATAATATGGTAGTGTCGACTGTCGACATTATTTTGTATAAAATAAATTTCAAAATTGTTAAATTATACGTAGATATAGCTTTGGTGATGACAGAGTAACATTTCATCAAAGAAAAAAAAATCTTAAGAATGCAAACTGTTTTCACCCCAAAAGTTAACCAAATTCCAGTATAATAAGAGTCAGTGTTTATTGCAACTAAGTATACAGATGATGGTCATGGAATAGAAAGAGAAGAAAATCAAGAATGGAGGAGGAACCAAGAAGTCTAAAATCTTGACTAAAAACTCACTCATAGTTCCGATGTTCCTCCTGCGCTTCATGCAGGAATGTCTTGAAGACAGCTGCTGCTTCATTCGATTCCAGGATCTCGTAAGGAATCTTCTGCGACTGTCCCAGTGTCTGTAAACAAGATAAAGTAATAAAAAATCCGTAATTATGTCCAACATGTACATTTCTATAAGAAATGCTTACTTTCATCGATTAAAATTCTTATGTAAAAAGCGCGTCCATCCCAAAGTTAGAGGTTTGTCGAGGCCCAATTTTTCCCACCACTTGCCACATGGCGTCATCATCCCTAAAATTAATCTCTAAAAGGCTGGCAGTTCACTATTAACGCCACTCTCTGCGAGGTTCCAAAGACGGCGCGGCGCCTCATCGATTGCTTACCATCAGGTAATCCGTTTGCTCGTTAGCCACTCTATGCCATAAAAAAAATATATTAAGGCCTCACCTGGTATCTAGCCCGTTCTCCGACCCGTAGCGTGGTATCAATAGCGAGTGGACTGTCCAGGTCAGATCCTGACTCGGAGCCGGAGTCCTGGTGTCGACCCTCGCTGAAGTACACGGAGAAGTCGCGGTGAGTGCGTAACTGACGGACTACCATCGGCCAGTCGCTAGTCGAAAGAGATAATAAAAGTTAAATAATATCGTATCGTATCGGGGTGATCGTATTGTCAAATACCGGGCACAATTCTAGACTCCGTGCTACTACTAAAAAAAACAAGTAATACTTTGCCCGACCCGGGATTCGAACCCGAATCCCTTTGCCCGGCAATCGCACTTACAACCACTCGGCCGATGCAGTCATAATATAATACAACTGTATCAACAGCCATAATATTATGATCGAGAAGTATGTGTGTGCAAATACAGATTATACAAGTTATTTCTTTGTTCCTTTACTCTCAAGAAGCAATATACCTATTCAACCGTGAGATCAATGGCTTCGTGTATTCTGATGTGAACTACATACAATTTTAAAACAATTTTTATATAAGATGTAAACATATCACTTGCAAATGTCGAAGACAGGTGATGGTAAACAACCAGTTTTATTTTCAATAAGAAAACAATTAAATGTTTATCTCACGTAATAATAGTTGTATTTCATTAATTAATTCAAGTGCTCGAAGATGACAACACCAAAAAATAACGATTAAAATTGTAAAAAACTAAATCTTTAGTCTGCATTTTCGAAAGCAGTCCTTTTACACCTTGTTTGTATTCGACAATCTCCACATGACCAGTAACATATTCCAATCATTAATAGAATAGAATGGAATAGAATAGAATAGACTAGAATATAATGGAATAGAATAGAATGGAATAGAATAGAATGGAATAGAATAGAATGGAGTAGAATAGAATGGAATAGAATATAATGGAATAGAATATAATGGAATAGAATAGAATGGAATAGAATAGAATGGAATAGAATAGAATGGAGTAGAATAGATTGGAATAGAATACAATGGAATGGAATAGAATAGAATGGAATAGAATAATCTCTATTGTACACCATCATTAATCTACTTACTTCTCCTGCAAGTCCTCGGTGGGTAGTTGCATTCTAGACAGTACTTGTGGCAGCTTGGCTAACTGCTTGCGGAGTTTCTTAGCTGAACGTTCCTCCTTCAGTCTTCGAATGTGACGACGGTACACGACCTTAGAAAAATAAGCAATTAGAAATAGTTTTAGTTCTCATGGACTTAGGTATAGGTAGCTTTTGGATACTAAGATGGGGTGTAGAAAAGCTTGCTCATCATTTAACTTTTAAAGAAATGTTGAGAAGTTAAAGGCTGGGCAACTGGATGCCGTGCAACGTATTCGGATCAGCTCTTTGTGATCCACAAATTGTTCTGGTCTGGGGGTGGTCACATACATGGTATGTGATATAGAAAAAAAACCTAGTGTAAATAGTAGGACAACATTAATAAATGTGCGGAAGAATTGCACAACTTGATTCCCCTAGTTCTTTCCATCATCGTACCACAAGATAATCGGCGAAGCGTCACGGATTCATGGTAGATGTCCCACCCACACGCTCGAAGCGCTTCGCATCAAGCTGCCTTGTGCATACCGTTAAGAAGTGGAATTCTTTGCCAGAGCCTGTAATTCCTGAAGGGTGTCGTCAAGGCCCGTGTGAATAGGTTGCTTATGGGACGACGTGACCCATCATCGTAGACCGCATCATCGCTTACCACCAGCCGAGATAGTGGTTGAACGTCGTCCCATCAAATATAAAAAATAAAATAAAGCATGATGGATATAGACAACCATATTTTCAATTTACAACACATGTTTTGTTGTTTATTGACAAGCAATAAAAATAAGGAATTCAGTTTAACAGCACTTACTTGTGTCCCGTCGTTTCCAAACTGCTGAACAAACTTGACCCACTCAGGGTAGTGACACAATCTCTTGCTGGCTGCCGACCACATCTCTCTGTGAACAATTTTATAATTTACTACAAATCCAATCTATACTCATATTATAAAGCTGAAGAGTTTGCTTTTTTGTTTGTTTGTTTGTTTGAACGCGCTAATTTCCGAAACTACTGGTCCGACTTGAAAAAATATTTCTCTGTTGGACAGCCCATTTATCGAGGAAGACTATAGGCTAGACTATATATAAAATATCACGCTACGATTAATAGTCGCCGAGCAGAGCGAGAAAACGCGCGGAAGTAGCTAGTCTGAAATAACGATTATCTCGTCAGTTTATTGGTCAAAAGCACCACTGAAACCCGGCTCAAAGCAACTTTTACGTTGTGTGTCACCGTATGAGTGAGGTTACTGGAAAAACTTTCTTTCTTAACTTTCCGCCCTTATTCAATGGAACGACTTGTCCCTGGATTGAATCCTGATGGAAGATTCGGACTCCAAGTGACGACTTTCCGCCCTTAAAAAAACCTCCTCCCGAAACCTCCACAATCTCCAATACCTAAAAGGCCGGTCACGCACTTTTTAACTCCTTTGGTGTTCCAAGTGTCCAGGACGGTGTTGATTGCTTACCATTAGGTGATCCGTCTGCTCGTTTGCCACATAAAAAGGAGAAGCAACCTTAAAACAAAGACAGTAAAGTTTCATATAACATTGGCAAACACTTACTTATGATCTTGCACATGCATCCTGATGAGCTGGGTGAAAGCTTCGGTGACAAAGTCTAGCGTTTCTCTTCTTATTCGTAAAGCCTCTGCATAGTTCGCCACCTGTGGATATACAATAGCATATTAACCTTTTGACCGCCGCCGCGGCTACAGCCAAACAAACTAAATGTAGGTACTTAAAACTTTGACTGCCAATAAAAAACTGTTGAAGGTAAATCCTCCGCTAACGCCGGTCACCGGTGACCCCCATGGCGTTTAACGTGTTAAAAATCATGTTTTCTTGTTTGTGGCCAACTGTGACGGATCACGTCATAATTCGTTTGTCGGCCATAGCCGACTGTGGCGTTCAAAACGTTAATATTATCATCAACAGCTCTTGATTTCAGAGCTCGATCTTGGCCTCCTCTACAATCAGGAGGTTTCCAGAATCTCCACACTTAGCACGTAGGTTGGAGATCGGAGTATAAAAACATCAGGCCAACTGCGGCCTGGTTTCTCTTAAAGATGTAGTCAGTGATTGCCTCGTTGGCCGAGTGGTCGCAAGTGCGACTGCCGGGCAAGGGTAGTTAAAAAATTCTCAGTAACAGCACGGAGTCTGGAATTGTGCCCGGTATAAGGCAATAGGCACCCCCATTACATGGGACTCATAACGTAAAAAGTGAAAAGTGGGTGTTAAATTGTACAGTGGCATTAACTCGTTGAGTACCGTCATTATAGACACAATTAAAGAACAATAGGTTGCGGTCACCGGTGACCGCTCGGTGTTTGACAGTTTAAGTGCCGTAATGTGCACCTCTGCTTACCCCTTCGGGGATAAAAGGCGTGATGTTATGTAATCCCGTAGATGCTACACTCATGACGACACCCGTGGGAAGAGTATGGTGGTAACCAAATGTACTCTACCTTGCCTCCTATTCCATAAAAAAAAATATTTTAATATTAAACTTACCTTAATCCTAGCCTTCGATTTGTCTATCATCTGAGCAAGCAAGAAGAATGCATGGTCTACATTCACATTATCATGACTGGATGTCTCCACGATGGGGATGCTGCCTTTGAACTCCTTACGCTGCACCAGCCTCTCAGCCTCCCTGATTCCTTGGTCACAAGCCTCATCATTCTTCGACGTCACCAGCACCACTGGCTTCTTGAGCTTTAGAATGTTCTGGAGAATTGCTGCCAGGACTTCGTTCTGAAAGTATTATTGTGTTCAGTATTAAAATCCTAGAGGTTATTTTGGAACGCGAATGCGTAATACGCAATCAACGTGTAAAAAACGATCAAGTAGGTACTTCCCGTCAAACCTATATTTAGACAAAGTTGCCTACCTTACTTTCCTAATGGCACATCATCAACTTAAAACATCATTTAACAGCTCTATCTACCCTTTCGGTGAATAAAACCCGTGATGATACGACACGTTCTTATACTTCCATTAGGATCAACGATAACGCAAAATTAGCAGCAATGTAACAAATATAATTTTTATAGCATAAGCCGGTAAACTAGCAGACGGATCACCTGATGGTAAGCAATCGGCGCCGCCCATGGACACCCGAAACATCAAGGCGTTACAAGTGCGTTACCCGCCTTTTGGGAATTGGGAATTTGAGGATTGTGGAGGATTCGGGAGACTAGGGAGGGGAGGTAATTGGGCCTCCGGTACCTCACTCACACGACGAAACACAACGCAAGCGTTGTTTCACGTCAGTTTTCTGTGAGGCCGTGGTATTACTCCGGTCGAGCCGGCCCATTCGTGCCGAAGCACGGCTCTCCCACACTTATTTATCATATTATTTTTCACTAGTCACAATTCTTACCTGCTTCTCCCAAGTCCGTCCAGGCACGAGACTAACATCATAGACACACAGGAAACCGTCCACAGACAGCTTCCCATCCGGCATCAGTCTCTGGTCATACTCCTTCTCTATTCCCAGCTGGTTTTTACAAACGTACATCAGTTTTTCAGCAGACTGAAGCTTTGTGGCGACGCATCTCTTCACGTAAGTTTCAGTTTTGCCGACTGAAAGAAAATGTGTTGTTTTGTATTTTAAATTGAGCGCTTGATGGTTGAATGAACTTAAGTGGTTGTAAACGCGACAACTGAATTAATGATCCCAGTTTTATTTCTTAAATTGGATCAAGTATTGCAATGTAAGATATTCTTAGCGATAATATGGGGTTCAAACAAACCTGGCGATACATAAGAATATGTGAAACGTTGCCCTAAATTAGTTATTTCCTCATCACATCAACAGCCTATGTGGTAACTGCTGACCGAAGGCCTCTTCTCACACGGAGAAGGTTTGAGCATGAATCACCACGCTTGCTCAATGCGGTTGGCGATTTTAAACGTATAATTAGAAACGGGTTCCTTACAATGTTTTCCTTTGCCGTTTATCAGTGATGTCTTAGAAAGTACATATAACTCGGAAAAAGTCACATTGATACTTGCTATTGGTAGGTTTCGAACCAGCCTCATGCATGAGAAACGGGTATCTTAAACCTCCGAGCCACTACGACATTCGTTTAATTTGAAATAGTTATTTAATATGTCGGTTTTTATGTTAAAGCTTACCTTTAAACGGCTGAAAACAGGCATCATCCACAAACTCGGTCTGCTCCACGATCTCGAACCTGTATTCCTGGTCATCATTCTCCTTGGAGACGCTGCCCCAGTACAGAAAGTGGTCGTTGTTTACCACGCGCCCGCTGAAGTCCGACTGCAAGAGAGAAGACAAATAAAGGATTATTTAGAGTACAAACTGCGCAGTATACAATTTTATACAATTATTTGTAAGATACAGCAGCCACAAGTGTTAAGTGATACATCCTGCAAGAAAGACTTTAAATGCACGTCTATAACAAATTGGAAAACAGGGCTATCGTACAAAAATAATCAAAACCAAAATGTCTGGCTGCTTGAGGTTTTTTTTAGAAATAGGAGGCAATCGAGCAGACGGATCATCATCAACAGCCTATAAATGCCCACTGCTGAGCAAAGCCTCTTCTCACACGGAGAAGGTTAGAGCACTAATCACCACGCTTGCTCAATGCGGGTTGGCGATTTCAAACTTATAATTAGAAATTATAAGTCCAGGTTTCCTCACGATGTTTTTCCTTCACCGTTTGTCAGTGGTGTCTAAATAATCTTAGAAAGTACATATAACTCGGAAAAAGTCACATTGGTACTTGCCGTTGGTAGGTTTCGAACCCGCACCCTCATGCATGAAAAGTGGGCGTCTTAAACCTCCGGGCCACCACGACATTAGCATGGTAGCATCGTGATTTTGTTGACTTTTAACGGTATCGTTTATAAACATAACATTTTTTTATGGCTAAGCCGGTAAACGAGCTAAAGGATCACCTGATGGTAAGTGATCAGCGCCGCACATGGACACTCGCAACACCAGAGGAAGGAGCCACAGGTGCGTTGCCGGTCTTTTAAAAAATAATACTCTCTTTTCTTGAAGGTTGGCTAATTAAAATGTGTATAAGGAAAAGCGACCAATAAATAAACAATTCTATAGATCCGTTAAGGACAACTAATTACATTAAGCCAAATACAAATAACATAACCGAGATAGTTTCTATAGACACACATGAGACTCAAATATTATCATGACTTCTAAAAGCAGTACATCAAAGTCAGAGGTCCCTTATAAATAAAACAAGTGCAAACAACTTAAAAAAAAAACGAAACAACGACACTACCATACTCCTTGGCCGTAGACGTATATTTATAGAGCATGTTTTTTTTTTAAATTATCCAATTGACTGGCCACGTGTCATCGTGCATTGAAGTGTCAAATTTCTACCCTTGGGGGTCGAAGTACCCCGTAATGACGTAGAAGTCAATATTTGTGGAAGAAACTGATATGTGTTTGGTGTTAGAATTATATTATATTTTTATGTATGTTGGGGACACTGATAATGTTCCGTATTATCTTATTGATAAATATAAACATGTTTTAAGCATGATATGACTTGAAAAATGTTCATAAAGGCTTAATAATTACCTACTACAAGACTATCTTCAGGACTCATCATAACAAATCTGGTGAAAAGTGGGTAACTATTTGCTGTATCGTCGGATCTATCCAGATATCTGATTACATTACGCCTTTTATCCCCCAAGGCGTAGGCAGAGGTGCACACACATTATGCCACTGTACAATGTAACACCCACTTTTCACTATTTATGTAATGAGTCCCATGCAATAGGGGGTGAGCCTATAGGCTCACCCCGGTATATGGCAATGTATTGCCATATACCGGGCACAATTCCAGACTCCGTGCTACTACTGAGACTTTTTTTTAAACCCTATAATACTTTGCCCGACCCTGGAATCGAACCCCTAGACCCCTTGCCCGGCAGTCGCACTTGCGACCACTCGGTCAATGAGGCAGTCTATCCAGATATATTGTATGTCGTATCCATCCAGACACATTTATTCCATACAAAGCTATAGTGTGATCCTTACAAACTTTTTGACAACAAATACACACAACAATCATCTTCAACGATTCACTTACCTATTAAAATATATTTACTTCTAAGGCTTTTAACGATGACGTAATGAGGTAATGACTAGTTATTTACCTGACTCAACACGCAGATGTGATCAACATTGTAATCATCGGCGTGTGTGCGAACGAATCTGTTGCAGAGACAAGACTTGCCGACACCGAGCTGCCCTTTCTCCTTCTCAGTACCTGGGGAAGATGAGAAAATAAATAAGTAAGTAAGTTATTATACGACATTAACTGGCTCTGGAAGTCTCCTGCTGGACTATTTTTTTAACGGGGAAAATATTCGCATGATTTCTAGGGAGTGTCAGACTTTTACTGACTAAAAATCACCCCGTTCCTACTCCTATCCTTCGAGCCGGAGCCCCGGCAACCCGTTAAGTCCTCCGCGGCTCCGTATCGGCATCAGCCCTATTGGGCTCCATTTGTGGTGGTCTGATAAGTCTTTGAGTACCCTCGGGGCTGGTTCTGGTCGAGCGGCGAGCCACCCATGCTCTACGTCTGCTGGACTATGGGCCATCTTTTAAGAGACTCTCGTCTCTCTTTTAAGAAACTCCATACAAATAACATACTTAACTAATGTCGAAATCCAATGTTACAATACACAGTGTTATACACAGATTCTGGATTGACATCAGTTAATTTTGGCCGTAATTGAGTACTTTCCTTAATCAAATATAAATTATTTCGACTGTTCAATACAATAAAATATTAAACTTTCATTAATTGATTTTAAAACCAACTTAATTTTAGTACTTTTCCAGCAAATTAAAAAAAAAACATACAATTTTTGACATAGTTCGAAAAAAATATTGAATTTGATTAGTTGGGAAGTACCCAATCATAGACGGTTTGTTATTGTCTCCGTTGGGTAAGCGGGTTGGAGATAGCAGTATAAAAGCTTCAGGTTCTTTAGAGAACGTTGTTGTTCAGTCTCTAACAACGTATTTATTAACCACAAAGCCCGCGAGAAGAGTAAGGGACGTGTCACGTGACCAATGTTTTCTACTCTGCCGTCATGACACAATGGCGGCGATAAATAAATAAAAATGAATTTCCGTTCGCCAGTCTCGCTAAAACTCGAGAACGGCTGAGCCGATTTGGCTAATTTTGGTCTTGAAATGTTCGGCAAGTCCGGGGAAAGTTTAAAAGGTGAGAAAAACAGTTTTTAGGCGGTAAGAAGTTTGCCGGGTCAGCTCGTATTAAATAAACACATAGGAATATTAGGCAAATTAATAGCATAAAGCGCCCTCTACAGTTACTAAAGTGACAATATTAGTAAAGTAAGCTCAGAGGCATGTTATTAGAGAGCCCTATAAATGATGTCAAGTAGATAGTGGGCGGATAATGTTGACAATTCAAAATTTCTTTGCGAAAGTCGCGCATGCAAGCACTCGCCTTACCGATGTAAACATAGTTAACCAACTTTTTTGTCCCACATAATGACTGACCCTAGAATGTCAAGACCTTACGTAAGTAATGACATTTTACTTATTTACCATGTAACAGTATTTAATGCTAATAAACATTACAAAGAATCAATTGACCTACAAAAACATAAACGTCATCCTGTACCTACCCTTATTCGATGTCTAGTTAGTGTCATTTCTTGAGATAATACAATTTAATTTATAAATTAAATTAAATTATAAATTTTAATTATTTTTCCATCATATTACATATTGAGGATTACAAATACAATACAATTGAGGATAAATTAACTAACTAATATTCAGTAGTATTGTATTATTTTCTTTTCAATGCCTTTTTTCAACTAGTTATGTAGAATTCTACGTCAATAGTTAATTCGCAGAATGATAGTGAGTTCTAGATAAAGGGATTCAAAATGGTCGCGGTAGTTCAGCCACCTAAACCAGGAATTGCGATCTAGTTAATTAACATGATCGGTAACATATGTGAAACAATGCTTGCGTTGTGGTACGTCGTGTGGGTGAGGTTACCGGAGGCCCAAATACCCCGCCTCCCTTCCCCAATCCCTGAATCCGTAACAATCCTCAAATTCCTAATCCCAAAGGCCGGTAACGCACTTGCAACGTCTCTGGTGTTCCAAGTGTCCGTGGGCGACGCCGATTGCTTACCATCAGGTGATCCGTCTCCGCTCGTTTACCGGCTTATCCCATAAAAAAGCCCATGTTTATAAACGATACCCTTAAAAGTCAACAAAATCACGATGCAACCATCATCCGTATGACAAAATGTTATCAACTTTCTCCCTACGAAACAAACAATTTAACACCTACGCTTGATAACAGGAAGTATTGTAGATAACAACACAACAATAGAGCAACTAGTGACTAGCGACTACTGACTATTGACAATCACTTACGCTAATACTATCAATGGTAACTTTTAAGAGTTGTAATACTGTATAGAACGGACGACTCTTGACGCTAAAGTACGTAATGTAACATCCCGCTTATAACATAAAAGATATATAGTGTTTACTTTACCAATATGGGACTTTTTCGCTAGTTATTTTTCTACAAGATCCATTGTCATAAGATTTCTTTCGCTGCTACGTTTGTCGTCGCTTCATCCACAATCACGACATTTGGCGATTCATTGCCTGCCTCAATGGTAAGCTTTACTTCATGTATAATTGTGATAGATCCGGTTTCGGCCTCCATGTCATTTTTGAGAAATTGAAACATCGAAAATCTCTACATTTACGTTCTGACGACGGAGAGAAAGACCTCGACGTTTATGGCAATAGTCAAGCCTTTCTAGATTGCCTTAATATGGTCTAAATGTTCATCAACTGAACCGCAAAGTTTGGAAATAAGCTCCCAATAACTATGAAACTAATACTACAAGGAACGATAGGTTTTAAGGGCAGTCCTACTCCTCTGCCTACCCTTTCATAACAGAATCTCCTAACCGTAACAAAAGTTAGCCTATTTACAAAATAAAATATTGTTTCATTGTTACAGAACTGTAAACAAAATGATGACGTCATACGTATTGCACACAGCTAAAACTGGATTTTAAATTGCTCTTTCATTTGACAAGTGCATTACATAAATAAAATGCACAGCAATCGTTTCATTATTACGCCTGGGCCGAGGACAATTGTGAGAACAAGTTCAGGCCCAATTAAAAACAATATGGCGGCATTTTGCAATATCCTGTTATTATGGTCATAGAAATCAATGTCACTTTTATTATCCGGCTTGAAAAAGAAGGATTTAGTTGTCATAATAGTTTTAAAATGAGTGTCTCGTTGGCCGAGTGGTCGCAAGTGCGATACTGAAGGTGAAGAGTGGTTGACAATTTAGTTCTCGTATACCTAATACAATAACTCGGCAACCGGCTGCCGCGCAATGTGTAGCGGGTTCAATTCCCGCACGGAGCAACTTTGTGATATCCACAAATTGTTGGTTTAGGTCTGGGTGTAATATGTATGTGAACGTGTATGTTTGTTAACGCACCCACGACACAGGAGACAATTCTAGTGTGAGGCAACAGTTTAAAAAAAAGAACAACACAACACATAACATCACGCCTTTTATCCCCGAAGGGGTAGGCAGAGGTGCACATTATGGCACTTAATGCCACTGTACAATGTAACACCCACTTTTTCACTATTTATGTTATAATATAAATATAATAAAAAATAGTATATAAATATAATAAAAAATAGTATATAAATATAATAAAAAATAGTATAAAAAAAGAACAACCAAACTCCTTAATCAAAATAGAGATGAAAAGTTAAGAGAAAAACCAGTTGTATTATTGTCCCATTATGTTCATTAATTTGAACATATTCATTCATAACTCCAAACTTTATCTGTTTGAGTATCTGCAATGTAAATACATAACATAACAGACAAAAGATAAGATAGACCACCTGTCATAATAACATACAAAGTGATAATATAATGTTTATATGTAAATTACTACCTACTTACTATACATAGAAGTACTTATATTTATCTTGCTCTCCCACTTGTCTAGATAAAGTTAATAATAAACTTTAGAACATATGTATGTACATAATATTGTTGAAATTATGTCTAGTTAGTGGAAGACGGGTTCAACAAATACTTTCCGAACATCAGAAATTTTCACAATGAACATGTACTTAAATTAAGAATTAAATGCTTAGATAGTTGATTATAATGAGATTCTTTATAAGGTTTAGTAATTATAAAGAAAAGAAATTTATAAATCAACTGTGAGTGGCTATGTTGATCCTCTAGAAAATGTAATAGATCTAAAATCAATTTTAAGACAATGTCGTAGATTACTGGAAAATAACTCCAGTTCTCATACTTAACATTAAAGGAATTTATTAAAACTGCCTCATTGGCAGAGTGATCGCAATTGCGACTGCCGGGCAAGGGGTCTCGGGTTCGATTCCCGGGTCGGGCAAAGTATTACTGTTTTTTTTAATATCTCAGTAGTAGCATGTTGTCTGGAAATGTGCCCAGTATATAGCAATAGGCTTACCCCCTATTACTTGGGACCCATAACATAAAAATAGTGAAAAGTGGGTGTTACATTGTACAATGGCATTAAGTGCCGTAATGTGCACCTTTGCCTACCCCTTCGAGATTAAAAGGCGTAAAATTATATTATGTTTAAAAACATTACTCAGTATTTCACCTTCCTCAATATAGCACCTATTTCACACAAGACATTTTAAAAAATATGACTCGTTCATTATAGAGATTAGTGCGTGTAAACAAACAACAACTCCAGCAAATACCTAGATAAGATAATAATGATCTTCTTCAAGGTTAATTTTGATGCAAGTTGTGTGGAATTCCAAAAATGTGAAGCATATTAGCATAGTAAAGGTTGTAAAATTTCTAGCTATGTCATGGTATTCTAAAACTATGTAATACCAAAGCGAAAGTTATTAACAAATTATTTAAAACTAGCTTTCACCTGCGACTTCGCTCGCGTCACAAAAGGATAAAAAGTAGCCTATGTGACATATACCAATACACACAGTGCCATCTATACCAATAATTTTGTTTTCCCTTGAGAATTTAATTTTTCCGGGATAAAAAGTACCCTATTATTTAATCCAGACTTCTAACTTCACGTCTGCAAAAATTCAAAGCAATCGGTTTAGTAGTTACGGCGTCAAAGCGGAAAAAACAAACAAACCCACTTTCCGATTTATAATATTAGTAAGGATAACATTCTTGTATAAA